CCATCGTTGTGATTCTATCTACTGCACAGTTGATAGAATGATCACACCAGATTTCCACCTTTTCTTGCAGAAACAAAGTAGTAACAATCTGCAATCCCCCAATGGTGAGTGCCCGATCAATAGGAAGGGCCGATTAAATGACGTTGATTTTGAGAGCTGGTGATGCTGTTTAGTGATGCCTCCACAGTGATTCAGTTTGATAATTTCAGATCCTAATAAGTCATTACCTTGAGATCTTTATATATTGTGACGCCCTTGGATTAACCTCGAGTACCAAGCGTCATTATTTTGTCGTTCGGCGGGCAGGTGGACGCTTCTCCAAAAGATCACCCTTCCTGGTAGTACTCTCACCTCACCACGCTTAACATTGAAGTTCCATTTCTGAGCGTTGCCGTTTCGTCAAAAAGCGCATCGTTTGATTTATTTCCAGTTTCACATATATATGGCAAATGGACTCTCCCTAGTGCACAATGTGAATAATTCTTACCCCCTTTGCCATTTTAGAAGCTTACCAAAAGCCGTCCTTGCCCGGTCCTTCTAGCCCTAGCGATCACGTAGGGGTGTCAACGGTTCGGTATTTGGTTCGACTCGGGTTTTTTTAAAATCCGAGCCAAACCGAATATAAACCGAACCAAAAACCCCGTTTTGGATCGGTTCGGATGAGAAAACCAAATATTAGGGTTTCTCATGGTGATTTTAAGAGGAGTGAAAAAGAGCATTTAATTTTTGTTGAGAATTTCAATTCGGTTGATTAACCAAACCGAACTAAATCGAAATAACCCGAACCAGAAGAAAAATAACAGTTATCTTTTTATTATCCAAGCCGAAAATACATGAAATTTCGATTCGATTCTGTTCCAATTTCTGTTCGATTTTCAGTTTGGTTTTTGACACCCTTATCGATCACTCCCCACCTTCGTCGGATTGACTCATCACATGTATAATAGAGAGCTTTTACCGCCTCTCCTTATCTGAATCGACCCCACATGACACATGTGATAACTTCTTAAACTTATCCAGGAGGGTGCCATCAACAGAATATTAAAAAGGTATCTATTGATGCCCCGCTATTGCGAAAGCTAATATCACCAGCGATTGACACAAGATTATTTGCGATTCGTTTATGCTAGATATTAAATTGAGTGAAGTACGTTGATTAACAACATTCGACTAGAGCATGTGTCCACGCATTTGCTATATAAATGAGGTGAACTGTAATTAAGGAGCCTTGTCCAGGGGAGACGGACAATAAAAGTGATAAAAGTTGTGTACGGCATTTACTTTATTACCAAAAATTTTCTCCTATCACTTAAATGCCAATTTTTTTTTAAAACGCTCATTTCAGTGCCAACTCTGATATATTTGGCCGGAAATCTGATGTGGCCTTTTTTTATTAGTTTCTTGAGCCGACGTGGCTCGCCAGAGAGACCAGTCAGTATCTAAACCCTAAAACAACGCCGTCTAGTACCTTTATCCCAAATAAGAATCCTAAATCCCCAAATCGAAAGAGAAGCCCCCAATTCAAATCTTAACCGGCCATTTAACCCAAATTCACTCTCTATTTTGATTTGCCCCCAAAATTACCAGCTTAATCTTGCAATCCCTACTACCGTCGTCCCCACAATGTTACCAAGAACCCTATTTCCCTTTCTCCGAGCCCTAATTTTGCCTTCGAATCCCTAATTTTTCCCTCGGAGCCCTAATTTTTCCGGCCAATTGAGCAAGGGAGAGAAGATGACAAATCTGAGCGACGGTACTGGAGAGCGACGGTACTGGAGAGCGACGACAAGCGAGCAAGGAGGAGTTTGTAGTGTTGTGCAAGAACAGGAACTCGAAGCCCCAATTTTGATTTGCTTTGTGCGACGTTGTTTTGGCAAGACGTTGTGCGACGTCGTTTCTTTTAAACGAACCACGTAGGCCAGAAATCTGACATGGTTTTTGTATACCACGTGGACCTGGTGTTTTTTAATTAAAAAGTCATGTAATTAATTTGGCCAGAATATCTCGCCGTTAGCACTTAAGTGATTGTTTTTCTCCGATTTGGTACTTAAGTGATCCGACGTAAACTTTTGGAATTAAAGTGAATGCCGTACATAACTTTTGGCACTTCTAATATTCTTGTCCCCTTGTCTTGCTTAGACTTGGTCTTCTTCTCACCTGGCTGGGAAGGAGTAGAAATCTACATTATTGCTTGAAGGAAGAAAAACAAATACAAATCTCTGAATCAGTGCCACTGAATGATGTTTCTATTAGGATGACGCCAGGGAAGAATCAAAGAAGAGAACGATGAAAATTTTAAGTACATGACCTCAGTTACTTGTCTAGTCACGGTAGGTGAACTATTCTCCACTTTCTCACGTATAATGGACATTATCAGTATCTCAGCAATACATCACTTGATCTTCTTACGCCTGCATGGCAACAATAACTCCAACAAGAAGTTGCACAGAAATTTCTTGGTGAATTCCGATAACTTCTTTCTGCCTGAGCTGCTGAGGAGGTGACAGTTCAAAGTCTTGTCCCGCTATAAAGTTCTGTATGAAGTTAAGCTGCTTCATTCCCATAAACCCCCGGGCGATTCTTTTATCTGACGAAGCAAAGTTTTAGAAAGCTTTAACACAATGGTATCCTGAAACAGAATAGTTTGCCTGCAAAGGTTCGGTGAGTTTCACTGGAAACAATTATCTGAAATCAATAGCCGGCCGATAGCCATTCAGGAAAATGTAACTCTCATTAACATTAGTATGAAAATATATTCATTACTTGCAGCGAACTTGCCGGTAAACAGGAACTTTGACCATTCAGGGAATAGTCACTCTCACATTAGTATAAAAATATATTCAGTACTTGCCATGAACTTGCCTAATAACCGGATCAATCTTGACCATTCAGGAAAAAGCCACTCTCATTAACACTCGTATAAAAATGTACTGACCATTCAGGAAATAGTCACTCTCAGTATCATTAGTATAAAAATATATTCAGTACTTGCCATGAACTTGCCTAATAACAGGAATCTTATAAGTCACTCTCATTAACGTTAGTATAAGTATATTTAGCACTTGCAGCGAACTTGCTGAGTAAAAAAAAAATTTTATTAGGACCATATTAGAAGTTTCCAAGAATAAAACATGAGTGGCCTGGAAATCAATTGAGTTTCCTATCATTTCCTTTGAAAAGTTAAACAACAATCTTAGTAAAAAAATTCACAGAATTAGGTACATTTATACACAAGCCAAGCAAATTAAGTTGCGTCCAATCATACTAAAAGATATCAATAATGGTCATTTTCAGCTTACTCAAGACAACGAGTGTAATATTTGGCATTTTAATTGACCAAGTCAAATATTGGTGGGAACAAAAAAAAAAGAACAGAGAAAGAAAGGTCGCAAAGTCAACAAAAGACGGGGACTAAGTTATTAAAAGGGGCGTCACGCGACCAAAAGAAGAGAAAGGAAAGAGAGGGGGTAAGAAGAGAAAGAAAGGGAAAGAGAAAGAAATGGGTTCTCACCACAGTACCTCCCAAGCTGATTCGACTTTGTATAGTAACGCCTAGTAAGTATTCGAGCCCCTCGTTTATCTAATCAGAGTATTTTTCGAAATTAGAGCACAATTTCGGAGTTAGGTGAAATTCAAGCCGCGAAATCCGATTTTTGAGTTGTCGAGCTGCGTATATATATAGAAATGATAGTTTAGGGTGCTGTGGAGCCGTGAATTTTACGGATCTTGATTTTAACTTACGGTTTGCCCGAAACAAAATTTTGAAGTTGGCTTCGCATGATGAACAGTGCGCGACAGCAGCTTTCGAGCCGATTTTCGTCGGTTTTCGGCTCAATTTTGGATCGGCTGAGTTATGGGTCATTTAGTGCTTCGAAAGATCTTCCATTTGATTATAAATTTGCATGAAACGGAATTCGTTGGAGAGAGTTATGGCGCACTCAAGTTTCGCGTTGCAAATGGTTTTGAGTAATAGCTTTGGGTGAGCGATTTATAGGTGTCTTTGAGTTATTTTGTTAACGTTTAAGCGTTGTTTAGCCTATTCATAGTTTTTGTAATATTTTACTTAATTTTGACATCGATTCTCGTTTAATTGTTAGGATTACGAGATCGTCGGTTCAAGTGAGCGTCGTTATTTGATTATTGGGCATTCCAGGTAAGTGGTGTTATCTCTTCTATGGATTTGTAAACTCATGTCTTGAAAGTGATAAAGATTTGAGTTTCGTATGAGTTATTAAAACATGTTTGTTGCATAAAAGTCTGAATCGGGCAATTGCTACCTTTTAATATTTAAGAACGATTTGAGAATGGCTTTAAGAAAGATATTGCAAACGGATATATATGTATTATGTTGCGAACGGCTTTACAGAATGAGTTCTAAGATGATTTGAGAAATGTTTAATAAAAACATTAAAAAAGGTTATACATATCGATTTGTGAATTTAGTTTAGGAAATGATATTAGAAATGCTTTACGAAAAAGTATTTCTATCGGATGAACTGAGTTACGAAAGGTTATATGATTGGTTTGTAAAATGTATTGTGGATTATAAGATTGATTATGAATTGAATTTTTGGTATTTGAGGATAATGGTTTGATGCTCAATATCGCTGTGAACTCGGTTTAGGATATCTTTATGGGCCGAGCCACCGGCTTTGTAGGTGAAGACCTTGCCAAGGGGAAATCTTGGTCGCCTTGCCACAAGGCATTGATCAATGGACTTGACCATTTATATTTGAATTGTGATGTGGATTTAAATGAATATTTCTAACTTGTACAAAATTTTGTGAAAATGAAACAACTCTTATGTGATGCAATATGTATTTTATACCTTGAATTTGGGTTTTGAAGTTTTGGTATTACTTTGTACACATGCATAGTAATTGTTCGATCTACTTAGAAAATATGTATTAATCACTGAGCTGTAGTTGATTACCCCTCTCTTTCCGAATCTTTTCAGGTTCTTTGCCTAGCTGCCATTAGTACGAGAGCGCTATCGCGGAGACTTTGGAAGTTAGATTTTGGGTATGGTTTCTTTTGGAGTTGGTTTTTTTTTTTTTTAAAGCTGCGTCCTTCGGGTGGAAGGACGGCCATATCACTCCCTCATTCCGGTTGATTACAGGGTGTGACAAAAAGAGTAAGGTTTTTTAATTTGTTAAGCAGGTGCGCATCATGACCAAACAGCCGTAAACTGATGGATGACTAGACATCAGAAGCTTGACCATTTCCACACCAAACCCCCAGCCTGTGGAAGCACTAACTTAGAGGAGACCAACTAGTGCATTCCCCAGAACTTCGAAATATGCAAAATAGAGCATGGCAGAATCCACTGTAACCTACCTACTTGGCAAGCTCAAGAACTTTCTAGAGGATGGGGTTCAAGTCTTGGGAGGTGCCAAGGAAGAAGTTAATTCAGTGAAGAGACAATTGGAGTACATAGTGGCATTCCTGAGGGTTGCAGATTCCCTGGAAGAGAGTGATGAGGAGGTCAAAGTTTGGGTGAAGCAGCTGAGAGAAATCGCATACGACACTGAAGACGCCCTTGATGAGTTCAAACTTCTCCTGGCGCATGATCATGGAATTGGTTTTGCCGGTCTTCTCTCCAAGATGTCCTGCTGTATCAAGAACATGAAAGGTCGATACCGAATTGCTTCGGAGATGAAATCCATCAACTCCAGAATCAAAAACATCTATGATGGACACTGGAGAATCCGAGACAAATTAAATAAAGTCGAACATCACAATGGCTCTAGTAAGCCAGACGACACGTGGCAGGACCAGCGAGGGAATGCCCTTCTTTTAGACAAAGCTGAGCTCGTGGGCATCAGTGAACCGACAAAAAAGCTGGTTGGCTGGCTGATTGAGGGCGCTTCCCCTCGGCAAGTAATCGCAGTCGTGGGGATGGGAGGACTGGGGAAAACTACATTAGTGAAGCAAGTTTACGAAGATACAGAAGTGAAGAAACATTTCATGGTACGTGCTTGGATAACTCTTTCTCAATCTCCAAATATAGAAGAGATCCTCCAAGGCATGTTTCGACAAATTATGAGTGAGACTGAAGAACCAGTTCCTCTTCTAGAGGACAACAAGGACAGGTTATGCCAGAAGATGATTATCAAGGACTTCCTACAAAAAGCAAGGTACCTAATCGTTGTAGATGATGTGTGGCGCATAAATGAATGGGATGCAATCAAACATGCATTGCCTAACAACACCTGTGGCAGCCGAATAATCATCACATCCAGGAATTCTGATTTAGCCTATACCTCATGCGCAGAATTTAGGGGTAAGGTTTACAAGATGGAGCCACTGCCAGCTGAAGAGTCATGGAAGCTTTTCTGCGTGAAGACATTTCAGGGGAACTTGTACCCTCCTCATCTGGAGGAGACCTGTGGGCTTATTCTGAGAAAGTGCGAGGGATTGCCACTTGCTATTGTGGCCATCAGTGGTGTTTTGGTTTCAAAAGACATGAGAAAAAAAGATGAATGGGATCTGGTTCGTCGAAGTCTTCGTACTGAAATAGATTGCAACGACAAATTCAGAACCTTGAAGAGAGTCCTTTCACTTAGTTTTGATGACCTGCCATATTACTTGAAGTCCTGCTTCCTGCACTTGAGCGTATTTCCCAGGGGTTACCTCATTAGCTGTGGGAGATTAATTCGAATATGGGTCGCAGAAGGATTTGTAGATGAGAAAGAAGGCATGACAGTAGAAGAAGTTGCCCGGGACTACTTGAATGAGCTCATTAACAGAAGCCTGATAGAGGTGGCCGTTAAAAGAAGAGATGGGAGGATCGGGTATTGTCGTGTCCATGATTTTCTGCTGGATATTATTACTTCAAAGTCGAGCAACCAAGGCTTTGCAGAAACAGCACTAGAAAAACATCATAAAATGCCGGATAAAGTTCGTCGCCTATCTATACAGAACAGCCTGCAAGCTATACAACAGAAAAGGTCATTGTCTCAACTACGTTCTTTACACATGTACATGTTTGGGGTAGAGAGATCTTCCATGGATACTGTTCTAGGTAGTGAAATGAGACTGCTCACTGTTCTGGACTTGCAAGCTGCTCCTTTGACGAGGTTCCCAGCTCAAGTTGCTGAGTGGTGCTACCTGAGATATCTAAGCCTCAGGTACAGCAAGGTGAGAACTGTTCCGAATTCCATAGGGAAGCTTCAAAACCTAGAGACCCTAGACCTTAAACACACGTATGTCACAGAATTGCCAATTGCGATCTTGAAGCTCCAACAACTTCGCCATCTACTCGTGTATCGTTATTCAGACCCGCCATACTCATGGTGTAAATATGGCTTCAAGTCCCCAGAAGAAATAGGGGCTCTTCAGTCCCTGCAAAAGCTCTGCTACATAGAAGCAGGTGACAAGAAAAACAGCAGCTTAATGAGAGAGCTTGGAAAGTTGAAACAATTGAATAGGTTAGGCATCTTGAAGTTGAGAAAAGAAGATGCAAGGGAACTGTGCTCGTCGATTGAAAAAATAACCAAGCTTCAAGCAATATCTCTAACTTCAGCGGATGAAAATGAGATTATTGATCTACAACCCCTCACTTTTCCACCTCCATTTCTCCAGAGAATCTACTTGAAAGGACGTCTTGAGGCATTACCACGTTGGATATCATCTCTTGATAGCCTATTGGTATTGCACCTGAGATATAGTCAGCTAAAGGATAATCCACTGTCGTCTCTGGGGAATTTGCCTAATCTTGTGAATCTCGAGTTGGTTCAGGCTTATGAAGGAACCAAGTTGCGATTCAATGCCAACGACTTTCTGAAGCTACGGTTTCTGGGCATTGATTCTTTTGACAAACTCAAATGCGTGGAAGTGGAGAAGGGATCAATGCCTTGTCTTGAGGGGTTAATTATTGGGAATTGTAAGCAAATGGAGAAGCTTCCATCCGGTATTGAGCACCTTGGAAAGCTGAAAGTGCTGAAGTTTATCGACATGCCCGATGGGTTAGTGAAGAAACTTACGCGAGATGGACGGGACGATGATTACCTGAAAGTGGCACATGTTCCAGAAGTATATCATGGTTACCGGACAGATGGGAGATGGGATGTCGTCGTGCTCACAAAGGCATTCGAATGAGGAGCCTTAAATATTCTCAATGCACGAAATGAACGGCTAAGCCTAGAATACAGTATAACACTTCTCACAAGGTACGAGAATGAATGAAATTCTAGAAAATAGTTGTTATTTTGTGATGAAAGTTTAAACGCATGGTCTAAGTTTACTATGGGGTCTGTAAATGACATTCCGTAGATGGTTTGCATTATCCTGCAACATCCCTTTTCCTCAGAGAAGAGGAGTGTCAAGTGGGATGGTGTATATTTAGCTTTGAACTTCTTGGAGTGAATGCAGATTTAAGATGGAAATCTGCTATTATGAGAAACCAATTACATGTTTGTCACCACTTTGTGTGATTATTTGAATATTTCTTTTGCGGGCTTGGCTTGGCTCAATTGGAACGTGTCTGGTCGAGACTTGAGGTGTTGCAATTAGGGTCACTTTCGTCCGTCGAATAGTCTCGGCATTGCTCTTCTACGAACGGCATCCGCAGTTGGCAAAGAAAAAGAAAGATGCACACCTTAGCCCATCTTCACTGTGCTGGTCTCAAACAAATGCCAACCTTCCTGGAGTTCACTGAATTTCACCTTGTATAGAGACTTTGAAATGGTTTTTGCTGCCTTGACCATGACAAGTCTCTTCCGGTGGTATTAGTTGTATACCGTCCCTATGCCAGGAATTTTAGCATACGAGACTTCCGAAGGTCCTAGGTCTTGTTTCCCTCGAACTTCATGCTTTTTTTATAGTGTTACGATATCCTCTCTCTCTCTCTCTCTCTCTCTCTCTCTCCAACCCCAACGAACAGCAATTTGAAGTGAAAGTCGAACAACTTCAAACATGAACCGAATGTTCCGGGATCTTGCGCTCAAAAGGAACTTGACGAAGGCAATCACAACTTACAATAAGCGCCTATTACATGGAGGATCCATATTGAATCAGCAAGGAGCGAAACAAAAGCTACCACAATCAACTTCCTTGGCCATACAAATATTCATTCACAAAAGGGTGTTGTCTTGATGGAGAGTGTAATAATGGGCTTAAATAACCCATTATTTTGTTAATAGAGCCCAGCCCATTAATTCACCATTTATCTTCAATGTAAGGGTTGAAGAAGCAGACCCTCGGTAACCAAAAACAAGGAGAGAAAAGGACACACGCAGTGAAGAAGAAAAGGGGAAAGGGGGAAAATCTTCGTGCGTTTATGATCCGAAGGACTCGACAAGCCGAATCAACGCCATTTTGCAATGCCGAGTAAGTAATCAAGATCTCTATTCGTCTAATCGTAGTGATTTCAGAAATTATGGCACAAATTTTAAGGAATATTGATTTTGAATTACGAGGCTCGATTGAGGAGTTCTTAAGCTACGATTTTGTGTGGAATGATGATTTATGGTGTTGTAGAGCGATGGGGTTTGTCGAGTAACTATTTTGTAGTATGGTTTGTCCGGGACGAATTTCGGAGCTTTCGCATTCGAGTTACGCATATCGAATAATACGCATAATGGGGAAAAGTGAACGTCTACTATAACCGAGTTTATTCGTTAGCGTTAGGAGTCGTTTTATTGACAAATAAGTGTAGTTGAGTTGGGTAGTTAGTTAAAAGTAGATTTTACTCGGTTTTTGATATCGTATTTTGGTTAATTGTTAGAAATTCGAATGCGTCAACTCAAGTAACCATTATAAGTTGGTTTTTCGGCTTTTCTCAAGTAAGTGTTATTATTTCTTGTACGAATTTACGAGCTCATGTTTTGAAAATGGTAATGTTATAATATAGTAAGAGTTATTAAGAGCATGTTTTCTGCATAAATGGGATCGAATTTTTACTATCTTTTAGTCAATTGACAATGTATTGAAAAGTCTCACAAAGTAGCTTGAAATGAGTGTTTGTGAATGTTTTGCTTAAATGTTTTGCGAAAGGAATTAGCAAAAGTTGTTTGTATTGGATGCAAAATGTTTTATGAAATGGACTTTATTTGATGATAGAAAATGATTATGTGATTCGGTTTGTAAAACCAGTTTATGAAATGACTTTCTAATGTTAATTGTGAGTTGTCAGAGAAAGATTTTGGTCATTATGGCTCATATCGCTATGATGAGAACCCATTGAGGGGGAGTATGCATACTGTCAGGACGTCCTTCTGGGCCGAACCGACGGCTGATATAGGTGGTAGACCTAGCCAAAGGGGGTAAACATGGTCGCCATTGTCACGGCGTTAAACGTGACCATAGTTTGATAGTGAACATTAGATTAGTCGATGGAGTGAACCATTGACGTGTGATTTGATGAGATTAGTCAATGGATAGACCATTGATAGTTGTTGTTGTTGTTGAGTAGGTTTTGTTGACTAATCTTGTACGTTACAAAGTTTTGTTGGAAAGCTATCATATATTTTTTATATTTTACGTATACCATATATTGAATTTGTGATGAGGAGTTATGATGTCATTTTATAGCATTGCATAGTGATTGTTCGATCTGCTTAGAAAAAATGTATTACTCACTAAGCCGTGGTAACTCACTCTTTTCATCTTACTTGTTTTTCAGGTTCTTCAACAAGTCGCAAGTAGGGCGTGAGCGTATCGTTCTTGGGAGAACTTTTGGTAATGGGGATTTTGGTATGAGATGTCTATAGCTAGTGAGCTTCTAAGTTAGTTGTGGTGGATATGTATATATCTTTTTGATGTATTATAGTGAACTCTGATACTGTAACCAAATGAACTTTTTATCACATATATATATATAGATGTATATATTTGATATTAGGTTGAGTTTTGATTTTGTGGAGGCTGCGTCCTTGCGTGATAAGACGGCTGTGTTATGCCCTTGCTCTTTTGAGCTGGGGGTGTGACAGAGAGGAAATGCTCTTCCATCAAATATACTTAAAGTCTTAAAACTTATCACGAAAATGCAAGTAAGTCCTAAAACTTTCAAAAAGTGGAATCAAGTCCTAAAACTTGCCAGAAATGTGCAATTGGGTCCTAAAACTTTGGAAAAGTGCAATCAAGTCGTAAAAGTTATTAAATTGGTGCAATCAAGTCATTTCATTAACTCCATCTAAATTGATAAACGGAAATTATTAACAAGTTTTAGCACTTGATTGCACTTTTTGAAAGTTTTAGACTCTATTGTACTTTCCTGACAAGTTTTGAAATTTTCGATGCTCTTATCCCATCAAAAAATTGCATTCATTTCATATTTATTTTGCAACATCTTGAAAGGCAACAATATAAAGATGCTGAGAAGTTCCTGGATCGGTGTGAAAGAATAGCACAAAAGCTTCTCACTAAGGCTCCCATCCTTTTGGATGAGTAGTTTTATTTTAAAAATGCTGTCGACAAGATCATATCATCTAGCCATTCCAGGGGAGCAGCATATGTGTAGTTCGAAAAAAATTCAATGAAGTCGGTTGTGAAAATGTCAGCATGAACAATCAGTATTCCATACAAAATCATTCTTATTGATTGCAAAACTTCCCGGCATGCCAAAAAAATGTTCTCCGTTACATTGTCGGGGATAATTACATTTCCGACAGCTTTTAAAGATCAAACTAAAGAGGCGGGGAAATTGAAGTGGCAATGTCTCTCAACAAATATCATCTTCATATATACTACAGGGAATTGCTACAATGAACCGATAAATCAAGCTACGTGCGAAGGAAGGTAGAGCCAAAAAGACATCAAGATTTCTTCTAATGGCTCAACAGGGCCTCCTGCTTCCACATCCATCTCTGATATCAATGCTTGCAAGATCAACATAAGGAAGTTCGCTTCATTGCATTGCTGGTGATTCGTAAGGATTTCAAAGCCAGTTGTTCCAGATGAGGCTCAGGAACGTAAGGAAGTTCGCAGGGGTTTGAATATGGAGTGTCCTACTTTTCCTCACAAGTCCGTCCACCAAATGTTTGATAAAATGCCAAGCAAGGAGACGGAAAAGAAGGTACGAAACGGAAGACATTGCGAATACACAAAGGTATGCGTGACTCAGAACATGTGTCTTGGAATTGTTCTTTTTTTAACTATTATTATTTTTTCGGGTATAGCAACATTGGCCTGTTCATATTAAATTAATGCCATGTTTTTTTTACCACACAAATCGCCGTGTGGCAATCAAGTGAACAATTGTTAACCAATGGGACACTCAATTGATCAAAAAATATTATGACACTTAAGTGAGCGCCGTATAAAAATAATAACATTTGTGATGTACATTTGCCCTTCTAAGCATCGACTTAATTGAGTCAAAAATTCACTTAATATGATGAATAAGGGAGGGTTTAGTTAATTTTTTATTTTTTCGGATAAGTGCACTGAAGTCCTAAAACTTGTCACGGAAGTGCAATCGAGTCCTACAACTTTTAGAAAGTGCAAGCAAGTCCTAAAACTTGTCATGAAAGTGCAATCGAGTCCTAAAACTTTCACAAAGTGCAATCAACGGAAGAACTTGATTGAACTAATTTGACAAGTTTTAAGACTTAATTGTACTTTTTGAAAGTTATAGGTTTCAATTACACTTCGTGACAAGTTTTAGAACTTAATTGCACTCCTTGAAAGTTTTAGTACTCAATTGCACTTTAATGACAAGTTTTAGAACTTCCAATGCACTTGTCCCTTATTTTTTTTGTCAAAGAGGGGTTAGTCAATTCAATAGATAGAAAAATGCACTTGTCCCTTATTTTTTTTGTCAAAGAGGGGTTAGTCAATTCAATAGATAGAAAAACTAATTGATGACAAGTAGAATCTTGCCAAATATATTTCTGAAACCTACCAATAATGATCATTGTCTTATGTTTTGTATGAGCTTACTAATATTCAACTACTAATTTACAATCATCATCAAACAACTCTTTATTGTTATTTTCAATACTACCAACACTTAACATTTGGTACTTCAATTTTCAATATTTTAATAACCTTATTTATCGTTGACTTAAAAGATCCAATAAATCCAGAATTTTCATAACATGGTGCATAAGGTAGGAAAAAATATTAGTTGCCAAATATATTGTTCAACCTTCCAATAATGGTTCTTGTTAGGAATTATGACAAGATGGTGCGAGAAGCAGGGAAGTCTAGTCAATAGAAGAGCAGCCTAGTCCTTCTATCTATGTGCTCCTTTGTTTTGGTTGCTGTATAAGCAAGGTAACAAACCAGGAAGGCCTGCTGAAAAGCCTACACTAATCAGCCAACAAGACTGAAGGGCCCGATAATGGCCGTGTCTTAAGCAAGCACATCTTTTCAATTTCATATTCAAAGAATGAATTCGACAGCATGTTTGCTTACAATCCCATCGCTGTGATTCTATCCACTACACAATTCATAGAATGATCACACAGGATTTCCACCTTTTTCTTGCAGAAACATTTACTTACCAAAAAAAAAAAAAAAACAAAGTAGTAACAATCTGCAATCTCCTAATGGTAAATGCCTGACAAATAGGAAGGACCAATTAAAATGAAATTGATTTTGAGAGCTGGTGCTGCTGTGTAGTGACGCCTCCACAGTGATTCAGATTGAGGATTTCAGGTGCTAACAAGTAAGTTATTCCCTTCAGATCTTTACATATAACTGAGCTCATTGGAGGAGCTTTTACCACCTCTCTTCATCCGAATCGACCCCACATGAAACACCAGCAACAATTTCTTAAACTTTTGCAGAAGGGTGTCATCAATTTAATAGTTATCAAGGTATCTGTTGATGCCCATGTATTTCTGAAGCTACTGTCACCAGCGATGGAACACAAAATGGTTTCTCAAATTGTTGTCTAAGGATTTTTAAGTATACTATAAACAGAAACTCTTTTTTGCAAGATATTAAATCGAGTGAAGTACAGTGATTTACAAAATTAGAAGGACACTAAATATGTATATCGCATTCAAAATTTTCTGAGGCACATTAATTACTGTTCACCTCGTTTATATAGCAAATGCATGCACACATGCCCTAGCCAAAACAAGAGAACTTGTCCTCCTTAGACGGGCAAGAAATCTACTTTATTAGAGACTAGAGCCAAGATGTCACTGAATGATGCTTCTATTAGCAAGAAGCCATGGAAGAATCAAAGAAGAGCACAATGAAAATTATAAGTACATGAACTCAGTTGCTTGTCTAGTCATAGAAGGTGAAACTAATCTCCGCTTTCTCAGCAGTACTGGACGTTACCAACGTCTTAGCAATGAGTCGCTAGATCTTCTTATGCCTTCATGACAACACTAACTCTTACACCAAGTTGCACGGAAATTGCCAGGTGAACACCAATAACTTCTTTTTGCCTGAGCTTCTGAAGAGGTGGCGGTTCAAAAGTCTTGTACACTATAAAGTTTTGTATGAACTTAAGTTGCTTCATTACCATAAAGCCCCCGTAGATTTTTTTCACTCGACAAAGCAAGCTTTAGAAAGCTTTTAAAACAAGGGTACTCTGAAACAGAATAGTTGACTGCAAATGGTCAGTAACTTTCACTGGAAACAATCATCCAAAATTAATAGCCGGCCAATGCCAATAGCCATTCAGGAAAATGTCGCTCTCATTAACATCAATATGAAATTATATTCTCAGTACTTGCAGCAAACTTGCCTAGTAAAGCAGAACTTTGATTAGAACCATATGAGAAGTTTCCGAGAAGTTTCCGAGATATAAAACAAGAGTGGATTGGAAATTAATTAAGTTTCCTACTATGTCATCTGAAAAGTTAAAGAACAATTTAATAAAAATTCACATAATTAGATATGTTCATTCACAAACCAAGCAAAGTAAGTAGCATTCAATCATACTAAAAGATATCGATAATGTCATTTTCAACTTAGTCTAGACAATGAGTGTAAGGGTTTTAATATATTGAGCGGGTGTACATTATGACCAAACAGCCATAGACTGATGGAATAACTAGACGCCAGAAGCTTGACCAATTCCGCACCAAACCCCCAGCCTGTGGAAGCACTATGTTAGTGGATACCAGCAAGTGAATTCTCCAGAACATCGATACATGCAAAATAGAGCATGGCAGAAATTGCAGTAAACTGCCTACTTGGCAAGCTCAAGGATCTTCTAGAGAATGGGGTTCTATTGAGAGGCGCAGAGGAAGAAGTTGCTTTAGTGAAGAGACAATTGGAGTACGTAAGGGCATTCCTGAGGGTTGCAGATTCCCTGGAAGAGAGGGATGAGGAAGTCAAAGTTTGGGTGAAGCAGCTGAGAGAAATCGCATATGACACTGAAGATGCTCTTGATAAGTTCAAACTTCTCCTGGCGCATGATCATGGAATTGGTTTTCCCGGTCTTTTCTCCAAGATGTCCTGTTGTATCAAGAACATGAAAGGTCGATACCGAATTGCTTCGGAGATGAAATCCATCAACTCCAGAATCAAAAACATTTATGATGGACACTGGAGAATCCGAGACAAATTAAATAAAGTCGAATATCTCTATGGCTCTAGTAAGCCAGATGACACATGGCAGGACCAGCGAGGGAATGCCCTTCTTTTAGACAAAGCTGAGCTCGTTGGCATCAGAGAACCGACAGAAAAGCTGGTCGGCTGGCTGATTGGGGGCGCTTCCACGCGGGAAGTAATCTCAGTGGTGGGGATGGGAGGACTGGGGAAAACTACGTTAGTCAAGCAAATTTACGAAGATCCAGTAGTGAAGAAACATTTCATGATACGTACTTGGATAACTCTTTCTCAATCTCCAAATATAGAAGAGCTCCTCCAAGGCATGGTCCGACAAATTATGAGGGAGACCCAAGCAAAAGTTTCTCCTCTAGAGGACAACATGGACAGATTATGCCAGAAGATGATTATCAAGGACTTGCTACAAAATGCGAGGTACCTGATCGTCGTAGATGATGCATGGCGCATAAATGATTGGGACGCGATCAAACATGCATTGCCTAACAACACCTATGGCAGCCGAATAATCATCACCTCCAGGAATTCTGATTTGGCATATACCTCTTGCGGAGAATTCAGAGGGATGGTTTACAAGATGGAGCCACTACCACCTGAACAGGCATGGAAGCTTTTCTGCGCAAAGACATTTCAGGGTAACTCCTGCCCTCCTCATCTAGAGGAGACCTGTAGGCTTATTCTAAGAAAATGCGAGGGATTGCCACTTGCTATTGTGGCCATCAGTGGTGTTCTGGTTTCAAAAGACACGAGAAAAAAGGATGAATGGGATCTGGTTCGTCGCAGTCTTCGTACTGAAATCGATTGCAACGACAAATTCAAAGCCTTGAAGAGAGTCCTTTCACTTAGTTTTAATGACCTGCCATACTACTTGAAGTCCTGTTTCCTGCACTTGAGTGTATTTCCCAGGGGTTACCTGATTAGCTGTGGGAGATTAATTCGATTATGGATCACAGAAGGATTTGTAGACAAGAAAGAAGGCATGACAGTAGAAGAAGTAGCCCAGGACTACCTATATGAGCTCCTAAACAGAAGCCTGATAGAGGTGGCTTTTAAACCAAGCGATGGAAGGATCCAGGAATGCCGTATCCATGATTTTCTGCTGGATATTATTATTTCAAAGTCGAGTAACCAAGGCTTTGTAGAAACAGCAATAGAAAAACATGATAAATGGCCTGATAAAGTTCGTCGCCTATCAATACAGAACAGCCTGCAAGCTACGCAACAGAAAAGGTCATTGTCTCACCTACGTTCTTTATACCTGTTTGGGGTAGAGAGATCTTCCATGGATGCTGTTCTAGGTAGTGAAATGAGACTGCTCACTGTTCTGGACTTGCAAACAGCTTCTTTGACAAGGTTCCCAGCTCAAGTTGCTGAGTGGTGCTACCTGAGATATCTAAGTTTCAGGTACAGCAAGGTGAGAACTGTTCCATATTCCATAGGGAACCTTCAAAACCTAGAGACCCTAGACCTGAAACACACATATGTCACAGAATTGCCAGTTGTGATCTTGAAGCTCCGACGACTTCGCCATCTACTTGTATATCGTTATGCAAACACAGCCTACTCATGGTTTAGGTATGGCTTCAAGTCCCCAGAAGGAATAGGGGCTCTACAGTCCCTGCAAAAGCTCTCCTACATAGAAGCAGGTAACGAGAGAAATAGCAGCTTAATGAGAGAGTTTGGAAAGTTGAAACAATTGAATAGGTTAGGCATCTTGAAGTTGAGAAAAGAAGATGCAAGGGAACTGTGCTCGTCCATTGAAAAGTTAACCAAGCTTCAAGCAATATCTCTAACTTCAGCAGATGAAAATGAGATCATTGATCTACAACCCCTCACTTCTCCACCTCCATTTCTTCGGAGAATCTACTTGACAGGACGTCTGGAGGCATTACCACGTTGGATATCATCTCTTGATAGCCTAATGGTATTGAAGCTGAGATGTAGTCAGCTAAAGGATAATCCACTGTCATCTCTCGGGAATTTGCCTAATCTAGTGCATCTCTCCTTGCGTCAGGCTTATGAAGGAACCAAGCTGCGTTTCAAAGCCAACGACTTTATGAAGATACAATTTCTGGGCCATGGTCCTTTTGACAGACTCAAGTGCGTGGAAGTGGAGAAGGGATCAATGCCTTGTATTGAGGAGTTAACTATTCGGAATTGTAAACAAATGGAGAAGCTTCCATCCGGTATTGAGCACCTGGAAAAGCTGAAAGTGCTGAAGTTTATTGACATGCGTGATGAGTTCGTGAACAAATTTATGCTAGATGGACAAGACGATTGTTACCTGAAAATGGCCCATGTTTCAGAAGTATATTACGGTTACCAGAGAGGGGGATGGCCCGGATGGGACGTCGTGCTCACCAAGGCATTTGTGTGAGGAGCGTTGAATTTCCTCCATGCTTCAAATGAGCGGCTGAGCCTAGGATGCAGTATAATACTTCTCATGGGGTATTAGTGATTGAATGACTAATTCTAGAAAATCGTTGTTGCTTTGTGATATAAGTTTAAAAACATAGTGTAAGGTTACTATGGGTCTGTAATTGACATTTAGCAGCTGGTTTGCATTATTCTGCAATATCCCTTTTCCTCAGAGAATACAAGGGTCAAGTGGAATGGTGTATATTCAGCTTTGAACTTCTTGGAGTGTATGCAGATTTAAGATGAAATTCTGCTATTATGAGAAACCGTTTAGATGTTTGTCACCGCCTTACGTTATTATTTGAGTATTCCTTTTGCGGGCTAGGTCCAAATGTACGTGTCAGGTGGTTATAGTCCTACTTATGAAGCATCAGATGCGCGACTTGGGGTGTTGCAGTTAAAGCCACTTTCGTCAGCCGAACAGTCTCAACATTGCTCTTTCATGAACGGCGTCCTCAGTTGGCAAAGAAAAAGAAAGAAGCACACCTTAGACTATTTTTGCTCTTCTACAAGTCAGTGAAGACACCTTCCCATGTTTTACTCATTTAGCCCATCTTCACCAGTGTTGTTTTCAAACAAATGCCAGCCCTCCTGGAATTCTCCACTGAATTTCACTTCTGGTTTTTTTCTGCCTTGACCATGACAAGTATCTTACAGTTGTCTTAGTCGTATTCCGTCCCTATGCCATGAATTTTAGCATACGAGACTTCTGGTGAAGGTCCCAGGTCTTGTTTCCCGGGAACTTACATGCTTTTTCCATAATATCTTACAAATCTCTCCCTCTCCCCCCAACCCTAACGAACAGCAACTTTAATGCTTCCATTTGTTTCGTAAAAAAATTGACATTTCAAATAAATATTTTCCGGTGCCAGGTTCCCGAGCCCAACCTCTCTGAACCTGGGCTTGGCCTTTGTTGACCTGGGCCAATCCTCAGATAGACCCAAGCCCGAGTGCCTTTGACTCGGATGCAGTAGCCAGGTACTCAAGCAAGGGCACCGGGGTCCCGAGGCCCGGCCTCAAGTGACACAAGCCCCAATGCCGGTGACCTGGGAGCAAGAGTCGTGTACTCGAGCATCGCCATCAGAACCCTGGGCACAAATACCGGGCTGGGTTCTTGAACCTGACCTTAAAGGACCTAATCCCCGTCTTTATAGAATCGGCCCAAGTGCAAGTGACTTGGGCGTGCGAGCCTAGTACCTAGGCATGGCTGCCCAGAACCAGAGCACATGCATCGGGGTCCCAGGGCTGGTTGCCTGTTATCTAGACATGGAATCCGAGTACCTAGGCATGGGCACAAAAGACCTGGGCACAAGCATTGGTGTCCCAGGCTCGGCCTCGAAAGACAGGGGTCCGGCTTCTATGGACCCAGGCCGAGCTTTGATGGACCCGAGCATGGGCTTTGGTCACTTTAGCGCGAGAGCCATTTAGTCGAGCATGGCTGCCAGGGACTCAAGCGCAAGAGTCGAGTACCGGGGCATAACCACTAAGGATCCAGGCATGACCGTTGGGACCCAAGCACAAGCACCTATCTCCCGAGCCCGGCCTCGTGGACCCAGGCTCGGTCGCCATGACTTGGGCGTGGGAGCCGGGTACCCTGTGCACAGCCACCAGTGTCTTAGATCCGGCCTCAAAAGACCCAATCCTAGCCTCTATAGACCCAGGTTCAGCCTCTGGGATCCGGGCCCAATTATTGAGCACCCACACACGGGCATCGAGGTTTCCATTTTCAAGTGCTATGGTCTTTGATTCAAGTGTCCATGTATAGTTATATTTTGAAAAATAATTTCTGATTTTTAAAAGAAAAAAGAATTTTCCCAAATTTAATTATAAGTCGTCCGTTAACTCATTTCCAAAAAGAAATTTTTCGCAAATCAAACAAAGGCAAAGTAAAACAACTTTGAACATGAATCGGATGTTCCAGGATTTTGCGCTCGAAAGGAGTTCGAGGCAGGCAGTGACAACCGACGATAAGCACCGACTAGAAGGAGCCAGGAGGATCCATATTGAATCGGCAAGGAGGACGAAAGAGACCACTGTCAACATCTTTGGCCATACAAACATCCATTCACATAAGGGTGGAATCTCGATGGAGAGGAAAAGCTCTTCCATCAAGAAATTGCATTCATTTCCTACATATTTTGCAACATCTTCAACAGCATGCTGTTACTTCCAAATTACTGCGGACGCATCCACAACAGCACTGGTCTCAACAATATAAAAATGCTGAGTAGTTGCTGCGTCGGTGTGAAAGAATGGCACAAAAGCTTCTCGCTAAGGCTACTGTCCTTTTCGCTGAGCAGCTTTATGTTGAAAATGCTGTCGACAAGATCATATCATCTAGCCATTCTAGGGGACCAGAATACGTGTAGTTGGAAAAAATTCGATGAAGCCGGTCATGAAAATGTCAGCATGAACGATCAGTGTCACATACAAAAATCATTCTTATTGATTGCAAACTTCCCAGCATGCCAAAAAATGTTCTCCGTTACATTGTCGGGGATAATTACATATCCGACAGCTTTTATAGTAGCCAAATTACATAAACTGATCAGCCACACCCTTCGGAGCATATGAACAAAAGCTGGAATCTTGAACCGACCAAAACCTCAGCTTTCACTTCATCAGTTTCAGGGAATAATCCTCTCAGCGCCAAAACTGTCCGCCTTGATTATGCTCCACTTGAGTGTGCCAAAACTCCCCATCTAATGCCATCCATCATCCCAAAAAGGTGAGCAGGGGCCCTTGCTTGCTCAGTTTTTCAGCTGGCTTCAATAAATGCTGATGCCATCAAAATTTTCATAACACTCGGTTATATGAGGGCTCTTATGATACATGATAGCCTAGATAAGCATAAACTCTTCGTTTAAATGCTCCTCCCAATTCAACGACCTCAGATTCCCTCATCTGCCTATGCATGCTGTCTATAGCTGCACAATCCTAATATTTCTTTGGGACATCCGGTTTGCTACGTTAATGGTCAAGCTGGCCATATCTCTGCTGTTTGTCAACATCTGTAAGCTAGCAGCAGAATACGCAGGGTTGGACACAAGCCGGTTGAGTAATATCAGAGCTTCCCGCATCAGTAAGCTCCTGAGAAATAGTACAGGTTAGTGCACGAGAGAGGAAGACAAGAGAAACTAAGTCGGCAGCAAAGACCCCGACAGGGATGTCACAGGACTGAAAATCAACTGGTATTTGAAGAATAATATGCAGAAACTAAATGCAAGCATAAGCACCTTCAATTCTCAAAGATAATGGCACTGCCATATGACTAAGGTGTTAAATTTAACTAACTAACAAATGAACCATCAAATAGAGAAGAATTAAGGAAGAGTACCGCATTCAGAATACTCTGCAGAACCTTGCAGTATCTTTAGTTAGTCTGTCATGGTACGGACTACAGTTAGTGTAAGCTTATCCGGTGACTCTTAAACTTATCCAGAAGGGTGCCATTAGTTTAATATTATCAAGGCATTTGTTGATGCCCCTCTATTTCTAAAGCTAATGTCACCGGCTATCGACACACAATAGTTTTGCAAGTTGTTATCTAAGGACTCTTGAGTATACTTTGAACAGAAAACTCATTTTTGCAAGTTATTAACTCGAGCGAAGTCAATGATTTACGACATTAGAAGAACATTAAATATATAAATCATATTTACAATTTTCCACATTAATGACAATTCACGTCATTTATATGGGAAATGTGTGGACACATGACCGTACCAGAGACCGTCCTACTTAGACTTGGTCTATTTCTCACTTGGCTGGGAAGGGCAAGAAATCTGACTTTGTTAGAGACTAGAGCCTAGAAATTTGCTTGAAGGTGGACATATAAAATCTCTGTAGTAGTGTCAGTGAATGGTGCTTCCTATTGGCATGAAGCCATGGAAGAATCAAGGAATAAAAACAACAAAAGTGTCATAACTTTCGTAATTTGCTCATTTGAGTGTCATAACTTTTTTTTCTTTCATTAAGTGCTACAAATTTGAAAATCGGTCACTTAAGTGCTATCAAGGATTTGTCTCACCGGAAAATCCAGCATGAATGCTAGTCATCCTACGTGACACCACCGGTGTTGACGTGGACAATTTTTTTTATTTTTTTGAATTTTATTTTTATTTTCCTTTTTTTCTTCTGTCTCACTGGCAACCCTCGCCAAGGGTCTCCCCCAATCTAGGCGAGGGCCGCCTCGCCCAGGGCCTTCACAACCCCGCCAGCTGTAGGCGAAGTCCCTCGCCGGACTAGGTGAGGGCTGCCTCGCTCACATCTGGCGGGGCCGTGAAGGCCCTTTCCTGCAGCTGGCGATGGCCTCACCTAGAGCCTTCACGGCCATACGGCCAGCAATGGCCTCACCTCAGGCCTTCGCAGCCCCGCCAACCAAGGGCAAGGCCTTCGCATGCGGCAAGGGTCGCCGGTGACCCTCACCGGCACAGGAAAAAAAAAGCAAAGAAAAACAATGTCTTGGACAAAAATTTTCACGTAGGAATTCCATTTATTTTTAAAAACTCCACATCATAATGGAAAATTAAGTAAAAAATCTATGTAGGATGATATGCCAAAAATGGCACTCAAATGAACGCTGTACGAAAATTATAACACTCTCACTATTCTTAAGTGAACGGAAAAAAAATGTTATGACACTCAAGTGAACGCTGTACGAAAATTATAACACTCTCGCTATTCTTATCTTAAGAGTCAAAGAAGAGCATGGAAATTTTTTAGTTTAGAACAGAATGAAAAATTTTTAGTTTAGAAGGGCGACAGTTCAAAAGTCTTGTCCGCTATAAAGTTCTATATGAAGTTTAGTAGCTTCATTACCATAAAGCCCCAAAGTATTCTTTTTACTCAACAACAAAAGCTTTAGAAAGCTTGGGTTAATATCACGAAAAATCCTAAATCGGTACACATGATAATTTTACCCCAAACTATTTTTTTGACCATAAAAAACCCCAAACTGATATACGTGTGACAATTTTACCCCGAATTAATTTTTTTACCACCAAAAATCTCAAATTGGTCTACCGGTGACAATTTTACCCCAAACTAATTTTTTAACTATCAAAAACCCTAAACCGGTAAACCCATGACAAATTTATCTTCTGTTAGTTTCCGTTAAATTTTACTGTCAAATCGCTAAGTTTGATGACACATGGTAATTGACGGGTGTACCAGTTGAGGGTTTACCCCTCTGTTTGTCACAAGTTTACCAATTTGTGATTTTTCATTATATTTATCCAATTTAACGGATATTAATGGAGGGTAAATTTATCACAAATGTACCAGTTTGGGGTTTTTGGTGGTCAAAAAATTAGTTTATGGTAAAATTGTCACAGGTATACCAGTTTGGGGTTTTTGGTGGTCAAAAAATTAGTTCATGATAAAATTGTCACAAGTGTACCAGTGTGGGGTTTTTGGTGGTCAAAAAAATAGTTCAGGGTAAAATTATCACAGGTGTACCAGTTTAAGGTTTTTGGTAGTCAAAAAATTAGTTCGGGGTAAAATTGTCACAAGTGTACCAGTTTGGGGTTTTTCGTGGTATTAACCCTTTATAATAATGGTATTCTGAAACAAAATAACTGACTGCAAATGTTCAGTAACTTTCACCAGAAATAATAATCTGAAATGAATAGCCGGCCGATGCCGATGGCCATTCAGGAATGTCACTCTCATTAACATTAACATGAAAACATATTCAGTGCTTGCAGTCAACTTGACTAGTAAAACAAGAATTTAATTAGAACCATATCAGAAGTTTCTGAGAAGTTTCTGAGAAGTTCCCGAGATATAAAACAAGAGTGGTTGGAAATTAATTGAGTTGCTTATCATTTCATCTGACAAAGCTGAACAACAGTTTAATAAAAAATGCACAGAGGTGTGTTAATACACAAACCAAGCAAATTAAGTAGCATGCAATCATACAAAAAGATATCAATAATGTCATTTTCAACTTAGTCTAGACAAAGAGCATAAGGTTTTTTAGTTTGTTAAGCGGGTGTACATCATGACCAAACAGCCATGAACTGATGCAATGACTAGACGTCAGAAGCTCGACCATTTCCACTCCAAGCCCGCAGCCTATGGAAGCACTATGTTAGAGGGTGTATTCTCCAGAACATCGATATCTGCAAAATAGAGCATGGCGGAAATTGCAGTAAACTACCTACTTGACAAGCTCAAGGACTTTCTAGAGAATGGGGTTCTATTGAGATGTACCGGGGAAGAAGTTACTTTAGTGAAGAGACAATTAGAGTACATAAGGGCGTTCCTGAGGGTTGCAGATTCCCTAGAAGAGAGTGATGAGGAAGTCAGAGTTTGGGTGAAGCAGCTGAGAGAGATCACATACGACACTGAAGACGCTCTTGATGAGTTCAAACTTCTCCTGATGCATGATCACGGAGTTGGTTTTGCCGGTCTTCTCTCCAAGATGTCCTGCTGTATCAAGAACATGAAAGGTCGATACCGAATTGCATCGGAGATGCAATCTATCAACTCCAGAATCAAAAGCATATGTGATGAACAGTGGAGAATGCAAGACAAATTAAATAAAGTCAAACATCGCCATGACTCTAGCAAGCCAGACGACACATGGCAGGACCAGCGAGGGAATGCCCTTCTTTTCGACAAAGCTGAGCTCGTGGGCATTGATGAACCAACAAAAAGGCTGGTTGGCTGGCTGATTGAGGGCGCTTCCACACGGGAAGTAATCTCAGTGGTGGGGATGGGAGGACTGGGGAAAACTACATTAGTGAAGCAAGTTTACGAAGATCCAGAAGTGAAGAAACATTTCATGGTACGTGCTTGGATAACTCTTTCTCAATCTCCAAATATAGAAGAGCTCCTCCAAGGCTTGGTTCTACAAATTATGAGGGAGACCCAAGAACCAGTTCCTCCTCTAGAAGACAATAAGGACAGATTATGCCAGAAGATCATTATCAAGGACCTGCTACAAAAAGCAAGGTACCTGATCGTTGTAGATGATGCGTGGCGCATAAATGAATGGGATGCAATTAAACATGCATTGCCGAACAACACCTGTGGCAGCCGAATAATCATCACATCCAGGAATTCTGATTTAGCATATACCTCATGCGGGGAATTCAGAGGGATGGTTTACAAGATGATGCCACTGCCAGATGAACAGTCATGGAAGCTTTTCTGCGTAAAGACATTTCAGGGGAACTCGTGCCCGCCTCATCTGGAGGAGACCTGTAGACTTATTCTAAGAAAGTGTGAGGGATTACCACTGGCTATTGTGGCCATCAGTGGTGTTTTGGTTTCAAAGGACACGAGAAGGAAGGATGAATGGGATCTGGTTCGTCGCAGTCTTCGTACTGAAATTGATTGCAACAACAAATTGAATACCTTGAAGAGAGTCCTTTCACTTAGTTTTGATGACCTGCCATACTACTTGAAGTCCTGTTTCTTGCACTTGAGCATATTCCCCAAGGGTTACCACATTAACTGTGGCAGATTAATTCGATTATGGATTGCAGAAGGATTTGTAGACAAGAAAGAAGGCATGACGGTAGAAGAAGTAGCCCGGGACTACTTAAATGAGCTCCTGAACAGAAGCCTGATAGAGGTTGCCGTTAAAACGAGCGATGGAAGGATCAAGTATTGCCGAATCCATGATTTTCTGCTGGATATTATTACTTCAAAGTCGAGCAACCAAGGCTTTGCAGAAACAGCCATAGAAAAACATCATAAATGGCCGGATAAAGTTCGTCGCATATCTATACAGAACAACCTGCAAGCTATGCAACAGAACAGGTCATTGTCTCAACTACGTTCTTTATACATGTTTGGGGTAGAGAGATCTTCCACGGATGCTATTCTACGGAGTGAAATGAGACTGCTCACGGTTCTGGACTTGCGAACTGCTTCATTGAAAAGGTTCCCAGCTCAAGTTGCTGAGTGGTGCTACCTGAGATATCTAAGTTTCAGGTACAGCAAGGTGAGAACTGTTCCAAATTCCATAGGGAAGCTTCAAAACCTAGAGACCCTAGACCTTAAACACACATATGTCACAGAATTGCCAGCTGTGATCTTGAAGCTCCGACGACTTCGCCATCTACTCGTATATCGTTATGAAAATACAGCCTACTCATGGTTTAGGTACGGCTTCAAGTCCCCAGAAGGAATAGGGGCTCTAGAGTCCCTGCAAAAGCTCTGCTGCATAGAAGCAGGTGACGAGAGAAACAGCAGTTTAATGAGAGAGCTTGGAAAGTTGAAACAATTGGACAGGCTAGGCATCTTGAAGTTGAAAAAAGAAGATGGAAGGGAATTGTGCTCTTTGATTGAAAAACTAACCAAGCTTCAAGCATTATCTCTAACTTCAGTCACTGAAAATGAGATTATTGATCTACAACCCCTCTCCTCTCCACCACCATTTCTCCAGAGAATCTCCTTGACTGGACGTCTGGAGGCATTACCACGTTGGATATCATCTCTTGATAGCCTAATGGTATTGCGCCTGAGAGGTAGTCAGCTAAAGAATAATCCACTGTCGTCTCTCGGAAATTTGCCTAATCTTGTGCATCTCAAGTTACTTCAGGTTTATGAAGGAACCAAGTTGCGTTTCAAAGCCAACGACTTTTTGAAGTTACGTTACCTGATCCTTGGTTCTTTTAACAAACTCAAATGCGTGGAAGTGGAGAAGGGATCGATGCCTTGTCTTGAGGAGTTGTTTATTGAGAACTGTAAGCTGCTGGAGTAGCTTCCGTACGGTATTGAGCACCTGGAAAAGCTGGAAGTACTGAAGTTCATTGACATGCCTGATGAGTTAGTGAAGAAACTTAGGCGAGATGGACAAGATGGTGATTACCTGAAAGTGGCACATGTTCCAGAAGTATATTATGGTTACCGGAGAGGTGGGGGATGGGATGTCGTGCTCACCAAGGCATTTGTGTGAGGAGCATTGAATTTCCTCCGTGTTCAAAATGAGCAGCTGAGCCTAGAATGTAGTATAATACATCTCACGAGGTATGAGTGATTGAATGACTGTGATCCTAGAAAATAGTTGTTACTTTGTGATAAAAGTTCAAACGCTTACTGTAAGGTTACCATGGGTCTGTAAATGGCATTTAGCAAGCATTTATGCGCAACGTCCCTTTTCCTCATATAAGAGAAAGGGTCAAGTGGGTGGTGTGTATTCAGCTTTGAACTTGTTTGGAGTTTGTGCAGCTTTAAGATGAAATTCTGCTATTATGAGAAACCAATTACATGTTTGTCACCATCTCGTATGGTTACTTTTGCATGCTTAGCCCAAATGGAACGTGTCAGGTCTTTATAGTCTTACTTATGAATCACTCAAGAAGACCTCTTTCATCCAATGAGGGACTTTGGGCATAGCAATTAGAGTCGCTTTCGTCCATCGAGCTGTCTCAGCATTGCTCTTCTCATGAATTGTGTCCTCAATTAGCGAAGGAAACAAAACACTGGTTAGACTCTTTTAGCTCTTCTACAATCAGCGAATTGAAGGCACTTTCGCATGTTTTTCTCATTCAGTCCATCTTCACTGCGTTGGTTTCAAACAAATGCCTACCCTCCTGGAGTTCTCCACTGAATTGCACGTCGGATAGAGACTTTTAAAGGGTTTTTGCTGCCTTGACCATGACAAGTCTCTCACAGTTGTATTAGTCGTATACCGTTCCCATGCCGGGAATTTTAGCGTGAAACTTCTGGCGAAGATCTTGTCCCCTCGAACTTACATTCTTTTTCCATGGTGTCACAAATTTCTCTCTCTCCAACCCCGACGAACAGCAATTTTAAGTAAAAGTTGGTCTCCAATCCTGAATCGAATTTTCCAGGAATTTGCACTCAAAAGGAACTTGAGGCGGGCAGTTCCAACTGACAATAACTAGAACCGATTAGGAGGAGAATCCACAAAGAATCAGCAAGGAGTGAAACGAAAGAGACCACAATCAACTTCTCTAGCCATACAAATATCCATTCACATAAGAGTGGAATCTTGATGGAGAGGAGAAGCTCATCAATCAAAAAATCGCGTTCATTTCTGTAAATTTTGCAACGTCTTCAACAACATGCTGGCAGACGTATCCACAACAGGACTGGTCTCAACAATACAAAGATGCTGAGAAGTTCCTGGATTGGTGTGAAAGAATAACACAAAAGCTCTCGCTAAGGCTCCCGTCCTTTTCGCTGAGTAGTTTTATGTTGAAAATGCTGTCGACGAGATCATATCATCTAGCTACCCGAGGGGACCAGAATATGTGTAGTCGGAAAACATTCAATGAAGTCGGTTGCTAAAATGTCAGCATGAACGAACAGCATCACATACAAAATCATTCTTATTGATGGCGAAACTTCCCGGCATGCCAAAAAATGTTCTCCGTTACATTGTCGGGGATAAGTACATTTCCGACAGCTTTTATAGTAGCCAAATTACATAAACCGACCAGCCACACCCTTCGGAGGATAAGAACAAAAGCTGGAATCTTGAACCGACCAAAACCTCAGCTTCCAGGTTCAGTAGTTTTAGGGATAATCCTCTCAGCGACAAAATTGTCCTCCTTGATTATGCTCCTCTTAAGTGTGCCAAAACTCACCATCTAATGCATCCGTCGTCCCAAAAAGGTGAGCAGGGGCCCTTGCTTGCTCAGTTTTTTCAGCTGGCTTCAACAAATGCCGATGCCATCAAAAATTTCATAGCACTCGGTTATATGAGGGCTCTCATGATACATGATCGCCTAGATAAGCATAAACTCTTCGTTTAAATGCTCTTCCCAATTCAATGACCTCAGATTCCCTCATCTGCCTATGCATGCTGTCTAGTTGTGTAATCCTAATATTTCTTTGGGACATCCGGTTTGCTACGGTAATGGTCAAGCAGGCCATATCTCTGCTGTTTGTCAACATCTGTAAGCTAGCAGAATACACAGGTTTGGACACAAGCCGGTTGAGTAATATCAAAGCTTCCCGCATCAGTAAGCTCCTGAGAAATAGTACTGGTTAGTGCACGAGAAAGGAAGGGAAGAGAAACTAAGTCAACAGCAAAGACCCTGATAGGGATGTCACAGGATCGATAATCAACTGGTATCTGAAGAATACTCTGGACCGATACTCTGAAGAATTAGAAGGAAGAGTACTGCAATCAGAATACTCTGTAGAACCTTGGAATATCTTTAGTTAGTTTTGTCATGGTACAGACCACAGTTAGTGAAGCCACTTACAGAAGTACATCATTCTTGTACTGGCATGCAGCGGGACTTGTCACCTTTTGTACAATAAAGTATTTCTTACTGGCTTCTAGAGAACTCAGGAGAAAGGCACTAAAGATCAAACTAAAGAGGCAAGGAAATTGAAGTAGCAATGTCTCACAACAAACATCATCTTCATACATACTACAGGGAATTGCTCCAATAAACCAATAAATCAAGCCATGTGCAAAGGAAGAAGTAGAGCCAAAAAGACACCAAGATGCTGGTCATAATCAAGTACCTCTCTTTCAAGAATTCTGGTGGCTCAGTAGGGCCTCCTGCTTCCGCATCCATCTCTGATATCAATGCTTGCAAGATCAACATAAGGAAGTTTGCTCCACTGGATAGCTTGTGATTCATAAGGATTTCAAAGCCAGTTGTTCCAGATGAGGCTAAAAATGCCAGAAGCATTGTTGCTCTTCTTTGAAGCTTCAAGTCCTACAAGTTGACATTAAGTGGAATTCCAATGAAGAGATGATTTTATTCGTACTATCATTAATAGGAATGCTAACTTAAAATATATATGACAAAAACAAGAAATAAGCTTTTGGCTGATTATCGTATAAGTGCAATGTCAATGTATATCAAAGCAACTATAGAACACAAAAACACCTGAAGAACAATCCTTACTTGTATGCCACTTCCCCTAGAAGATACACAATCTGCCAAGCCCTCAAGAATAACATCAGATCCTCGAAAAATTGTAATGTTTTTGTCATCGTTGCCATCCATAGAGGAAGAACATTCCCTATTTTTAAAACCGCAGAAGAACGTCTCCAAGATTTTTGGACCTACAGATAATAATAGAAACTTAAATTGTAAGGATGGGTTATGAGCTTATGCTAAGAAGCACATCTACCAAGCCCCACTTTCAACGCCCATGGCTAAGGCAACATTGCTAATTAACCTCAATATGATCCCTTAAGTCTCAGTCTACGCTCCTAGAATGAAATTCAAAAGGAAAGGATCACGTAAACTGCACATACTATTTAATAGAAGGAACAGCAGATGTAATGCTTGCTCTTGGACACATAATCCAGATTCCTTCTTTAGGAGTGTCGAAATGCTTTCAAGAACCAGTGGACATCCGAACCTGATCATTAGAAGTCAATTAAGTCAAGTTTAAAAAAGAGTCAAATCATTGCTCATATTTTTCTTTGACAGTATATAAGTTGCTAATCCTAAATTGTTCTAATTTTAACTGACAGGTGCAATAAGAGCTTACTTTTCCCTGTGCTCATAAGCACTGCCCCTTAGCAGAATCAAATTCATGATGGAGACAGCCTCTACCCTTATACATTCTTCAGTGTTCTTCTGCACAAGTTGACGCATAAGTTCAAAGACAGAAGCCCAGTCTCGAAAGGAGAACAATAGCATGCTATGGCTCTTCATCAACTGTATCTCTGGACCAGAAGAGCTTAAGCCCCGTGAACCGTAGACACTGTAAGATCTCTCATCCCAATTCACAGAAAGAGGGTGTCCACTGATTCCACTTCCATATTCACATATGCACAAAAAACTCTTCTTGGATAGAAGTCCCTCAACTGTGATATTTTCCCTGAGTAGAGTGCACTGGAAAAATCAAATTAAAGCTCATAAGCATCTAGATATTTCTTTATTAAACAGAGTTAACATAACATCAAAGTACACGGCATCTTCGGCACCAATCATAAAACCGTGCAGGCATTTTATATGGGGGACACACCATAGCAGCTACAAATGGTGTAGCGAACCAATTAAAGGTGAGACACATACCCACATGCACTGATAAGATGAGATCCATATCACACGGGCAATAATAATCGGTCGGTTACACCACTTCATCACTGCCACGTGGTGTATCCATCCCATCAAATACTTTCTCTATGTCACCACTCATATGCTACGCGAAAAGGTAACCTCACCACAAATTTTTAATACAATTTCATGGAAGTGGTGGACATAACATATAAGTTAGATAGGCCAATAATTCCATAGGTTGATTATAAAATGAATAAGCAAATACATATGATCTGACCCTGCATCAAATTACTAAAACGAGACCGTCTTAAAACATGCACAGAATCAGAAAACAGTGTCACAGAAACACTATTGATACAACAAAGGAAAGAATGTCTAAGGAAATGACCTTTGTCAATGTCATGCCAGAAAATGCATTTACTTATTATTCATGTAAATAATAACACAAATATCAAACTTCAAGTTTTCCGTACTCATTCTACTCAAATCTGCTTTTATTGGCAGTCATTGCTCAAGTTCTTCAAGCATATAAATAAACGCAGATAAAATACTTCACGGCAGAAAAGAACAAGCAAACATCTTATGTCAAAAATTGAAGACACTACTATTCAGAGAACTGAAGTTAAATGATCGATGAGAAGAATCAATTATATACCTTTCACCACATTTCCTTTCCTCGCTACATAGATGCTTCAGAATCAGGTGCAGTATACAGAGGGACCTATGTATAATATTGACCTGTACCCACGAAAAAAAGGTCACCCAACATAATATAGATTAAAAATATGCATCTGGGGATAAATTCAACTTCAGCCAGAAAGAAAATGGGAAAAAAGGAGGCAGCTGAAAAATGCACAGTCAAGAAGGTATTAACTAGGGGTGAGCGCGTTCCGGGTAGAACCGGGAACGAGAATCGGACCCGGTGGGTCCGGTTCGGTTCCGGTTCCATGGACAGAGGGTCGGTTCTCGGTTCCGTTTTTAGGAACCGGCTGTTCCTGTTCCGGTTCCCGGTTCCTATAGGAACCGGAACCGAACCAAGAACCCGGACTAGGAACCGGATCCCTAAAAATTAAAACATAAACTACACATTTGGTATTTAGAAACCCTAATTCCCAAATGCTAGCTTCTCCTCTTGAATCACCGATCTAGCTTCTCCTCTTGAATCACCGATCCTCCATCATTGTCCCTCCCGCTTCCACTTCCGCCTCGCTCCCGCTTCTGCCTTGCTCCTCGCCTCGGTCGCTCCTGCTTCTACTTCCGTCTCGTTCCGCTTCTGCCTCGCTCCTTGCTCCCGCTTCGCTTTCGCCTTGCTCCTCGCTCCGGCTTCCGCGGTTCTCTCCCGCTTCCGCCTCGCTCCGCCTTCTTCGCCGCAGGTCTCGTGATCTCCCCACGCGGATTCGCTCCGATTATTCGGGCTCGCCGCTGTCGGACATTTTCCAGGTTAGGCTCGACGAACGTTTCTTCTTGTCCTCACCTTGTTCTGTTCCTTATTATTTTTTATGGGTTTCTTCATTATTCTGGGATTAAATAGTACATTGTTAGAGTATTTGCTCTGAGCAGAGAATTCTGGCGAGAGCGAAGAGTACTCTCTGGACTGGTGGACTCTGGAGCAGCTGGATATTGTTTCTTTCCTTTTTTTCTTTCCGGGTTTTTCTTGTAGTGCTCCGTCGTCGTTGCTGCTCTCTTTGTTCCCTTTTAGTGAGCAAGAGGAGGAGGTGGACGGAGGACGGTTTTTTCTTCTTTTTTCTTTTATTTTTTCATACATTTTTCTGATAGGATTTCCGGATCTTGGGTGGGTTGCGTTTTGAGGTCGAGATGGTTCATAGCTGAGTGGGGAGTTCAAGCGATCTTGAAGGTGTAGGTGGGTCGTCTGCTTGTTGGGAAATTCTTTTTCTTGATAATGCTCATGACTTTCTGTGTTTGAGAATTTTGGGATATTCTCTAGGAAGGTCCTTTAGCTCATTCGGCTGTACTTTCTGTGTTCGAGAAAGGAATTCGAATATAGATTGTTCTGGTTGTTGTGGCGCTTGTTACTTAGAAGGGAGTGGAATCTGGTGAGGGAACCGTGATCTATGCGAATAGCATTCCGGGTTGGGAACCGGGTCTTGGTTCTTGGTTCTTGAAATCAGCGTGAGCTGAGCAAAATTTATGGGACGTGGTCTGTTTAGGGCAGTGACTTTCTCCTAGCGTGCTTCAAGACCTTGAATTGGTGAATGTAGGTGAACCCCGACTAGAATTGCAATATTGGATTATTAGTAATGGGTTGTGCCGCTTGAGAATTGATGAAGAAGAGAGGGTTCGGGTGTGCAAGGAGAGAAAGAGGTTGATGGAGCATTGCTGGATTCATTTTCTATAATTAGTCTTTTGTATTGTTTTTTATGAATGTTCATTTTCGTTTTGATTAACTAAAAATAAAATAAAAAAAAAAAGAACCGTTGGAACCTGGCAACCGACCCTGAACTGTGACAGGGTAGGTTCCAGGTTCCACGTTCCGACGGTAGGTTCCAGGTTCCTCATTTTGAGGAACCCGTACGAGGTAGGTTCCAGGTTCCAGGCGGAACCTACCCGAACCTGAACCGCTCACCCCTAGTACTATTAACCCCTATTAAGCACACCAAGTTCCTTAACATAACAGATATACAAGAATCAAGAAAGAAGCATCACACAATCAACCTCCCTCACCCCTAAGCTGAATAGGGACAACGTACAAGACAAAATGACTAATCAAGATCACTGAACCAGTGACTGAGAGGGCATAAACAAACATATGGGACTTCCCAGTCAAAAGCATGTTAAGGTGGTATGTAAAAATGTCTTTGCATGAAAAAACAAAGGAAAGTGCAGACTCCGACCTGAAGGATGTGAATGACTTCTTACCCTCAGAGATTCATAAGTAAGGACATCATGAAAGAAACTATCCTAGGTTTGTATCACAATGGACGAGATCACCTAGAATATTCAGACTCTTAGGGCTTTAAATAGAAAACTTTTACTTAATTTAACAATTCATTTTATGAACCACCATCCTAATTCTGTTCCTTTTTAAATGATAAACAAAGTTTCAATAAAATGGTACCGAGGGTTGTACTGCCCCTAGGCAAAATGCCTTACACGGGAACCTATTTACAAGATTATGCATCTATTTACATATAGCGTTCTCATAGACATACACCTTGAGTTACTCGATAGGACAATGGGTTCGGGGCATTCAGATAGACCAACTGTGTAAAAGAAAAGCAAGGGAATAAAAAAAGAAAGAACAAATCAGAAGTATGGAACACATGCAATCTTTACATATTGCACCTTCTTAAACTTTTGTTCTCCTACAGCAGAAGACTATCTTGGAATTACCATTCCTGCTATTAAATAATTGTAGCCTTCAGCATTTGCTAATAGATTTGAAAAAAAGTAAATTCTTGCTATAGTATTAGATCATGAACAAATTTAAACTTTGCCACTAAAGCAGTCTTCATAACTTACATTGTCTAAATGACAAAGATCAAACAGGGGTTCGATCAAGGCTTCTAACTGGGACACTCCATTGTTAACCTGCATCACAGTTCGAAATGACATCAACATTCAAGTTTTTTCCTTTTTTCTAAAGGAACCAACAAAGGAAACAACAGACAATGCAAAACTAGACTGAGGACACAACACAACCTTGACACCTTTATTTTTCTTTAGGATAAGTGAGAGCTATACCATCTTCCCATTTACTGATGATATATGAAGAAATATACGGCAACAGAATACAACCCAAAAAAATCATTATCTCCAACAGCCAATTAATTCTTGTGACCTTGCATGTTTACAGGATCACAACTTAACAAAAATGTAGCATGTGCAGGAATATTATATTACCTTTGTGAAAACAGAATGAAATTTAGACATTTTAGCAGCTTCTGAAGCAGTGAGAGGATACGGATGGCACAACCAAGAAAAATCAGTAGAGCTCCCATCTGCCAAAGAGTCCATTTTGATTTTCGAGGATACATCTATGCCCATGCATCTGAAAAGGGAATGACAAGCTACATACAACTTTGGAAGAAGACTTCTTCCAGCATTTTGGTAAAGTGAAGGACTCCACACAGATAGTAACTTCCTAGAGAGACCCCGACGAGCATATAGATCATTATTGAACTGAATGCCAGTAGTTTCACCAGCTTCATCTGTTTGAACTCCAACAGTTTTAGAGGTTGATTCTGCCAGAGAAAGGCACATAACAAATTTGTCAGGAGCCTGTGTCGAAAGAACGAAAACCTTGAAGAAATTTTAGGACCATTTTAAGAAACATCGTAAATCAATGCCTACCTATCTTAGTCTGAGAGCTAGCCTGATTACTTAACGATTTTGCATTTTCAACTTCCAGCACGACAGTGGCTGAAGTAGGCACTCCCTGATCCCTGCCATAAGAGACTTCTTAAAATTCATACTTCTCAATATGCAAAATCAAACATGTAAAGGCTCCAACAAAACAGTTACTTTTCCAAGTTAAACGTTGTCCTGAATGAGTAAAATTGTAAAATGCATGTGTATCTAGACCAGTATTACGTAATAAGTGCTCCGAGGCATTCACTGTCAATCATTTGCTTCTCATTCTCTGTCAATGTGTTGCTTCTCATTCATGACTCACAAAACCAAGCATGACAACCACCAGAACACACTAGTGAAGAATCGTTTTAATTCAACTAAATAAGACTCTCTGCAAAGCGTCTGGTTTGCAAATGATTACAATGTCTTTAAAATGAAATTTTTCAGAAGCTCTGCTGGTTATAGAAAGTACAAGACTACATATTGTTCTGGCCAAAAGGAAAAGACTACATATGCCATTTCTGAAATTGTAAATTGTATGCAATTCACAGGTGGAGAAAATAAATAGTACGACAGCATTTGAAGCAACTAATTGAGGTTTACCTTTGTAGAGGTAGTGTTCAGTGAAATCATTTGAGAATGAAAGAAAGAGACATCAAGAGAGCATTCAAAAAGTTATTTTAGAAGTTGAAAGACAGATACAGATAACTAAATTCTGAAAATAACCGTTAGCAGTCATCAGATCATTTTAAGCTGCAGTATATATTCAGGAATGCTGCATTGCATGTTAAATATACATAAGCATGTCAGATACTCCAAGGTAGTTTGACTAATGCTACCCATGACCAATAAAAAAAAGAATGGCCGTATGTTGACTCTGCTGACCCATTCAAATGTATGAAGAAGCCCAGCTTATGTAGATCTGTAGGACTAAGATTTATCTGCTAGGAACTGTCTCAGCTCTCATGGTACATTGCTCATTACATCAAAGCATGAAAAGTACCAGAAAACTAAGAGGAATAGGTCTGAACAAACACAATTCATGCTGTCTTTTAGGTCACGCATGCTAGTATTACAAGCCATATCACAAATACTTTTCCTCTTGCTGCTAGAAGCAAATTACATATATCCAACTTTCATTGCCTTTGCCTCCTTCATAAGCATCGGACTTGAAATCAATGACTGAGGAACCAGGAAAAAGAGCTTCACTTACAAGCCAATTCTCTTTGAACTGTGATTATCAGTAAGTCTCCCTCCATCACGAGAAGATACAGATTTGAGTTGCTCCTCCTTTCTTCCTCTTTCCTTCCTAAATTTAGCATGCTCCGGCTCCTGAGAGTTCATTAAATAACATTTCTTCATTCAACTATAAAAGAAATTCGTCATGGTATAGTAGGACTGCAGAAACAAGCAACCAATAGTGAAGAACAAACAAGAATAGAGAGAACAACACATGGATGTTCAGCTATCTTCACGGATGCATAAGTAGTTTGGGAAGAATTCAAGAACACGAGGAAAGCAGCACGCGCATATTCCAAACAAGAAGAGGGAAAGACAACCCTTTACCGATTGAATACTACGTTAGCAGAGTTATGTGTTAAACCACACGCCAATATGGTATTGGAGAAACATACAAATATCCAGTTTGCTAACATTATCATCAGACTCAACTTTAAATAATGAAAACACCAAAAGCAACCCAACCGCAAGACTAAAAGATATTTCTTATAGCCAAAACATCTTCGAAGACTCTAGCAACAATGCATGCTAATTCGTAATCAAATTAATCAAAGTAAAAGAAACATACCCGGTACGTGCACTCCTTCCGAACATACCCGAGTTCTGCCTGTGTCACATCGAAAGACAACCGAAACATCACTCACCAAAAGGCGATAAGAAAGCTACGAAACAAGCTATCCATACGAACCGAAAGTAACGCAGACCATATCCATCACCTCAAAAAGCCCTACCTTTAGACTCTCAATCTCGAACTCCTCAAAACTCCCGGAGCGCGACGCCGGCGACGGCGAGGAAGGCAATGCGGACGCGGTCCTGGCGGCCCCATTCGCCGGCCTCTGGGAGAGCTCCCTGGGAGGCGAGTAGCTGACGGAAGCGACGTAGGGGAGTGAGGACGAGGAGGAGGAGGCCGAGGCCGAGGCGGCCGCCGCCGCCGCCGACAGGAGCTGGCGCGGCCGCGGCGGCGGGGGCCGAGGCGGAGGGGGCAGGTAGGTGGCCGGAGGAGGCAGGGGAGAGGGGGTTTGAGGATGGGTTTGGGAAGGATTAGCGGAGGAGAGCGCTCGCTCCTCGACCTGGATGACCTGGTCGAGGAAATCGGCGTCCCACTCCTCGAACCCTTCGCCGTCTTCGTCCATCGTCATATCTCCCGGCGACGATCGGCGGAGGTCGGGGCGGTGAGTTCCGGAGCTTCGCGTCGCGGTGTCGCCATGGGAGGAGTGAGCAGAGAGAAGAGAGAGAGTGAGAGGGAGAGAGAAAGGGAGGGGCTTAGGAGAAGGAGAGGAGGTGGGCTGAAATATGAGATGGTTAATTACGGTTTGGCCCTGGAATTTCGGTTAATTTCGGCTTTTGCCTCGTCTTGGTTTTATCTTTTTTTTCTATTTTCCTCCCCCGGTGGTGGGCTTGCGGGGTAGAAAATTAAGGGTGTACACGAGAAATCGGGTGGAACCGATCGGTTCCGGCGGTTCTTGCAACCGGAGATAATCGGTCGAGTTCTTGATTTCAAGTGCGGAACTGAATAGTCCAGATCGAATTGGATCGATATGTTTTTTTATTTTATTTTAAAAAGTAAAGAAAATGAAATTACCGAAACCTAAACCAGAGCGATCCAATCCAGGAACCGGACCAATCCAAGAACCAGACCGGGATAAACCGATCCGATTTTCGATTCTAGGGTGGAATGGGTCCAACCAAGGAAATAAGAGGTGAACGGGGACTGTAGTGAGAGAAAATTCTAATCATCTACGTGTTATGGATGTTTTTTTAATACTGAAGAGATGTAAAGTGGGAGAAGGCTTAAGTGTTTTGCATTACATTTGATTCAAGGCAAAGTTCTACATAAATCTATAATTTACTACATCATGAATATTTTATCGACTCTCCCATTGATTTAGCGATTCGACTCGTTCACAATTTAATATATACCTATCTAGGGACTTAGTTTTTGAATTTTAATTTAGATATTTTACAAAACTCGATTCGATTCGATTCTTGATTTATCGTTCGCGAGTTTGAAATTTCGATACTTTTTTTTTTCTCGATTTGACTATTATGAAAAGGAGGTTCTTGATAAATAAATTAAGAGAATAGATGCGATAGACAGAGAATTGTGATGTCACGTAAGTACGAAACTGTCGAATCAATTCACAAAGTAATTTCGGCATAATCTAGTTGAATGATTGAACGCGGTCTGCTTATTAGACCCCGATTTGGGATTATATTAAAGTCAGTCTAGTAAGGGCGAAACTGTGTTGTCTAAGCAAAGCTTGGAAGGGCCAAGGTGCACTTACCCAATTCAGAAAGCAGAATTGTCTGTGCACATCTATCTCATTTTCCTTTCAGATTGACATGACCCGTGATTACTTCTGTTATTTATTAATTATCCATCTATAATTTATCGCGTCACTTTCTGTAAATTAAGTATGTAGGTAACTTTTCTTGGAACGAAATAGAAAGGTGATTAAAAAGAACAGCACTTTTGTATTTCTTCGCAGAAAGATAAAACAACTTAGTATGCAAGACTTGGAAAAAAGATCTACATTGAAGCTGAGAAATTGCAAGGCCCCGTAAAGACTGCCATGACTAGCACAGAATTTCATATTATCATAATGTATAATTCGCCGGAAAAGCTACACCAAAGTAAACAAACAAACCGAGGGCGGCGACGGCCTCGCCAGCCTCCTCTTGGCCCGTCGTCGATGCACAGAACATCAAAACCTTCCCTTACAAAACCACACTGCGAATTGAAAGATACATTTTTGAACTCAAACTTTAGCGAGCTGGGAAGCCATAAGAGAGCTACAGCGGAGCCCGCAACTTATGCTCGCAGGCTGCCGGCTCGACGAGGTGCTGCTTCTGAGGTCCAGGATGCCTTCCCCGGCGCCCCCACGGCCTCCTCCGCCACGCCCCGTGCGGGTGGTGGTGCGGGTGCTGCCTGCCGGCGCGGTGCTTCCGCGGCATGTGATGGTGGATCCCCCCGGCGGCCTGGTGGGTCGGCGACGAGGAGGCGGCGGCGGCGGCGAGGACGAGGAGCGCGAGGACGAAGCACGTCAGGAGGGTCTTGTGCTGCACCACCATCTTCTCCAGGCGGCTCGTGTTTGTGAAAAGTGGTTCGGAGATTTCGAGGGACAGGTTATGAGGTTTTCTCTCTCTCTCGTGTGGCTGGATTCCACCGAGTTTGAATTCCCGATTTATACGATCTTCGAAGCGTTTTTCGTATTGGCCGATGGGGTCAAACGTGGGTGCGGTTGGTCTTTTCTAGGTGGAGTTGGTCGCCAATCTTGACTTGTTATACGCTAAATTAGCGGAACTATAACTACATTATTATTATTATTGTTATTGATTTCTTTTTTTTCTTTTCTTTTTGGTTTTGAGCGGGACAATATTGCTGGAAGTGATGTAGTGGGGACATTTCGTTTGGACCGAGTCGTGGGGAAATGCGTTGGCGCTCGGTCTTCTCGGTCGGCTTGGAGGGGACCGAGGCACTACATGGTCAAATGTATGCGAGTCAAATCCCACCCCGGTCCAAATTTGATTGATCATGTCGTGTCTTTAAGGGTGCGCATGATAACTATTATATTTTTCTATTTTTTTTATTTTTCTATTCTCAAAAATCGGTTTGGAATAGAAATCTATTTAGGAATAGAAATCCGTTTAGTAGCGATATTTCATTTTTCTATTTTTGAAAAAATTTATTTACTTCATAAATAAGTTTGGAACAGAAATGAGAAATAAAATTTCTTTATATTTTTCTGTTTTTTTAACAAAAGAAGAAATAAAAACTCCTCATCGCCGCCGGCTGACCGTTGCCCGTTGATGAATGGAAAAGAGCACAAGAGGGAGAAATTTTGTGTCGTTATCAAACGAATTTCTGTTCCTGGAAGAAAAATTTTGTGTCATTATCAAACGCGTATTTCTCTTCAGAAACTCGTTCAGGAATGACCAGAAATCTATTCCATAAACAAAATGGTTATCATTCGTACCCCCAAATATCCAACTAAAAGAGTAAATTCGGTTTCACTTTTAGAAAAGCTATATGATCTCAAAAGTTAAAAAGTTGTCTTATTCCTTGTAACAAATTGGGTTATGATCGATAACATGGTTAAATAAATGATTTTATGACAATCAACTAAAATGCGATGACTTTTTAATTTAGGATCCGTTTGTTTGAAGGAAAACCGTTCTACGAGACATTGTTTTTCAACTTTACAGTGTTTGGATGACAGAAAATTAATCGATGTACAAAAAAGTTTTCCATGGACTAAAAACAACAAACTTAGATTGGGTTCACTAAAACCTTTATGATAAATGAAAACATTTCCAATGAAAATCATTTCTAATAAAAATAGTCAGTTTTCATTTGTTCGGCGATTTCCTTAAAAAATCATTTTCCCCGACTTGTTATTTTCAATTTATGGGAATGTTTTTTTTTATAGATGAATTGATTTTTCGCCATCCAAAGTTCAAAAACAATCATTCGAAAACGATTTTTTTTCTTTTTCGAACCAACGGATCTTAGGGCACTTCCTCTGTGTCCCCCCATTCCCTTCCTGAGTCCTTTCATCTATTCTTTGTATTCTCTCCCTGTGGTGGTTTGAGGCTCTTCACAAAGTCAAATCTCTTGCATGAAAAGTAAACGTCAGAAAATGATGGCGGAGTCGTCAGGCTCTAGATCCGACTTCGCAGGTTTCAAATTCGAATTAGAAGGCGTCCCATTCAAAGTAATCATGCACGTCCTGCCTATCCTCCAACGGCTGAAGATTTTACGTAGAAAGTATATAAATGTCGTAATCTAGGTGCATTCACTTCTCGGAATAGAAATGTAAGTAAAATTTTTTATACTTTTCTGTTTCTAAAAAAAAAAAAAAAAAAAAACTCCTCATCGCTCGCCCTCGCCTCCCGTCGAAGCTGTCGCCACCCCTCACTGATCGCTGCCTCTCCCGCCTATCGATGAATGGAAAAGAGCGTAAAAGGAAAAAATTTTGTTTCATTATCAAACGAATTTATATTCCTGAAAGAGAAATTTCGTGTCATTATTAAACGCGTATTTCTTTTCAGAAACTAGTCCGAGAATGGCCAGAAATGTATTTCAAAAACCAAAATGGTTATTATTCGTGCCGCAAAAGTATTTACTTATCCAGCTAAAAGAGTAAAATTGGTTTCATCACTTTTAGAAAAGTTGTATGATCTCAAAAGTTAAAAAGTTGTCTTATTCCTTATAACAAATTGGGTTATCATCAATAACATAATTAAATAAATGATTTTATGACAATCAACTGAAATGCGATGACTTTTTTATTTAGGGTTCATTTGTTTGAAGGAAAACCGTTCTACGACAGTGTTTGAATGCCGAAAAATTAATCGATGTATGGAAAAAGTTTTTCATGAACTTAAAAACAACAAACTTAGATTGGGTTAACTAAAAACTTCATGATAAACAAAAATATTTCCCATGGAACTCATTTCTAAGAAAAATAGTTAGTTTTTATTTGTTTTGTGATTTCCTTTCTTATCAAAAGAAGAAGTCGTTTTTCATGGCTTGTTATTTTCGATATATGGAAAATAGTTTTGTCCAAATATCAGAAAGTTGAAAAATAATCATTTGAAAACGATTTTTTTTTATAGGCGCGACGTGTCATTTTTAATTATTTTTCTTGAGACACGTGCCACGTCAGCAAAAATAAAAATAAAAATAGAAAAAACTGAAAAAAAAAAAACCAAAAAGGAAAAAAAAAAAAAAGAACCGGCGGTGGCCGCGCACGACCACGGAAGGACCGGCGAGGGTCGCCGGCCTTCCCGGCACGGCGACCCTCGCCGGGACTCGCCTGGGCCGGCGAGGGTCGCCGGCTTCGGAAGGCCCAGCAACCTCGCCGGTCCTTCCCGCCGCGGGCTTCGGCCACTACGGTGGCCGCCGGGCTTGGCCACCGCCGGTTCTTTTTTTTTTTTTTTTTTTTTTTTTGGTTTTTTTTTCAGTTTTTTCTATTTTTATTTTTATTTTTGCTGTCGTGGCGCCACGTGTCTCAAGAAAAATAATTAAAACGACACGCGCGCCACGTCAAGCATTTTCCGTTAGTAAATCTAACGGTGTTAACTTTAGGACTCAAATGAACCATTTTGACAAGTTTTATGACTCAAATGAACTTTTTGCAAGTTTTAGGACTCAAACGCACTTTTGTGACAAGTTTTAGGACTTGTAGTGCACTTATCCCTTTTTTTTTTTCGAACAAACGGATCTTAGGGCACTTGCTCCGTGTCGCCCCATTCCCTTCTCTCCATGCGGAGGTTTAAGGCTCTTCATAAAGTCAAATCTCCTGCATGAAAAGTAAAAGTCCGAAAATGATGGCCGAGTGCCGAGTGGTCAAACGTAGGGGTGTGCATGGTCCGGGTGGGCGGTTCTCATCCCGGAACAGTGGACCGCCCGCTACAAGGCCGGTTGGGCGGGTCCATGGAATAGGTCTCAACAAGTTTTCCTAGACAAATAAAAAAAAAATCTGTGGACCAACATCGGATCAACAAAAAAAAAAGAACATAATTTTTCATACAATTCCTACACTATGATCGATTATATTAATCACATTATCTATGAATCAAGTAGGTACCCATTAATTATTGGGAAAAATGATCAAGGTATCCCAACTACACAAGAGCTTGCAGACATGATAACAAATTTTCTTCTTTTTTAAATTTTTTTGGTCGGATTTTTTTAATTAAAAATTAAATAAAATAAAATATATTTAGTCAAACGTCCCGTTCAAAGTAATCATGCACGTCCAGCCTATCCCCAACGGCTGAAGATTTACCTAGAAAATATATAAATGTCGCAACCTACGCGTGCACGTGCGAGAATTAGTTGAGGTGACAATATGGATATCAAATATTATTGAAAATATATAAAAAAAAAAAAAGAGTTAAAAGAAGAGGGCAAAAGCCCGAAACGCGGCGGCCCGTGGGCTCGCATCGAACCGATTGGGCCTATAAAGCATTTCGAGTAGATTTGGACAAGATCAAGTTCAAGCCAAGCCCGACCCTGCCCAAAAAGTTATGCACAAACGTTTTATGATGGGGGAGCCCGGAGCAAGAACCATGGCTCCACCAATATTCACCAAATATAAGCAAGAGGAGTTTTTTCCTAAAAAAAACCTAAAATAAAAAAAAAAAAAATTGGGGTCGGGCCATCCTGGCTTCGTTTCTGGCCTTAAGGCATGGAAAAATCAAATTCGGGTCGGGTCGGCCAAGGCCGGTCCGTTTCCCTCTAATCGGAGTCGGAGTCGGAGCCGGAGCTCCAAACCCGGGGGACGATTCTTTTCTTTCTCCTCAAGAAAGAAACAACCCAAGGACAAAAGAAGAGGCAGGGACAGAACAGACGGGCGTTCTTGATTTTCTCAAACTCCTTCCTCGCTTGCTTGCTTTGCGTACGAGGCCTCTTGTCTCTCTCTCTGCTCTCTCTGTGTCGGAGCGGCGGCCATGGCGGCGTTGCAGTACCTGGACACGCTGCGCAGCGCGCACCCGGAGATGGCGGAGTGGTACACCTCGCTGGCGGATCTCTACCAGAAGAAGCTCTGGCACCAGCTCACTCTCAAGCTCGACCAGTTCGTCGCCCTCGCCGTTTCTCAGGTCGGTCACCCCCCCTTATCTCTCTTCCTGGGCAATGAGTTTTGTAGTTTCGGTGAATTGTGTGAACCGGGTTTTCATTTCCCCGCGCGGGGGATCGGAATTCGAGGCCTTCGGGAGGCCTGGGGTCCGGCTTGTTTGTTTCGACGTCTCGCGGTTGGGGGAAGCATCACGGTCTTGTGGCTGATGGCATTGCCGATTGGGAAGAATTCGTGCTCTAATTGTTGTCCTGTTGATTGGTGCTGAAGAGATATGGAGTATGAGTAGTTGCGATGTTTTTGGGTTGCTGGGTTTGCGGGGATTTTCCTTGGATGTTTGTTGACTGAGGTGGCTATGGCTCTGTGTTGCAGTTTAGCCCTTCTTTTAAGGAATTCGAAAGGCATTCGTTTGCTTTGAATTTGAAACGGCTAGGGGGAGAGAGGAAGGGAGGGAGGGAGGGAGGGAGGGAGAAAGAGACCTATAAAGTCTTTTTCCTTCCGTTCAAGTTTGCTTCAGTCTGTGTTTGTTAGCGCGGCAGTTGTTCAACAATGTAGCTAGCGACCAAAGCAAGTTTTTCTTTATTTCAATGCTGATGTTGAGCTGATGGCTGAAGGGGATTGTCTGGCAAGTTCTGAGTTCCCATGAGGAATTTATGTTCTGAATCTTGGGAAAGTAGTTTACTAGATTACAGGATCAAATAAGTAACCTGCTAAAGTTCTCTGAATCAGGGATGTTTAGGAAGAATAAATTGCGAGGGTATCTCCAAAATGAGATTTATGTGGGTTGCTTTAAGCTAGCCTTCATACGTTACTTTGGCTGGGGATCCAATGTTTCTCTTAGCCACTTTAAATTACTTAGTCAATCCAACTTCTAGTCCCGGTGGTAAATCATGGTTGCTGTTAAGGTTTGTGCTTACTATGCATTTCTCCTATAAGTCATTGCATCTGTCTGCGCATAGTTCTTTTGCAGATAATTTGATAAGCATCGGTAGTTGATCAAGGCTCTACTCCCCCTCGCTCCCTCCCTTGATTTCTTGAGTAGATCTGCTGACAGGGGCCAAATATGATACAAGTAGGATGCACCCTTTTCACTAGAATGTGTTTGGCAGAAAATTAACCACAATATTATAGCCTATGTTTCTGTTAATCACTGGCTAAACACAGTAGAAATTGAATTCTTTTGCGATAAGATGGTTGCATTTATCAATAGTACAAGTAGGCATTATTTCCTTTTTGTCTTGCCGTTAAAAGATGAATAAGTTTGATCAATTTACACTTACTCCGAGTGTGAATATATGAGCTGTGAACTTGTTGACCTGAAGTAAGAAATATTTTAAAATCTACACCAGATTGTAAAGTACTCAGCCCATTTGTCAAAGGCTTAAGCAAATGGCAATGTTCTGAAAAAATGATTGATCGCGACGTTCAATTCCACCAAAATTTTGACAGGTTGATGCCTATGTGATCTTTAGTTTTTTGTTGTTGGGCCACTTTTGCAGGGTAGAGCTTTCTCTAGAAATTAATGAATCTTGTGCGGTTTTTGTAAACATGGATGTGACAATAGATGACTACATATTTGAATGTTTAGGATCAAAGTGAAACTTGAGAATGTTTAAGGTCCAAGGGCAACTTCCAAGTGTGAAATGATTCATATAATTGGTGTATTAGTCTAAAAGAAATTAAGATTTTGACGGTTTTGGGACCCGGAATGGGGCGAGGGTGCCCTCTGCACTGTCTCTGCTCCCTCCCTTCCCCTATACTCTCTCTTACTCCTTCATGTATGCGCATTGTAGAATAAGGCAAATCTCCGCAATGTCTGATTTTATGGTTAGCGGTGCAGCAAGTTTTCTAAAATGTGGACTAGGATTTGTTTTGTCCATTCCCAATATAGGGGGTCGGGGGCACTATGGTTGACTTTAACAGACTAAAGCAATATGGTCAATGCCATTGATGTGTTTCAACAATGAGCTGTAATTTTTTCTATGTTTATCCTCATCTGGTAGTGGTATGCAATACTTGTGATTTCAGTGAGTTCTTTTTACTTCTTTCCATTAGTTAGTTACACAATGTTTTTCTTCATAACGATTTCTTACATTTGGCATTCTATAACTCTTGTTTTTGCTTTTGCCAACTTTCAGGCTGGTGATTTGTTGATACAGTTGTATCATAATTTCATCACTGACTTTGAGACCAAAATTAATCTCCTCAAGCTTGCCCATTTCGCCGTAGTAGTTTCTAGGCAGTATTCAGAGAAACAAGCTTCCATTAGTTATCTCGAAGGGATTATAGAGAAGCTTCAATCTACCAGAGAGCAGCGTGTGGAAGAGCCCATCCTCTACATTAAGATGCAGATAGCTATGTTCAAGCTTGATGAGGAGCAAAAGGAGTGTAAAAAACTTTTGGAAGAAGGAAAGAGCACTCTTGATAGCATGACTGACATAGATCCGTCGGTATATGCCAGCTACTATTGGGTTTCATCCCAATATCACAAAGTTCGAAAAGAGTATGCTGAGTTCTATAAAAGTGCTCTCCTCTATTTGGCGTACACCTCAGTGGAATCTCTTTCGGATTCATTTAAACAGGTACTTGGTTTGCAATTGCACCACATTTTGTGAAGCAACTCTATAGAGGAAGCTGTTCCCAATTGTACTGCAAGCCTCGATTTGATTTTCTTTGTATGGGTTGTCAATTCTCAATGATGGTCTAGTTTTTTTATGAAAGTATCATTCTTTTATTCTTGGTTCTGGTAAATTTGGATGCTTCCTTGGTTGGAGAAATAGTAAATGGTGGAATGGGATTATAACTCTACTCATTAACTTTGAAATAAATGTAGTGCAGTATATTGCCTTGCCACCAACCTCACTTCCGGTGTGCAAATAGTTGAGTTTGTGCGTGTGAGTGTTTCGCTGTTTCTATCCTTATAGACTTTTAGCGGGACTTTGCTGCATTATGCTTACTAGCATAAACTATGTTAAATGGACTTCCGGTAAAATGAATCTCCATTTGTCTTTCTCCTTAACTTTAATTAAAAATGGACAGATTCTGAATTAAACTGCTTGGTGAAAAGTAAATATTTGTAAAAGACTTGTGTTGCACTAAAGGTCAGGAATATTTGTGGAGGTCGTCATCAAGAAGTTGGAAATGACCTCAGTGAAGAAGAAGGATTGCAGAGTCTTCTTTTGTTTCTGCATGCTGAATCACTGATGCTTTTATATCATTTAGTATTATTCTGTAGTTGCGGTTTATGAGAATTAGTTTTCTGACACTTCCTGTTTCTTTAGGATTTGGCATTTGATTTATCTTTATCTGCACTATTGGGAGACGACATATTCAACTTTGGCGAGCTGCTATTTCATCCTATTGTAAGTACTTTATCAAAAAGGTTATAAATCTCTTTAAGGTTTCTTTTTATGGTAGTTTACCACATCAAAATTTCAGTGGTAGGTCTCGTTAGCTCAACCAAATACATGACGCTCTCCCTACTTTCACTTAAAGCGCATGGTAACGCATGTTCATTGCATAGCTGTTTGTATTATGTTGATGACACTTTTTCTCCAAAGCAACTTCAAACATATCTTGCTTTGGGTTACGTGGTCCTTTCTAATTTGCTATTATTTATTTCCTTTTTTTAGTTTATCTTTGAGTTAATATCTTGACTTTAACAAATTTGACAGATAAAGAGCCTCGTGGGAACAAAGGTTGAGTGGATGTACTATATTCTCGAGGCATTTAATGCTGGTGATCTGCAACGCTATCAAGAACTTTGTCATGTACACAATGCTGCTCTTAATGCACAACCTGGTTTGGTCGAAAATGAGAAAAAGCTATTGGAGAAAATCAACATTCTTTGCCTAATGGAAATTATATTCAGGTCTCACTTTCTATTCTTTTTCCTATCTCCATTTTTGTCATACATTTTATTTCACATTTTTGCATTATAAGCATGTATTCCCCCGCATGTAAAGCATACATTCTTATCCTTGCAGCCGTGCATCAGAAGATAGGACAATTCCACTGAGTGTGATTGCTGAACGCACAAAGCTTTGCGTAGCTGATGTTGAGCACCTTCTCATGAAGAGCCTTTCTGTAACTCTCCTCGATTCTTTTGTATCTCTCTTGGTGGTTGTGCCATTCTGTAACATCTTATTTGGTGGGCTGTTCTATAACATAGGATCTTCTTATCTTCATTCTGGCTGTGTATGATCCTTTCTAGTTTTGAGTTCATTTGGCTATAGTTTGAATTGGCCTTATAGTGCAGCTGTATACATGAAGCTTGAAGACAGAATAAACTCCATCTCAATTGATTAGGGGTTTAGATTATTCAAACTATAGAAAATTTGATAATCATATAGATTGGTGGAAGCTTCATATCTGATTTAGAGAACATACAGAAACTCTTTTTTTCTCCTTGGTCTCATACTGCGGATACGTGGGCAGTGAAGATCTTCTGTTTTTTCCTATGTAATTCTTTTCAATTTTGGTTAATCCCAAAGTCCAATTTGATTGCATCTTTTCCTCGTATCATCTCAGTTTTTTAGAATAACTGTTTGTTTGACGCCCATCCATCAGTTATATTAACTATGATTATGTCGATACAGGTTCGTCTTATTGAGGGTGTAATTGATCAAGTAGAAGGAACAGTGCATGTTTCCTGGGTCCAACCAAGAGTTCTGGGCATTCCACAAGTTACATCCTTGCGAGATCGGTTGGATGGTTGGCTGGATAAAGTACACACTGCTTTGTTATCCGTTGAAGCAGAAACACCTGATCTTGTCCCTGTGTAGTCTTATGTTGCTTTCCTCTCTGCCAAATGTAACATTCCCTGACTAAATGCGCCGACAGCAAAGTGAAAGGAGCTGAAAGAAAGAAGAGAAGTGTGAGGCAGTTGGGCACTTGGTCCATATTGGTGCTTCCTTTCTTCAGTCAATTTGCATTTGAAGTGGCTGTCTCTTGCGCTTTGTGTGGATTTATTTGGCAATTGATCGGAGACTTAGTTATTAGGTTAAAGATGATCATTTACTTGCTAAAGACAGACAGCAGAATATGCAAGGAGAATCTCATTCGATATTCCTGATATGATCTGTCATAGGGATGAATTGCTCATTATATTTTAGAATGAACATGAAATTCGTTGTGCCAATGGTCTCACTGTGGCGCTCTCGCACTGCTCGTGCTTCTTAGGGCATATGATGCCGCTGTATGTATCTGCATGCTGCATGGCCTTGAGCTCTTCAAGATTTAGGTTTCCGCAAATTCGATGTATTGAGGCCTTTAACTTGCGCGCACACATTGCTTGTGCTTCTTAGGGCGTAAATGGGTTGCCACTGTACATATCTGCATGCTCCACGTCCTTGAGTTATTCATGATTGAAGATTTGGGTTTTCGTTTCCTGCAAAGTCGATGTATGGAGAGCTATGTCATATGAGACCATGTCTTACCAGTTACCATAGCGTTCCCTCAATTAGGGTAATCTGCGTCCCAAACTGGATAAATTTCTTTCTTGCTCCAGTCGTCTGGCTATCCTATTTAGCATCTTTCTGAAGCTATTCGTACCCTTCCAATTAGGTAACACCTGCTTGAAATTTCAGATCCGATTCAGTGGTATAATACCAGCCATCTAGTACTTCAGGAACTGCTCAAAACCCCTTTGCCTTGTGGAGACTCAACTAGGGTATGGGCACCTAGCTAGAGAATAGATCGCAAGGTAAAAGCAAATTCACTTGCATTTGGAATTAAAAGCACAGTGAAGAACTACAGGCTACCGTGTATAATAGGACTACAGAAGAGGAAAATCCAAGATTTTAGAAGACGGGAAAAGAAAAGGTATGAACTTACTTGAATTCCCTCAGCTAAAAATACACTTACTTGAATCTCTTCGTGATATATACATTCCCATTGGGTATTTCGAAGAAATAAAGGGACTAAGATCCAAAAAAAATAAAGAAAAGGACTAGAAATACAAACAACACCCCATTGTGACGACTCCAGCTCGAAGACAGTTTCGGCTATCTCCATTCTCTATTGTTCTACAACACACCAAGAACCTGAAGTGGAGCCTCAAGACTGACCAACTTGCTATTCGTTAGTCAATCAAAACCAGTGTTGCTTACAACATAAAACACAATCAATATATGCGCTTACCTCCCGTTTCATGTCTATGTTACACTTGTACTGAATCTCAGATGAGTCCTCGTATTACTCTTGCCTGATATATGGAGAAGAGCTCATGTCTGTACTGTAAAACGAATCCTCCTGTCCGCCATAGTAGTTGTCGTCTCTCTCCTCGTCCCACTTGAGAACCTCTCTTATATACTTGAACGACTCATCAACAGTTACTCGATCCCTCGCTCTAGCTTGCCACACGAAAAGCTTACGACCGGTGAGGGAAGCATAGAGGTCTTTGAACTTCATCGCGACGTAGTAATAAGCTTGTTGGGCCAATGACTGGTTATTGTTGTGGGGTTGCACGGGGCTGAAATCGTTAAACCACTCACAGGAACTTAACGATACACGGTTGACCTTATCCTCGAAAAGGTCATATTTGTTCAATATCAACACAAAGGGTGTTTCCTTAAAGCAAGGCTGTCGCACAACCGTCTCAAAGAGTTCCTTGCTTTGCATCATCTTGTTCTGAAGTAGTGCGCCGCTGCCGCTGTTGTCTGTAGCAAGTGACATCTTATCATAGTCGCTGAGGGCAACACAGAAGACCAACACTCGCACGTCTTCGAACATCTCAACCCATTTGCATCCCTCGTTCATCCCCTTTGCATTTACCCTTATGAGCTGGTATCTGCATAAAAAATGTGAAGTTTGAAAATTCTTAGAAATTTGACCTCCCAAAGAATAATCATTTAGTGAAAGTATATATTCAGAAAACCATGTTTTTGAAAATTCACTTGTGGCAAGTGGACATGTTTTTTACCAGAACAAGAAAAGGGTCTGCTGATTTTCCTACATAGTAAATGCTCAGACTCAATTGCGCTTTTAAATTATAACCATTGTAAACATGGGCATTTGAAACGGTAAAATATAATTACTTGGTCAAAGGCAGGGGTGGAGGATCGAGATTATCCGTGTATGTTTCGGACATTGGGCTACGATCATCAAATGAGAACTCCATGAAGGCTAAACCGTTTCCTTGGCTGACACCTTCTGCATATACTATATCTCGTTCTGAAGGTTCATATTCATTGCTTGATACCTCAACAGCCTAGAAGGAAACAAATCATCATGACTGAATTTGCTGAAAAAAAAGGCAGCAGGCCTGAAAAGCCACATAGAATGAACAGCAGACAAAGCCCTCAACCTATCGACATCAAGAAATGCTCAGTGCAACTTGACAGGCTGATACAGAACATAAACATAAACTGTAGACATTCCACAATTTGAATTGCATCTCCACAAAATTGTTTGATACACATCAGACAACATACATAACTGAGTGTTAGGACAGAATAACATCACTAAAATAGAGGGAAATATAACTACCTGTTCTCTGCAAATAAAATTCAATAGACAAATTAGGCATAGACTATTTGTCGAAAATTTGTCTATTCTGTCTAAGGAATGCTGAACTAGGAAAGCATATGTAGAGAGGGCATCCACATACCCGACTCAAGAAGAATTCTGCAACATCAGGAAGGAAATGAAGCTCATTCCTTCTCTTATATGTCTCCTGTATCGCGGGATCCCTCCACAACTCTTCAACCAATGGAGCGTACTCACGTGTTGCTGCGGGGAAGAAAGCATCAAGATCTCCGGTAGCTATGATGTCCAGAAGCCAGTCGGAGAAATGCTTCAACCTTGGGTTAATGGAATAAACACAGGGACTATCTACAAGTGACGCAACGCTTCCGCCTGCAAGAGGAGGATGTATTTTTAACACGTTAATGCAATACGGCAAGGCAATTTGCCACATGTAACTTTGAATGATGTAATCTAGATATCTCATAAAGGAGCAAACTGCAGGAAGTATTTTTGAGAAAGCATAAGCACGATAATTATTACAACTTTTTAGTGCTAATTAAGGTTCCCTTCCCACAGAATGGCTGCAGGTACCAGAAATTCAGCTGAGTAGATAGGAACAAGATTTAATATACTATACATTTCAAATTTAAGTTCAAATTGTGCAGATAATGGAATATTAACGAATGATGATTAAAGGGTCGGACAATTAATTCACATCTTTGTTGCAATGTGTTCAGTCTTAACTACTTCCAAAAGTATCCCCGAGGGGATCAAAAACAATATAGAACCTATCAATAGAATAAAAAAATTGGCCTTGCACAAAACAGAGTTCCTTCAAACAAAGGTTCACTTTATCAACTCTTATATGGATATATGAGGATGTTCTTCTTGTTACACAATACCAAAGAGCACTGACAATCACATCCAACATAATTTAACAAATATTAGTCAAGAAGATGCTTCAATTAAATCTCCCAGACAGTAAAAGTCACATTCTGCTTCTCGATGGACTGAATAAGCTGATTATTCTCTCAGTAGTACAGAATGCACATACAGGGAAGATATATTGAGAGACTGCGTATTTTACCCGCTTTAGTAGCTTGATTGTGGGAATTTAGGTTTCTCATCCTAGACAGGGCTTCTTCTTCAAAGCGCTCTCTGCCATCGAGCAAAATGCTAAGGTATCTGTACATGTTGCTCTGGATCATCAACTTAATTTCTTGCAGTTCATCTGCATTGAACTTGTTTCCATAAAGAAACTTTGCCTGTGCAAAATGAATGAAAGTCAGTACAAAGAAGAGATCGCATCAGGGACAAATCATAGTGACGAATCCCCACCCATGAGAAAATGCACCATTGCAGCATTCTGAAACCGTTTTGGTTAAAGGGTACAGCTTTACCTGCTTAAAGATTGTGCTTGTTCCAGATCCCTGAAGTCCAAGTAAAAGAATCTTCTGTAACTTCTTCTGCTCCAGATAATTTGGAATAGTAGTATAATTGCTAGCTTCCTCACGCAATCCGTGAGGTTGACCATGGGGCACGGGTAAAGAGAACAAGGTGCAGACAAATCTTGTTGATGCCTAAGTAGGATAGAGCAAATCGACATCAGTTCAAAAAGTACTCTCTAAAGCAATCCACAACAACAAGAGACTTCCATAGATAACATTACATCACATACCTTTTCCCAAATGTTTCCCCTGATATTGTTCTGACCTTCCTCCTCATAACGACCATCATCATAGACCCAAAAATGTGTGTCCCGTGGGCATTGGACATTTGCCAACTAAAACATCAAGCAATTAGATAAAAGAAACAAAATGGATTTAAGTTAGCAACATCACGAGGAGCAGTGAAGCACTCCAGCACAGATTGCAAAAGCCTACAAGAAATGCAGTACCACAAAAATCACAAGGATACAATCTTGTCCGCGACCATGAGAAGCAAGAGTTTCAGAAAACTTATGAACACTAAATAACAGGATACTTGAGGATTAATTTTCAAAACAGAGGCAGGAAAGAAGCTATAAAATAAACTTTTGCAATGGGGGCCAACAGTTTACCTTAAGTATCCTCAGTTCAAGTTTTGTTATTTCTCGCCCATTCATAAAAACTTCAGTATTTCCCTTGCTTGCATCCGGCCTAAGCTTCCCCGTAAAATTCAGATTTGAACTAATGATACTATCTGGCTTTTCTCCTTCCTGTAAATTAACACATGCAGCTAATCAAGAGATTGGCATTGCATTTATCTAAGCTGACCGATAATTCAGACGTTAAGAAACGAAGTAAAAACACAAGCATAACAAAATATTGTGGCAATGCTGATCCTACCTTCCCCCAGAGACCAGACTCCTTGTCATACCAATATTTTCCTGGTTTCAACTTTCGTGGAGGCAAAGGGCACCCGATTAGTTCAGCCATTTCCTCCGGCTTCAAAGGGCATCCATTCACAATCAGCTGCTCCGGCCGGAGCTGATTCGCGGCGCATTCTTTTTCGGCTTTCATAATCTGCTTTACTTCCAAAGGACTGAGCAACCGAGATAGGACTCTAGAATGTTTACCCAATTTGAAGCGGTTGGACTCATCAATCGGTTCACTGATGCAAGTCACACATTTACGCCCTTCCGGCATCGAACCCATGGCCCTAAGCACACAATTGCTGCAGTACTTAGCAGCACAAACAAGGCACGACTCCTTAGTCTCCCACTTGCCTTTTCCACATCTGTAGCATTCTTTTCTCTTCTTCTTCTTCTTGCTCTCTTTTGAAACCGCAACATACTCAGAAAACTTAGGCTCCTCCCCATCTACCTCTTTCTGCTCCGATCTATCATCAGTATTAAAAGTTACCACCGGTGCTCTCCTAACTAATTGATTAGGAAGTTCATCTGGCAGGCCGCTGTCGTAATGAGGAGAATTGCTAGGGGAAGCCGAGGAAGAATCGGGATGCTGCAATACAGAAACTACCGATTCCGAACTTGCCGATACCCTAGGACTTTGGACAGGAGAGCTCATGACATGGGCAATGCGAGAAACCGGAAGCGAGATTGGTTCGACAACTGGAGGACCTGCATTAGCATCGGTCCTGTGTGATTCCGAAAAGGGTTCTGCTGTGGGTATCAGCCGAGGGTTAAGATCAACTGGTTCGATCCGAGGAACCTCGTAAGGCACCGGCGGACCCTCGTACTCCATGGCGATGGAGTAATCAAGATTGGTAGCATCGTCGGGCAGGGAGGCTCGTGGTGGGAGCATCTTTCTCACCAAGTCCTTCCAGTTGTCTCCTTCCTTCTCGTCCATTACTCCACAAACTAAACCAAACACCACATCCCAACTATGATCTCCAAAGCAGAAAAACCAACAAAAGTATTCCTACGCACGAACAAGATATCACCACCACAATAAAAGGACCAGATGCTTTGCAAAGTCGTAAGACATTCAGGAGAAAGCAGCTGCCACGAACTACTCTTCCTTATGCTCAGTTTGGCGTTTTCTGACGAGGGTTGCAACTAAAATCTTGAGACAGTCAGGAAGCAGCCGGAATCAGACCAGTCGTCATAGTAGCTCATCCGCTTTGAAAGCCTTCGAATTTGAACAAATCAAATCATGATGAACCACGACGCCGGGGTTCGTGTCAAGCCCAAAAAATTTTCAACCTTTCTCAGTCCAACGTTGAGTTTCTTCGCTAAGCACACACACATAAATGAAAGCCAGACAGCGTCCGACTCAACCTGAAAATGACATTTCCGAAATTAAAAACGAAAAAAGTCAAATTTATATCAGAAACAGCAGTGAGGGACTTCAAGCATTGAATTTCCACCCAACACATACAAACCCAGAGATGCAAAGTAATTAGTGATTAGAGCGACAAGTTTGACAATGTTCGAGTAAAGATCATATTTTTCAACTTCTTGAACAGTCAAGGCATTGAAAAAGAGTTGGAGTCAAAAAAAGGGAGGAAAAAACAAGATTAGAATCGTAAACAGCAGACGCGAGATGGGACCAAGACCCATTCGAAAAAGGCGGAACGAGAGACTTTCGATAGCTGTTCAAAACAAAAGATTCTTCACTTACCATTAAGGTTTCTCTCTCGAAAGAATAATCAAGAAAGAAAAGGGTACGCGAAAAATGCCCTTTCGAGTAAAGGGGAAAGCTTTCGACTTTGAGAGAGAGAGAGAGAGAGAGAGAGAGAGAGAGAGGGTACCTGAGTGGGAAAGGGACAAGGCGTGAGCGCAAATCGGAGCTCGAAAAATCACAATATCACACACACCCACAAATCCCGGTGAAAGCAAGAGAAGCGGGGTCTTTGCTTTCTCTGCAACTGTGCTGAGTAGCTTCCCCAGAGAAAGACCGAGCGAGAGAGCTTGCTTTCCGAGCGAGATAAAGCAGAGCAGGAGCCGGGTGTGGTGGCGCAAGAAAAGCAGAGCACACACGCACACGTCCACCACCGGACCTATCAGAGAGTTAGTGGGTTCGGTTCAGAAACCCATCAATCAACGGGAACAGAGCTTCCTCTCACAGACAGAGAGGGGAGAGAGAGATGTGGGAGGTGGGATCCACAGTTTCGAGGATATCAAAGATACCCAGTTGAATTGGAACAGTGACGATGCTGAGGGGACAGCGAGAGAAACAAGCTCGCGCAGCCAAGATTTATGTTTTTTCCTTTGGGAAGTCATATATGAAGTAAAAAGATCAGATTTTTATTTTCTTGTTCTTGGGAAATAGGCTATGGAGTGGCATCGTGGGACATCAATGAACATAGAACATAGGACTTTGTAATAAATGGATCACATGTCCATTTCATTCGTGAGCATATTTGATGTCATCGGCTTTTATGAATTACCCATCTCGTGTCGTCGGTTTCGTAAATTATATATGACGTGCTATTATTATGCTTATGGTAATTTTAACTTGTAAAGATAGAATCGCACAACGAAACTGTTTTTTATGTGGTTTAGCGAACTCAGGGTCAAGACTCGCTCCTCTTCAAAGGCGACTATTCAATTAGGGACACAATTAAGTCAAATCGACATGATTTAGTGCTTGAGTGGTGGAGTTGGATTCCATTCAAATATTTATGATTCGATAATTGACTTTGAACTCGGTTGAGCTAAACATCTCAAAACTTGAGCTTGAGCTTGACTTGAATTTTTTCGTTTTCGAAAATAAACTCAAGCTCTGCTCAGCTCAATTTGTCAGTAAATTTTACTTTAAACTTAGGTAAGCTTGAATTTTTTGAAACCACCCTCTGATCGATGTTATGTTTGTGAGCACGAGGGACAAGAAGCTGGAGATAAAGTGCCACCAATTTGAAATTTTTTCTCCGTTTCCTTCTCACAAAAAATTAAAGAATTTACTTATTTTCCACATTCATTTTCATTCCCCTCTCTTTCCTCCTTTTCTCAACGAGACCATAAAAGATGTTCCCTATTTCTTTAATTTATTATTTAGATATACAGAATTCAGTACTTAAAACGCAATATTTATTTAGGAAAATCAACTTTTTAAGCCGAGTACTTTTCAAAGTTTGAGTTTGACTCAATCAAATACTTAGAGCTACACAAACTCGCCTCAAACTCAAAAAGAGTTGCATCGAGTTTGAGTAAAGTAAGATGCTAAGAAGATGCATAGCCAGTACAAAAATCAAAAGAAAATATCTTTTTATACAAGTTCTAGTGATTTGATGTTAATGCTTTTATTTTTAAAATTGAGACAAATTACAGGATCAAATTTCACGTCAAATGACAAAGGCACGAAAGAAGCTATCAAATCGGAGAAAGAGGAAAAGTATCGGAATATGCTAAAAATAAATTCCTATACTAAGTTGATGCATTTTAGTGTGTGTGAATATTATATATAAATGAACAGATTCACCAAATAATGGTTTGGCAAGTCCACAGTCATCCTAAACACCACACAACGGTGCAATGAATTCACAGTAGATCTGCATGCACATGCAGTCCAGAAAAAGACAGATGCCTTCTGATAAAAAAAATCACAAGTTGAATGTTTACTTCCTCAAGCCGGCATCGATCAAAGACCGCTAGATCATTTCACCCATCAGGGGCCACCAATGGCCTGCCCTGATGAAGAGACCCTGTGATGAATGCTGTTTGGGCTCCACAGCTGTGCGGTCCTCTTCATAACCTAAGCCTCAGGGTCTGACCCTGTGACCGTGAGTGGTGCAGTTGAATTATTGCTTTCGTTTTCTCTGATGGGCCACGGCAATCTCTTAATGAGAGGCCTCGTGTTGTGTCCTTTTTTATTAGTTTTTCCTTTGACTATTGATGGTCTTGTTGACCAAACTCACTTGTTCCAATTGGGTACTACTGTTCTTATTGCTGTTTTTAGGGTCTACTCCTGCTAACAGTGGCCTGGATCTAAACCCCAACATCTATTTAGAACGAGAGACCCAGGGGTTGCTTTTTGGGGACACTTTTGCAGGCTTATGCTAAAAAGCTGCTCAAGAAAAGACATTGGGCAAAGGACAGGAGAACAACGGGAGGAATGGGGTATGATTGTTCGTGACAGATTTGGAATCTATGGGATCAAAGCTTCGGACGGCGGAGAATGACAGTGATGCCCTCACGGTTTTCTTGGTATTTCAAAGCTTGGCAAGTGGAGGTTGCAAAGGGGATTATTGTGTGCCCTGCATGTTGGGATGGCACTCATAAGAAGATCTATTGTGCTTTGACCTTAAGGCTAGTGCCTTCTTTATTGCCTTAGTCAAACATTTGAGTCACATGTCCACCAACCATCTTGGAGCCAATGTCATTTCTCTCACGAGGGAATGAGAAACTCATCCGAATAAAGTGGATTGACGGTATCGACCGGGCTTACAAAAGATTATGGGGTCCAGTGGTTAGGTCGGGGTCGGGTATCGTGTGCAAGCTTGATTAAAAAAAAATTTCACCTTACAAACCTAAAAACTTTCACAAATGGAGGTCCGGATCCATACGGACCTAGGTCAAGCTCATGAAGAGAGAGCACTTGTTCAAGCCCACCCGGTCAAAAAAAATTTCTCATAGCAGCCCCAATGGGCCCATCTGTGACATAAGCCCACTCTTAGCAAACGGTGGAGATCTAGCAAGTGGCAAACACATGATCAAGTTTAGTCAGAAGTAACAACTGTTGTTACTCAATTTATCCACTGTGGAGTTCTTTCTGCCGCTGCTTGATGCCACTAATTCTATGAAGTTGGCATCATAGTCTCGGTGCTGCACACGAGCTCTATTGATTTCCGCCATTCGATTGCATTGGCCTCAAGTGGGATCCCTCATAAACCAATAGTCGATATAGCCTCGGCTCATATGCAGCAAGAGCATGCAAGCAATGCCCGGTTAAAGTTGTGGGTGTCATGCCATGGTCTCATCTTGCAGACATAAATGCAGGGCTTACAGAAGTAGAAAAGGTCGAGAGCTTCAATCATTTATGTGGTAAAAGTAATTAGTGTGCTCAGGGGGTGAGTCTTTCTGGGATTGATTCCAGCCTAAGCCCTAGTGACATGCCCATGCTGTATGATGGACTACGGATCCGTTAGCTGACGTGGCAATATTCTACAGGTCCAAATGTTGGGAGGAGAAATCTGATGCAGCCATCCCCTCCAAAACGTTATCCTATCCACAAATTATCTTCTTGTCTTATAGGCTCTGGCACAATCTCATGGCTCCAATCATCCACCAACCTCATGGATGAGAAATTCCAATACGAATCTTGAAAACACTTTCCATATGACGTTCCACTCTCTATTAAACAAGAAAAAGGAAGAAGTTTCTTACTTCATTCGACACTATCAGCTCACTTCACCTTTGACTTTGAAATCCGAATCCACTCTCAAGTTCATTCTCTTGTTCACTCTTTCAATACCCGCTAGCCACTTTCCCCATGGCTCAGGAGTTTGGCCCCAACCATGGTCTATGTTCTTCCTCTTCGTGTTTTTTCTCAGCTTCTTCATTGATGACTTGATTTTTCTCATTAAAACTCTTTTGAGTTTTATAATGATGTGGATGAGTCAGGATGATTAGGACACTAGTCCAACCCACCCATGTCTTGATTCCACCACGAAATCATCAACAAATACCCGAATTCAATCTGCAGTCGAAGGAGCAGGAGTGCTTGTCGTTGTTGAAGAGATGTAAGAACATGGAGGAATTCAAGCAGGCACATGCACGAGTCCTGAAGTGGGGATTGTTCTGGGAATCTTTCTGTGCAAGCAATCTTGTGGCCACTTGTGCTCTTTCGGCTTGGGGAAGCATGGCGTACGCTTGCTCAATCTTTCGCAGAATATGTGAGCCGGGTACTTTCGAATTCAACACCATGATAAGAGGGCATGTTAAGGATATGAACTCTGAGGAAGCTTTACTTGTTTATGCTGATATGCTTGAAAGAGGGATAGAACCTGATAATTTCACATTCCCTGCTCTGCTGAAGGCATGTGCCCTGTTAAGGGCACTTGAAGAGGGAATGCAAATTCATGGACACATTCTAAAACTTGGGCTTCGTGATGACATTTATGTGCAAAACAGTTTGATCAACTTATATGGGAAGTGCAAGAAGATAGAATTATCGTATGCGGTTTTTGAAAATATGGATCAGAAGAGTGTTTCTTCTTGGAGTGCTATTATAGCAGCAAATGCTAGCTCGGGGTTATGGTGTGAGTGCTTAATGCTCTTTTGTGACATGAACAATGATGGTTTTTGGAGGCCTGAAGAGAGCGTTTTGGTGAATGTGGTTTGTGCTTGTACTCACTTGGGTGCACTGCATTTAGGAAGATGTGCTCACGGTTCGTTGCTGAGGAACATAAGCTCGCTCAATGTAATCGTACAGACTTCCTTAATAAACATGTATGCTAAATGCGGGGCCGTACAAGAAGCAGCGAGCCTCTTCAAGAAGACCGCAGATAAAAATCAATTAAGCTATAGCACCGCAATCTCGGGTCTAGCAATGCACGGCCAGGGCCGAGAGGCGCTGGAACTTTTCTCAGAAATGCTCAGCGAAGGCCTTAAGCCAGATGATGTGATCTACGTAGGAATTTTGAGCGCTTGTAGTCAGTGCGGCCTTGTAGACGAGGGTCTCCAATTTTTCGAGCAGATGAAATCTGAATATGGGGTTGAACCGACCATTAAGCACTACGGCTGCATGGTGGACCTGCTCGGTCGAGCCGGGTTGCTCATTGAAGCTTACGACCTCATAAAGAACATGCCCATGAAGCCAAATGACGTTGTGTGGCGGAGCCTTCTAGGTGCTTGCAAAGTTCATCAAAACTTGGAAATAGGAGAAATTGTGGCCAATGAACTACTCAAATCAAACTCAAAGAATCCTGGCGACTATATGTTGCTGTCGTACATGTACGCAAGAACCGGGAGGTGGGAGGATGTTTCTAGGGTCAGAACAGAGTTGGTCGAGAAGGGGATTTATCAGGCACCGGGATTTAGCTCAGTTGAGGTGCAGAGGAAGATATACAGATTCTTTGCACAAGACATGAAGCACCCACATGACGATGGCATTTGCGACATGATTCACCAAATGGAGTGGCAGCTGAAATTTGAAGGGTATGTACCGGATACTTCGCAAGTTTTGCTTAATGTCCAGGAAGAAGAGAAGAGGCAGAGACTGAGAGGCCACAGCCAGAAGCTAGCAATAGCTTTTGCCCTGTTAAATTCATCTCGAGGTTCTCCAATCAGAATCACCAGAAACCTCAGGATGTGTAGTGACTGTCACACTTACACAAAGTACATCTCTTTGATATATGAAAGAGAAATTACTGTAAGGGATCGAAACCGGTTCCACCATTTTAGAGATGGAACATGCTCTTGTAATGACTACTGGTGAGTTACAATTGATGTGGAAGTTCTGATCTCCAGGTGCACATAATTACATGATTAGGAATAGCATTTATTGAGAAATCATCCAGCATATATTTTCTTCATCTTAGTGGGAAATATAACATTCTAACAGGGTTGGAATAGTCAATTAAAAAAAAACATGGTCGGAATAGAAAAATACAGATACAAAGTAAAGTGAAAGTGGGGACAAGATGGGGGAGTTCAAATTATCATTTAGATTGCCTCCTTTTCAGCTGTCTTGATTCTTGAAACTCACATAAAGAACATTATGCAAACTATCTTCTTCCTTGTCCTGCAGTCTCATCTTTATAAATGACAAAAGAGAGGAAAAAAATTTCTTCCAACAACCAAATACTACAGCCTGGAAATCTAAATAGCCTCTAACTGTAGGCTTATGCAAAGTCTCTGGCTAATGAGAAGCATTTGCTCATCACTGGAACTACAATTTTCCCTATATATCCAAAGGGATGCATCATGGTGTATACGTATAACACATTTAGTTTGTCCTAGAGCAGAAATATAACTCAAAACAACGGATAGCAGTACAGATGAATAGGATACTAGTGATGGACCGGGAATATGATGGAACAATAGACTTTTTTTTTATTTATTTCTTCTGCCAGTCAAATATGTCTTAAACATTGAAGATTATTCCTCTACATTGAAATACAATTCTTGCTTCCAACCCAATATAGGGAAATACAATAGCCATTAACTTTGGAATGACAATTGCAATTCCAGTACACAAGAAAGGAAAAAAGAAAAGGAGGGACTACTCAATGCGAATAGCAGAAACATTTGACGTAATTTCTGCAGTTCTTGGGTCACCTGTTTCTAATGATACTCCCCTAGGATCTTCCCCGACTAATAAAGCCAAAACATTGAGCGAACTCCATGCTTCGACAAGGTTTTGGTTAGAATCTCCTAAAGTAACGGCAAAGATTGCATCAAACCCGCCTGCTCCAGGAACCCCAGCCAGCAAAACTCCTTCCATGCCCATAGTCACATCTAAAAGCCGAGTCTGTGATTCAGGTTCTATCTGTAAACCAAAAAAGGAAGCCATTTTTAACGTGACGGAGAAACACAAGTGGAGTATCAAATCAGAAGTTTGTTTATTTTTCTCCGGAGAAGAATGTAAAATATCCAACGATGAATTCTCTAAGGAAACATAATTACAAATTTACAACAGTGGGCCAGCAATATTTAGTACATGGTAAAAACGAGTGTTTTATTTATTTCTCCTCCTAGGAAGAATCAAATATCAACAAATTACGATATAAATAACAGAAGGAAAATGCACTTACATCTAATGGGCAACATCTTTCTTAGATACATGCAGGATAATATTGGCAACATCAAGACAGTTAAACAGTAGTAATCAATATAGTAAGAGTTGGAAATTGAAAAAATGGGAATGAAACCCATCTTTTCAATTTGGAGCTACTCTGCAAATCCGTTTTAACTGTTAAGCATGCATGAGACGGAAAAAAGTTTGACCTTCTCCTGAAAGGTTTTATCTTTGGTATAGACCGTACAGTACATGATCAGCACACATTTAGAATATCCTCAAGAGGAGGTAAATACTGCAGTGTGTTATCCAAAAGTTCCAAAAGCAAGTACATGTCTCCCATCTTAATAACAACAGTAGAAAATATTAACACATGCATATATGATTGATCTTGCCTATGTTACATGATTTCCAGTGACAGAGAGAACCTACAGGAACACCAGCAGCCTGACCCATCGACCGCATAAGATTCCTGATCCCAAGCATAGCATCTCTTGCTCCCAACAGAGCTTTGACAACAACTTCTTCTCTTGGCTCCGTTCCAAGCTCTATCCACTGTTTGTAAAGTTTGTCAGATCATATCAACAGAAATGATAATATCTAGTCCTCAGGAGTGCTAACATGAGGAAATGATATTATAGAAGAAAGATATCTATTTAACAGAGAAAAGTTTAATGAGCATAAAATATTATTCTGCACGACAAAACTTCCTGCACAAGTATCACTTAACACACTGTAGAAAATTTTCCTTCTAAAAATGGCTTCCCTTTATATTAGATGGCCTAAATTTTATTGGGTAAATGACTAGCAAGTAAGCATTTGAAACCAAAAATTATGTTTAAATTTGAAAAACATTAGAAAAAAAAAATTAGAGACATTTGAACACTAAGGAAGTTGATGTCAAAGTGTTTCTGCCCAAGGATGCACCCCTGTATAAAGTGAGTTTGTTCTGACATGTAAACAGGATGACACCCACTCTATCATACGCAAGTACCTTAACCCTATTCTGCCTCAAAGGCTCACAAAAATACTTCGAAGAAACAGAGCTTCCCAGGAAGAGAACAAATAAAACCATACAGATACTATACACAAGATATTTACAGGATACTAATGAGATCCACTATTCAAGTTCTCCTATCTAGGCCAAGCTATATACTAAACTCCAAAAGCTCTACTGACCACCTCATACCACCAGTCTATTCTGTAGCTAATCCCTCCATAAATACTTCAGATCCTATGAGAAAAAGTGTCCTGCATCATGATTGGTTGGATTCCTAGGACAAGAAAGCAGGCTAAATTGCAGCACATTCAGGGACAAGAAAGTCGAGATATCGCAGGGCAGAATAAAAACTTTTCTCATCATCCACAAAAAAGAAGCATAAAAACAATTTACTCCCTTCCTAAAAAGGAGCCCCTGTAATAAAAGATACCAAATACAACGGAAATCGGGTACACTGTTGACGCAGGAAGAATGATAGTGATTCGATAATTCAAATAGAAGAAATATGGAAGCAATTTGTTTCAAAAACATCACATAGGTAGATCATAATTGTCATGAATTTACACATCAAGAGAGTGAAATCCGGCTCAGAAAAGTACCTTGTCTGCCTTGAGCGGGCTGCATCTGTCTATAGTACATTTATACACGTCCCAATTTTCCTCTGCTAATTTGCTCAACAAGTTAAATTGTCTTTCCAGAGTTGAATTTGATTCTGACAACTTTGTCCACGTCTCTTGGGCATTCTGGGGATCAGATTTTTGCCACTTCTTCACAGCTCCTACCATGGATGGGGTGGACGATCCTCCTGTTCCTGGTTCTCCGAGCAACTAATAGAAAGAAAACAGTGAAGGGTAAATTTTTCCAAATTGGTTTCTTGCTTTCCTGTGGGTAGTTTATTCAAGCCTACAAGTCTCAACACGATCCTAACCATTAACAATGCAAGAATTAGAACAGAAAAGGTCATAACACAAATGCCTGGCAAACTGAAGCCGAAAGCACAGATTAACAGTGATATCAATTTTTACAGTTTGCTTGTAAATTCACAGTAGGAAATTGCCGAGAACACATTTCCAGACATCTTAATGTGAAGAAATCAGGACAACAAATTTCGGTAACTGTTATATGACATTTGGCAGCAGATTTACTTCTCACCTATCCATCTTGTATTAATGTGAAAGCACTGGAGTATCATTCATAAAAACGCTTACAAGTGACATTAATGGTGGCAAGGAGAACTTCGTCCTCTCATGGTCCCACTTTCCGTTCAAGATGTCAACAATGACATCATCTAGAGGCATTCCTTTGACTGCAACCTGGCACTCAATAAAAAAATTGTCTAAAATGAAAACATGCAGTATGTCACATTCTTCCTGGACATTCTCAGAAGCCTTTACCAGATTTAACATGTGATAGAAAATTATGATAAGTTATGATTCATCTGGAGTCTCGAATTACTTATCCAAGTAATACAAAGACTGTTTGCCAAAACCAAAAAAAAAAAAAAGAAGTGATGCAGAGACTAACGGTAAACTAACCTTTTTACCTCCATTTGGCAATAGCGCATTTCAGTAATAACAATTGAAAATTGTGAAAAATGCAATTTGACCATAGAGTATACAACCAAACCTTGGACAAACAGTCAGGCAACCCTTGTTCTCAAAGATACGTTAATGTAAGCAAGAATTACACAGGTTTGCCCAGAACCGGCAACACATCCCCAGTTGACCCACATAAACAAGCAAGTCCAACTTTCAAAAAGCCAAATTCAAGATATAATTTAATCAGAGTAAACTGAAAATGCTGATTCACTTTGAAATATTGCAGCCAACATAAAGGGTGTTAATACAACTTATTCAACCATCTGAAACTGAAGAGCGATTCTAAGATAAGTTCAGCTAGCTAAGAAATTACAATCTTAAGCCGCTCTACTATAGGCAATCAATATCACCTAAACTCAGCCTATACACACAAACGTTATGATCTGCGCCTGATTTATCAATTGAATCATGTCTCTAAGAACCTATTACCATGCATATTTCTGGCCATCAAATGGAACAGAATGTTAAGAGTCCATTCATGTTGCATAAATCATAACAAAAGCAAGGAGAAACAAGCTGACTTTATCATTTTAAAGTGCAGTAACTTTATGAGACATTCACGTCTTCATCAGCCTATATAGGCTTTGATATGTCAAAAATATTTGTACTACTTATGCGCAGGTTATGGGGTCAGTTATTCACTAGGAAGCCCACTTTCTTCTTAATGCATAATTGCAAACATTTGAGTTCATGCAATTTTTTAATGTGAGACTCATAGTTTGCTAAAATAATCTCTCATATGCTAAACCACTGGGAAGCCCATGCTAACTTTTCTAAAGCTGCAGACAATGACTACCGATAAATAAATTCTCTAGCTTTATCCTCAAAACATCAATATAGTCAGACTCTGAAAACAAAAATGTGATTCAATCCTCCATAGGCCATGACCAGCAATCAAATGAACCAATTTCTCCTCTCTTTTCTAGCTCATTGGGCATGAGGGAGTCAAGGCCAATATGAGGAGAGGGACGGATACCTGAGCAGAAGAAAGCACATCTGGTGAAAAGCGGACATAGCGCTGGCTCCCATATACTGCAGAGCTGACGTCAAAACCACTACCAACTTTCCCTTGAGCTATGCAGTGAGCACTTTGGGCAATCATATGTACAACATCAAGCTCCGAGGACTCCGTCGACAAGAGAGAAAGGTTAACAACTCCAAAGTAATGAAGTAAAGCAGCAACCACAGCTGTAGTCATGGCCGCAGAAGAACCAAGTCCAGTTTTTGCAACTTCTGGTTTACATTCTGCATTCGAGTTCTCAGCGTTGAAGGTTATTGATGCAAAAGGAGGAAGAGCAGCTAATGACTCTGGTACCAAAGGTAATCCTCGGGCTTCAATCTAATAAAAGAATAAATTCCAATCACGGTCCTGATTCATAAAAGAGAACTGAACCCAAAAATAGAACTTCAGAACAAGAACGCAAATGCTGTTGGATCCCATTGACTTCCCTCAAATGCTAAAAGAACAAACAATCTGACAGCATACAAAAGCATTGCATCAAATGAAACAAAAACCATAGAGGTATTTTACCTGATTCCGGTATGAGTAGAAGTCATTGCAGCCTATAATTGTAATATCAAGCCCTGAAAAACTAATACTAGACGTTATTAAAATATCAAACTTCTTCTATCTGCAAAAGGCATACAAGCATCAATCACAACCTTGCAAGAGTAGTTTGTGAAGCTCGTCTTTTTTGTTCTTGTCAAACTTTGCATGTGCAGCTGCCACAGCATACTGCACAGCGTGCTGCACGAACGGGTTGCCGGAGTCGCTGAGATTTCAAGCAGCTGGGTTATACTCTGTTTAATAACATTCCTATACATGGTTCGCTCATCATACGAATTATTAAAAAAAAACAAAATCTCTGGTTTTTTCCTCAAATACTATAAAAGGTGATAAAAACCTACCTCGAAGAGACTGTCTGGAGAGTCAGATTGTTCAACGACAACTTGAAATTGCTTTGTCTAGACAACTGAGGAGATGTTAACTTGACATCCGTATATACCTGGAAGAAGATGCAATTGTTCAACTTTATGGAAGAAAAGTTTTACAGGGGAATGAATCAATAAAATCTAATGGACTCTGCTAGATTCTACAAATCCCCCGAAACATTCTAGATCAAATCTAAAAACCCTTTACATTACAATTATTGCTGGAGGGTCTCGTGGCAGATTGTAGTGAGAAAGACTCTCTCCACAACATCAGCTGATCAGGACATCTCGCTAATATGGCCTAGGTGCATCTCACTCCAGCATTTCAAAATCAACAAATCAGTTCTGTTCAAAACTTTGAGTCTCCAGTAGACGATTCCCACAACTCATGTATAAGAAATGGACAAACCTTAATTATAAGAAATTGCTAACAAAAACCTCAAGCACCTCAGAAGATTAAGGAGATATTTGTTGATGGAATAGAATAACTTGCAAAAGGTTCGCAACAGAAAGCTCAAATGACTAATTTTCTTTTTCCTTCAAAAAAAGTGTTCTCCAAAAGAATATTCAAGCAACTGAAACAGCAGCAATCAAAATTTTAGAAGATAAGAGTTGTGAAATCACTCACCCACGACCAGCTGTCAGGTTTGATTTCTTCGTAAAGAGGTTTCACGATTGCATAGAATCGAGCATTCGTGCTAAGAACAATCCCTGCGTTGGGCCTCTCCAAAACAAGATAGCCGCCGGTCATCAAGACCTTCCCAGGAGCCGATGCAACACTGATTATCACATATAAAAAATGTCAGGATCGAGCATCAATTCCTCCTCGAAAATGAAGCTTCTAACGTGATTTAGAACGATTGCCCTTCACATAGTTGATCCCAACATTATATCATCTATTGACCAGCGAAACAAGAAACGATCATATGGACCAGACAAAAGAAAGCATCCAACTTTTCATTCAATGGTAAAGAAGAAACAAATTCTGATAAACACCCACTATCCAAGAGTTGATCTTTCTTCGAGTTCTTAGCCTTTTATCAGCAAATCAAAGCGGAATCAGCAAAAGCAATCAAGGTGCGCTGATGGGTATAATTCAGCAATCCCATAACAGCGAAAATCAGATCAAACGGGGATTCAAGAACTCTTACACTGTCATTGTCTTCTTCCTCTGTCTCCCTCTCTCGCTCTGTCACTCTGCAAAATTTCTTTATGCAGAGAACCCCACGTGAATGTCACTCCACTGCAGCTAACTGCAATTAAAGCACAAGATCTTCCACTTTACAGTCGTGCACAGGACATGCAAGAGAGAGAGAGAGAGAGAGAGAGAGAGAGAGAGAGAGACCTCCAGCGAGATGAGATCCGTTTACACTCGATGGAGTCAGCGAAGGCGACGGTTGAAGTGTTAAGCTTTTGACGAGAACTTCGGCGTTCAATGCTCATACACGCTCACCCACCTACCATGGTCCGTTCTTGCTCTGCGTGTGAATCAATATGCCTCCTTTTGGCCTCACCTTATTCAATGCTGAATAATTAGACTTCTATCTTTCTACTTAATTCTTTAAATTCCACCTTGAAATTAAATAAGTGGAGTTCTCGTTTACATTATCCCTGTTGAGATGTATACGTGTGAGTCGTGTCAGAAACGTCTCACAACGGAGAATTGGTATAGTGATGAGTAGTTAATATATATATCGATTGCCTCATCATTTAATGGCTTAAATTTTTTACGGGCTCGGATTGGGCTCCCTCTTGGCGATCTTCCCGAGCAAAGGTATCGAGCTTCTGCCGGTGGTTGATTGGTGGTCCACGGACCCTTGGCGATGTCGCCAATAGCTTGTAATTCGGTAAATATGAATTACCGAATTACAATTCGGCCAGAGAAAAGACATTTGCAGGATTTCCCCTTTTTATCATATAAAATGCCAAAACTTCAGGTCAGATGGCACTAATGAAAATGCTGTAGCATTCCAGCCAAAGTTGACCGAGGGGATCTCCCCCAGCGGCTGTATTTTGACTTCCATCTCCGTTCACCTTCTTTGAATGTCTCTCTTTACTTATCTCATTCTTTAGTACTCGGAGAAATCGCATGTCAATTGCCAATCTGGGTAGGCGAGAGCTCAACGTCACCATTGTGTTGTTCTCTTCCCGTAGATCAAGTAGACCTTCCACAGATTCCACATGATGCATTTATGTGGAGCTATGACTAAATTTCGTCGCTCTCTCGAGATTAGGTGCGATATCCTGCTCCCGTACGACGAAGAGTCGAGCAACAACAGAATGGAACTTTTGAGAAACGAGAACGGTTTGCCGGAGTGGCCAGAGAAAAGACATTTGCAGGATTTCCCTTTTATCATATAAAATGCCAAAACTTCAGGTCAGATGGCACTAATGAAATGCTGGAGCATTCCAGCCAAAGTAGTGACTCGAGGGGATCTCCCCAACGGCTGTATTTTTGACTTCCATCTCCGTTCCACCTTCTTTGAATGTCTCTCTTTACTTATCTCATTCTTTAGTACTCGGAGATAAATATTGCCAATTGCCAATTCGGGTTAGGCAAGAGCTCAAGGCCACCATTGTGTTGTTCTCTCCTCGCAGATCAAGTAGGCCTTCCACAGATTCCACGTGATGCATTATGTGTAGCCAATTTAGGTGCGATATTCTGCTCCCGTACGACGAAGAGAGGAGCAACAACAGCATGGAACTTTCGAGAAACGAGAACGGTATATATGTGTAAGGACTGAACCAAGATTTTTGTCGGAGTGGCGAGAAAGCTGATGTCTAAGTTATGTCCTTGTTGGACACGGGATCAAACAACGGCGCCCGTCATGTGTCCACCCGATTCGACCCCATTTTTTTATTGGAATCGAAGATGGATATCGAGCATTTGCGGAAAAAGTATCAGAAAAATCGTAGAATTCATCGCATTTGTTCTAATTTAGTTATAAACCTTTTTTCAGCCAATTAAGTCCTAAACCTTTTGCCGGTGACAATCCTTCCGATAATTTTGGATATTACCGACGATGATGACCACCGGCGAGTCGGCTAACATATACAATTTTTAATAATATTTTTCGATTTTATTATTATTTTTATTTCTTCTTCCTTGCCGATGGCGACCAATCATAGGCGAGGCCGCCCATAGCCTCGGGCGAGGCCAGCCTCGCAAGGCATCAGTGGCGAGGGGAGCCCTTCCAAATTTGGCCGAGCCTCGCCTAGCTTGTGGCAAGCAGCGGCAATTACAAATCTTGACGGTCCGATTCAGTTCGGACTGACTTCGTTTACTTTATTTCAATATAATATGTTCGGATTTTCGGTCGGGCAACAAAAGAACTCGAGAAGCTATAAATTGACCTGACCCCCCGTGGCTTCAAAATATCATCTTTGCAATTACGTCCTTCTGGGCCCGTTATTTTCACAGCTGGGCCTATTGGGCCTGTCCATAGCCTTTTACAATAGAGGAGCACGTACGGCCCAATACTAAGCCCAGTCCCGGAGTCAATGGATTCCTTTGACTCTTCCTTCTTCTTCCTCACCTTCGTCTTCGGTGCTCGAGCAAACCAGAGCGACAACGAACTTGCATGGAAACAACATTGAAGCGCGCGATTCGAAGCAGGTACTCTCTTATCCTTCGCCTCCAGCCTCTCTCGCTCGCTCTCGATTCGATTCGATCTTCGCGTTCTGAGCGGTGGGTAGTCTGTGATTTGGGTACATTTCGAGCTCGCTTTCGTTTTTCTTTTCCTCGATCGCTCCGTCCTAGGTTGTTTGATTCAGGCGAGACGGAGTTCGTCGTACGTTTTGGTTTCGTTGGTTGTTTTGGGAAGACGGAAACCGCGAAGCCGCGAGCTTGCGGCTCGTGGGTATGCAGGAAAGTGTCGAACTTTGTGGACGAAATCTGCAGGCACTGCGAGGTTACACGAGCTCGCTCTGTTCTGTGCGGTTCGCACAGGCCATCAGCGACAGTGATAGTTTTCTACTTTGTCTCCATCTGCTGATCGAAATAGACGGGAAGAAGAGGAGAATTCCGGTAATTAATTAGGATTGTCTTGGAGGAATCGGGTGACTTGTGTGCCGCCGGTGCTTTCTATGTTCCCTTGGCATTCTGCAAAATGATGACCATTTCCCCGTAGTTGACGAGTCTGATTTGTTCCAAGTGGCATCCCCGTGTCTTTTATAAATCTTGGAGCTTTGATGTGAGGAAAGGGGCACAAGCGAGTCAAGCTCCTCGTGGGCTACTCATGACTCAACTTACATTTACTCATGTTCTACTCAGTTGTATACAAGTTTATATTGAATTGGAGCTACTTGAGCTGCTCGAGAGTTGAGCCTCTTGAGCTACTTGAGCCTCCTTGTAAAAGTGGATATAGCCCGTGAGTCGTAAGCTATAAAAAGAAGATTTTTTGGTGAAAGAGAGAGAGGATCATTCATATGCTATCTAGATAATTTAGCCTGAAGCTGTCCTTGATTTATGTGTTCCTCTACTGTTAGATCACATCTTACTTTTTGATCTGGAACAGTAATACGCCATTATTTCATCAATTTTTTATAATCTCGCCGTTCTACGCCAATCACTTTAACAGATACTTGTGATTTGATTTGAATATCCAGTTTGTACTGGCCAAATACATATTGAAATCTCAAAATTAGTTGTGTTACGCGATGTCCTAAGAACGATTATGCTTAAAAGAATAGCTGGAGCTAATCCTGTTTTTTTTTTTTCAGCTTTGAATGACAGATTTGCAGCAAATATTGTCTCTCTGAATAGTGGAAGAGATGCAGACGCTGGGCAATTTCAAGTTACCTCCATTCTTCAATTACCCTCCTTATTTCACGTAATGACTTAAACTCCTTGCATCTCCTCTTCTAATGGGACAGTTTATGTTGTATCACTTATTATGTTAGTTGTTAGGATGCACTTCTTGTCCATAAATTAGCATCAATTACCTGATAGACAAGAGTCAATAGTTATTTCTGAAACTATATGCAATGGTCATTGTTAAGCCCTTCTATTTATCTATAGAACCAAAGAACACAGTGTTTCAGCTTAGTGTATCAGAGCCGAAGTGCAGCCTGTGCTACAACCACAACCCTGGAAAGGGTTGCTTTTGGTCTGTGGCACTGTTTTAGGTCCCTGATTCTATCACTACTCTGTTTTCTTTGTTTCCAATGGAGTCATAGGCAAGACAGGGCGTTTTCATTGTCAATTCTTCGAGAATTTTTTTTTTGTTTGGGGGATAAGTTAGCCCCTTGAAAATCGTACGGTATGGCCGATGGGGATTTTTTAAATGAGCATTGACAAGAAAATTTTGTTGGGGTTTGTGTGGTTAAGCTAAGTAGCTACCAGTTTGTGTGGACCAGCTGCCTGGCTCTGTTCTGATCGGCATTGAGACAACATTTTTTAGCTTATGTCATAATCTTTAAAGTATCTTACACGTGCCCTTTGAACCTTTAGTGAGATTTTAGGAGTCAAGGTCGTATATGCTTTTGGTGTGACCAGTGGTTGTATGCCGAAACTAGTTTCTTCTGAACTGTCTTCTTTAATTGGAAGGGCAAATGCGTACTGTAGCAGAACTGGTTTTCTATTTGGCATGTGAATGCGTAAGCCATGTCCAAAAATTTCACAAACTGTCATCTCTGCTGGTGCACATTATGTGTGTCTACTGCTTTCTTATCTGCTAGGTGTCGTCTAAAAAAGGTTATTGATGCAAGTTGGCTGCAAAAGATATCTCTGTCAGCCATCTAATTTATTATTTTTCAAAGAAGAAATAAAGTGTTAATGGTGCATATGAAGGATTGCTTTAGACATTTCATTCGGGCTAATTCCAAAAAAAAAAGCACCAACTTTATCTTGAGTGACAATTCTGATCCGAACCATTTTTTGTCTCAATAAAAAGCACCAACTTTTACTTGAGTCCCAAATCTGGCTCCCGTGATGTGAAATTTTCAAATTGTTCAGGCCAGATTTGGGATTTAAGTGAAAGTTGGTGATTTTTTATAAGACAAAAAAAAGTTTGGGCTAGAATTGTCACTCAAGGTAAAGTTGGTGCTTTTTTTTGGAATTTGGCCTATTTCATTCTGCCCTAGTCAAAACAAGTGACATCAATTGTTTTGGTAGTCTTCATGGTTCCATTGCCAAAATTTTCATCTCCTTTTCATTTAATAGTGGGAATTCATGTGGCTCACAACTTGGCTGTACGTTTTTCAGCTTGCAGCCAGTAAGGGACACGCGAGAGAAGCAAGTGCAACTCTGGAAGGAACTTATCCTTGATTACTGTAAAACGCAAAAGATATTTGTGATTGGATTGGAAGAAGAGTTTCCACTGTTTTCAAATCCTGCGATTGAGAGTACGTCTTTTCATCAATTTATGCGTTGGGTACTTCTTTTGGTTATTTCTGCGACCAACCTAGGGCTGTGTTGCCTTGTGCTTTGCCAAGAGCATGGTGGCTGGCAGAAGGTCCTTATTTATTTTTTGGGTGAGAGCAGAAGGTGCTTGAATAGCAGGTATCATCATGCAAAAAGTTCCATGTCATGGTGTTTAGTGTTGAGAGTTTCATCTTTTCTCTCTTACAGAACAGGATATCTATTGATGCTAATGAGGAATTATTGTTCCCATCTGCCCCAGTTCATTGGTTGATCACAGTTTATATCCTTGTCTTTTGTCCATCTGCCCACGTTTCTGAACAATACTAGGTCTTATGTCACTCCTGAACAATTTCATAGTTGGTCACAGTTTAGTTTGTGCGAATGTCAAGATGAACCTACCAGTTCTTTCCACTGAATCGATTTCCTTGTGCCATGCAATCTTTTTTAGCTATTGTGTTGGTTTGCACCCTTCCCCAGTTCCTCTCACATTGTTGTTGGTCTGAGATCACTGATGCTTTGTCTACCTAACAACATACGCGTTTTTACTCTTATCACTCTGATAGTGCAGGATCTCTTACTCATGAAGCAAGGCAAGCATTCCTTGCTGCCATAGTTTCCGAAGGTGGGAGTACTTAATAAATTCTTTCTTTTCTGTTTTATGTTTGGTTTATGCTGTATACCGATTCAATATTGTATGGGAGACCATTAATTGCCTTCCTCATCTAGCAGGACGTGCAGAATGGTTGGATAAAGGACATAGGAAGTGTCTTATTCTCTGGCACCGCGTTCAAGACTGGGCTGATATTATATTAAACTTTGTGAGTTAGTTAGAGCTTCAGTACAATTTGAAGCTTGTTAAGTTAGGAGAAGTTCACTCATCGCCCTCGTTTGATTAGGTGAAAGATAATGGGCTGGAGGACTCTGTGATGACGGTTGAGGAAATACGTTCTGGGCCTGAATCACGGGGGACAGGTAAAGTAACTTTTGCATGTTCTTAAAGAAAATTCCAAGACTTGCGCGTTAGGCAAACATCGTTGCTATTGAATTCAACTTGGATAGAAGAAAATAGAGCTGTTTTTTGCTGGAAGTCCTGCGGTCAGATAATGCTATTCACAAACTCTCATAAAAAATTTCCTCTCTCAATTTTAAGTGAATCAAGGTTTGGCAACTCATTAGCATTGGCAGTTACAACTCTTTCATGCAAGTGAAGTGGAGTTTCTTTTTCTCTGCTAGATCTTCAAGGCGTGGATCGCATCATCCTCATGCGAGCTTTGAAACTACTAGAGCACAAGGGGAAGCTTGCGATTTTCAAAGGGACTTCTGCGGATGACGAAGGCATCAAGTTCTCTAGTCGATGATGATGGATGCACGGTTTTATTTTAACTTCTAGCATCTGCAACGGCACATTTACCGTTCCTGGATGCTTTTATTCAATCTTTCTACAGGTTTTTGCGTAAGAAAAACACTATAGAATCTCCCTCCTACTTGTGGACTAACTCTACAATGTGCAAGGCAATAGGAGAGGAGTGCCAGGAAACCAGGGAAGTGGTACGTTGATACCCATCTCTTCCACGGATCAGAAAAATGGCATTTTGAATCACATGCCATGGTTACTTGCGCCCCTATGCTTAACATTGAAGCCTTATCGACAATGCCGTAAACTACCAATGACCCAAAGACTGCAATATAGATGCATGAAATGGTTTTGCAACATAGGTCGTGGAATAACGCTTCGTGACCTTAGTTTGCAATACGATCTATCAGCTTGGAAGACCGATCATCGCAATTGCGGGCTTCGGCAATGAGCAAGAGCTTTCGGGTCGGATCCCGTTATTATCATTGTTATTACTCTTAGATGGGTCTGTATAAACAAGCAGTATCATGTTAACAGAAAACTTTTACGCAACATCATAGCACCTTTGCGTAGAAAACCGAAGTTCCACTATTTCACAAATCAACGATCTCCCATTGTGGTTTGTAACTATCAAATGTCTAATCCAAAAAGTTGTATCTACTTCCAAGTTTCACTACCCAAATTCCATAGGATTGGACATGTGTTTAGACGATCATAATCATAGCAAAATAGGCGATTGACAATGTCACATTATCCCAATTCAAAAGTCATCAAGATGAGAAGAAAGAAAACACAGAGAAAGATTTCGATCACCTTCTTTGGGATTCTTCTTCTTCTTCACCAAATGATGGAGAAAAACCTACGAAATTGGAATTGAGCTAAGTCCGTTCTGCCAAATATACCGTTTTCATTTTGAAAATGGATGCGACGCATCACTTGAAGGTCTAATAATTTGAAATGTGAAACAGTGAGAAACATTATTTCGCGAAAAATCAATAATTTGAAAAAAAAATTCCTGGCTTTGATCCTTTGTTTTGTCTAGAAAATTGAGTTAATAGAAAACACTTTGATTACCAATGAAAATGCTTGGACATAGGCTTTAGGTATTTTTCATTAACTTGTTTTTCTAAGCGATGAGAACAATCAAAATTAGGAAAAATTTTCTAAATTGATGATTTTTTGTGACTCCATTTATTTTACAAAAAATGAACATTGCTCGAAAATATTTTTTTTGTAGAAAATGATTCGTTTTCTTTGTCGATTTCAAACATGTTTCGCTTTTTAATGAAAGGATCTATCCGTTACTTACTTTCTTGAGTGATCTAAACGTCAAAAAATAAAGAAAATGTTTTTCGATAGTATATTTTTTGCGAATTGCGATGGGCGAAAATGATTAAATGATAATTGCAAAGATAAAAACCTGAAATTCACTTTCTTTTTCCCCTACATCAGCTAATTCTAAAAAAAACAAGCACATATTTTACCTTGAGTGATAATTCTTGCTTGAACTTTTTTTTGTCACAATAAAACGTACTAACTTTTACTCTAGTTCCACCGTGGTGTGAAATTTTCAAATTATTCGGGCCAGATTTAGAATTTAAGCAAAACTCATGATTTTTTATGAGATAAAAAAAAGTTCTAACCAGAATTATCACCGTAAATCGTAAAGTTGATGCCCTTTTTTTGGAATTTGGCCTCCATTATTACAGTTTTCATTTGTGTCATTTTTCGTTTGCATCTCCTTCACCGCGATGTTTACTAGAAAATCCAGAGGTTTGATTGCTTCGCTCTCTCCGTGTAGTTTCTAGCGAAGTAGCGAGGAATTTTTCGTTAGGGTTTTATCTTCTTTCGATGATGATAGTCTCTTCCTCGCCGTTGGAGGATTCTCTAGAAGTCGCGTGTTTGCCTGGCGGCGGCGGTGGCGGCTGTCAAGCCCAAGTTACTTAATGACAAAAGAATTGATTTTTTTTTACTTTTTTTTTTCTCACCCGAAAGGATTGGGGTTTTGTTACCTTGATTTGAGGGGCTGTTACGGGGATGGCGAGTCATGAAGGGCGTGGACAATGCGAAATTGTTGTCGTTCCGCAAATCAGATGATCACACCAACAGTCCTTAAACTTCAACCCAATATGTAATGCATGTTCAATATAGTCCCTGAACATTAGCCCGATATTCAATGCAGTCCCTGAATTTTTAATTTGTTCAATATGGTCCCTGAATATTCGATACATATTCAATACGGTTCCTTAAACTACATTGAATAAATTAAGGGTCCGTTTTGTAACGTCTTAAATAGTGAAAATTTCGTTCTTTTCGTTCTCGAAATAGTTTGGGAACAAAAATGCGTTTGGTAAATTTTTTGTTCCCGGGCACATTTTTGCAAAAATTTGTGCCGAGAAATTTGGAAAAGAAACAAAAAGTAAAAAAGTTGCTTCTTGTTTCTCGGCACAATTTTGAGAATCGGTTTTTTTATTTTTTTCTTTTCTTATTTTTGTGTTGTTCTTCCCGTCGGGCTCTGCGGCCGCGACAGGCCATGGCCAAAGAAGAAAATGAATAAAAAAAAAAAAAATTAAACAATTCAAAATATTATTAAAATATTATTTGGGAACATAAATTTTGTGTAGTTACCAAACGCATTTCGTTCTTTTCTACTTAGGAATAGAAATTTTGGACAGTTTATCAAACGCCTTCAAATACTCGAATTTTTTTTTTTTTGGTAACCCAGTGGAACCCCGCACTATGGCCACAGCAATGAGGTAAACCCCAGGGCGACATGTGCTACCCACCACACACGTGCACCTCGTGTTAAGTCCCGCGGCGCCCGGATTCGAACACCCAACTTTTGCGAGAGGAAGAGTCCACTTTCAGCCAGCGCCACGGGCGGTGGTAATACTCGAAATTGTTTCCGACACGTATAAAAAATCATTTCGTTCGTAAAAAAGAAGAGCACAAAATGATATTCAATGCACCCTAAAAGTTCAAGAAATCATATTAGACATTAGACTCAAATTCATGAATCACAGTATACATTGCCCCTACAAACAAAAAGCGGTAGAGATGATCACATAAACACGACATCCCTAAGTCCGGGACCGGGTGTGCGCACGGCGCACCCATCCGCCGATCGGCGCACGTTAGCGAATCCCCCCTTATCACGCGCCGTCCCCTCCCATAGGAGGCCGAAACCATCTTTGAATCTCTCGCCCACGTGGCTCTTCGTCATTTCTTCGGTCGGACCCCCGCATCGCTCTGTTCCTCCACCACCGCACGCCCTCCCTCTCCCTCTCTCCCTCTCCCTCCCTCTGCGAGATTCGCGCGGCGGCGGCGGCGGCGGTCCGGAATTGGCCTGGCCCTCCCATCCCGATGGCGGCGGCGGATGATCTGCCGGAGGGGACGTTGCGGAACGTCCTGGAGCAGGAGACCCTGAAGTGGGTGTTCGTCGGGGGGAAGGGCGGCGTCGGGAAGACCACGTGCAGCTCGATCCTCGCGATCCTGCTCGCCAGCGTCCGATCCTCCGTCCTCATCATCTCCACCGATCCGGCCCACAACCTCAGCGACGCCTTCCAGCAGCGGTTCACCAAGTCCCCCACCCTGGTTAACGGATTCGCGAATCTGTACGCCATGGTAGGGATCCCGTTCCCCTCCTCGCTTCTTTTCTTTTTTCTTTTTTCTTTTTTTTGCCCCGAGCGTTGCGGAGCTTCGCGTGGTTTCGACGCCGTGCGTGCGGCGAGGGTAGATTGAGAGATGGCGGTTCAATCGCTCGGCGGTGTGCTTGGGTTGGCATTGAATTGAAGATTGGTGATTGGTGTGTGTGTTCGTAGGCAGATGGGCTATCGATTTTTGGCTTCGTGCTGTTGGGTCGGTGGAGAAATTTTCGGCTCGGGTTGAAGTTCGTCGACAAGAATTGTAGTTTCGGCTGGGTTTGGAGGACCGGCCCATTCCCTCTGTCTTGCAGTAATGCGTTTTGCCTGCTAAAAGTTCGAATTTTCGATTTGAAGTAATGTTAGGCGATGGTCGGATATATAGCTCTTAACGTGTACGAAAGCTGTGCTGTGTCGCTAGATCAAGAGGTGTACTATTGCCAATTAAAAAAGCTCCTTTTTTGTGGATGAATTGAGTTATATGATCCTGCATTGCTCTTGGTTCATCTCCGTGACACATCATTGTTGTGTACGGTATTCTGTAGGAGGTGGATCCAAACGTTGAGCAAGAAGACGTAGGTAATTCCGAAGGGATGGATAGCTTAGTCTCTGAGCTGGCGAATGCGATTCCTGGGATTGATGAGGCAATGAGCTTTGCGGAGATGCTGAAGTAAGGAGAAAGCATGCTTTTCTGATATTAAGTGCTAATATAGAGTACAATGTTTTCAAGCTATGTCAAAGTACAGTATTTTCGCACATTAAAAAAAATTGAGACATGCAATCTTTACCTTTTGTAATTTCCAAAGCTCCTTTGATGGAGTTCAACAGGTGCCTTAGATTTCCTCGTCGACTTTCTCCTATTATCACATGTCACTATTGTGGACTTGGATTGTTGTTCATACTCACTCCATGTGCATGCACACATAATGTGCGTTTGTGGGTTTTGACTTCAATTGGGAGATGGATAAGGGTGTATAACCTCCTAGATGGTCATTTTAAGATTTTCCATTAGTATCTTTCGTGTTGACATATTTGCCTTGATATTGATTTGAGATTTCCAGGTGTGACCCTAGTGAAGGTAACTTTTGATTGTGTGCCCATCTTTTTAAGTAGACACAAAGCTCTACCGACCAAGTGATGCTGGGCCATTAGTTGGAACTGGATAGAAAGGTTGTAGATTTTATTGTGTTGATTAAGTACCCTTTGTCATCAATGTGAATTATAATAATGAAATGAGGTTTTTCCTTTTTAGGTGGGAGGTAGGGCTTTTGGATTTTTTCTTTTTTAGGTTTGGGGTGGTTATCGTTGGCTAGGACAGTCGGTGAATGAATGCTGGACTAGATGAGGAACTCTTTTCCATCTTAAATTATCCGTGAATTCTAAGATCTTTGACTATGGAAGAATCGTGCTTTTTAGTCTATTTAAGCTTATTACTCCTTTCAAACGTTTTACCTTTTAAGTACCGTCCGTGAGTTTTCATGGAAAACATATTTGTGCAGATTGGTGCAAACAATGGATTATTCTGTTATAGTATTTGACACAGCTCCAACTGGTCATACACTACGGTTGTTGCAATTTCCTTCAACATTGGAGAAGGGACTTGCAAAAATGATGACTTTAAAAAGTAGATTTGGTGGTCTTATGAATCAGGTATGATTCTACTCGTGAGCTTATCAAATGAACTGGTTAATATTGAATTGGTCTTCTGTATCGAGTATAATTTCATTTACTATCTATTGAGGCGCCCTTGTATTTTTTGACTTTTGTTGTATCTCAGTGCTCAATTGTTGGAGGCTATATTGGATCTATAGCTTTTTTGTGTACATGTGCGCTTGCATGTCTCTGTGTGTGTCTTTTGATGTCTACTCTAGCTTAGAACAGTGTGACACTTGTGGTTCAGTCCTCGCTTTTCAGGGCATCGGTTGATTACGTCTTTTATATTCTGTTACGTATTGTGGCTTAGGCATCCAGTTGATTGCAGTTGATTTCTCCCAATAGCTCTGCCTCCCATTCGTGTTTAGAAGCTAATGTTATCAGTTGTCTGGCATTGCATAACATCTCCATTAATGTGTGTATAACATCAGCTACAGCTGTTAATTTAAAACCTGGATTGGTGATGGCAGAAGGTTAATGGAAAGAGATCCTAGGTAAGCATGATAGAATATCATGGAAAGGATAAAGATTACCTGCAACTCTATAAGATTGGGGATATTCATTGTAATTGGTCGTTTTTTATTCTCTTATTTGTTCCAGTTTTGCTTTAAACTTAAAACGTGCAGTTCTTCTTGCACTGTATATCTTCCTCCGACATTTCAGCATGGTGAAACTCAGGAACTAGTTGCCACTTTCAGTGTCCTCATGTTATTGGGATTTAATTACTCAAAATTTTTTAATGATGTTTCATGTTGTTCAAATGTCAAATATAGCCATCAAAGATGTTTCGTCTTGCTAGATATTATTATAATGTCGCGTGACCTTGGAAATTATCCATGAGCAAAACTCGCTGATAATTTTGCGACGATGACACACGTTGCAGATGACGCGTCTTTTTGGTGTTGATGATGATTTTGGTGAGGATGCGATTCTGGGAAAGCTCGAGGGCATGAAAGATGTTATTGAACAAGTAAACAAGCAATTTAAAGACCCCGTAAGTATGTTTTTCCACAATATGTATCTACCCTACGTTTATGATGATGGAGGACATCTATTTTCCTTGTATTGCACCAGACCTTTATGTTATGTTTTTCTTCTTGCCCAGGACCTGACTACCTTCGTCTGTGTTTGCATTCCCGAGTTCCTCTCCCTATATGAAACGGAGAGACTGGTGCAAGAGCTCACCAAGTTTGAGATCGACACTCATAATATAATCATTAACCAAGTGCTTTATGATGAAGAAGGTCTACTTGCTAGTAGTATCCCAGTGAATGTGATGTTCCTATAATGCACGTAGGTATTAATGTTAGTTAATGATGTTGTGCCTGTAGGTGCTGAGTCAAAGTTGCTCAAAGCTAGAATGAGGATGCAACAGAAGTACATTGATCAGTTCTACATGTTGTATGATGATTTTCACATGACCAAGCTCCCTTTGCTTCCAGAAGAGGTAATTGGATTGCCAAACAATATGAAACTTCACCATTTATTGGGAAAAATATGCAGAATGGTTTCTTTCCTTAAGAAAAACTTGTATAATCCTATCCTTCTCTAGCATCATAAAACCTTCATCTGATCAGATATCCTCTGAATCTTTATATTCATAATTCTTCTTTCATGTAATCCCTGACTTGATTTTAGCCCCACCTTCACTCTTTTTGCTTTAGTACGAGACTTTGCCCATTGACATGCCAACCTTTGTTTTGAACCCAAAACCACTTTCCGGATATATGAAATTCTAAAGCATGTAGTCTCGTTGGGAGCAGGAAAAGAAGAATTTCATGACTGTCTCATTTCAGGACATACTTTTGATTATCGATTGGTGGATTTTGCAGGTTACTGGAGTTGATGCTCTCAAGGCTTTTTCGCAGCATTTTCTATCACCTTATCAACCTTCAACCACTAGAGGTAGTGTGGAAGGCCTGGAGCGAAGAATTGCCACGCTAAGGCAACAGTTAATTGATGCTGAAGCAGAGCTAGAGAGACTTAAGAAAGGAAAACAAGAGGCCTAAGTTGTTCTCTTCAATTATTTGCCATTTTCTCCCTGTTCCCCTTTTCAGTCCCCTTTTTACACAATTTACTTGGGCCTCTGGTCAATTTTTTTTTTAGCCGCTGGATGTGTCATCCACTGTATCCCATTATTTATCTACTTGTAGAATTGATTTTTATTGGTTCTTAGTATAAGCATTCTTATGTAATGCAAAGCTATATCAGCCTCCCTTTTTTCCAATTTCAATATACTTTTGTAGCTATCAAGGCTTGTCTAGATCGACTTTAACTTTTTGTTTTTTACTTAACCAAAATGTCGTCGCTCGCGCTCCTTGACTTTTCCATAATTCGAGACACCTGAAATTTGCACAATGTATAAATGTCGACATGTAGAATAATATACATCTTTTCACAATTTTTTGAATTATAGATTATATTTTCAATTTTGGGGAGAAAGCAAAAGATTGCCTGTTGCGTTGTTCAAATCTAGACCGCAAGTGCAAGATCTTAATGTTGAGTGATGTTCTTATGCATTAATTTTTTTTATCGATGACAGTAACTTTTTTGTTTTTTACTTCCCTGGTACCGTCACAAGTGCGAAGTTACAGTCTGTAAACAAGACCACAAGGGAGAGTTATTACTCATGATGGTCCCATTCCGAGGAGAGTTTTCGATATGTGACCACATGCGTTTCTTGAAAATTTGGTCTCATTTTTTCTGCATATTTTTATGAAAGTCGGTCCCATTTTCAAGAACCACAATCATGGATTCACCCACTCTCTGTCCGCCTGCTTCTCAGCACCACGATTTGCCGGTGCACTTGCCCTTTCCTGAAGCTTAAAATCTTCACTGCCCTCCTCCATTTGCTTCATCAGTACCACACGACCTGTCCCGGTCTAAATGATGGGGTGTTTTGCTAACGATTCCGATGACTCGCGTGAAGTAGCAGCGGCGGACCGGGAATGATGTCCGCCGACGACGCAAAGTTGCGATAGCGAAAGCGGAGGGGGGCGGCGCTGTCTGATGAGCGCAGGAACAGTCTCAGGGCCTCTTTCACTTGGTGGGCACTGGGAATAGCATTTTTCCAGTATGCTTCATTTTTGGCTTGGACGATCTACCAAAGGAGAGTTGCCCTGCGACTGCCCTCGGCTCGAACATTTCAATGCCTTTCCGTGAAAAGATCTACCTATGATCCTCTTCATTGTTGGCGCGGCAGTGTTCCCTTGCTTGTGGAAGATTGAAGCTATAACAGTCCCGGCATGGTCATCGCCAGGCAGGGTTGTGATGCTTGACATTGCGATCTCGTCCGAACCGTAACGATTTCATCAGGTTTCCAAATCAAAGCGCCTAGGTAACATGATACCTTTCGTTAATAGTGTTTCTAAAACATCGTGCAAAGTGCGTATTCTTCCGACTGTTCAAACGACGGTATCTTCTTCATCGACATAGACATCTTTCCAATTTTGCAGCTCGATGTCTCTGTTATCTATCTGTTCAAGCTTCGTCAGGAAGGTTCCTAGGGTAATAATCTTATTCTTGCTCCATCATGCATTTCTACCACAGTTCTTCAACAACTGTTCACACTAATTTGATGCCCTTCACTGCACATCTTCCTGGAACATTATACGCTCTATACGAATTGAATGAAACGCCTGGACTGAGGTAGTTGTGATTATCCTCAGACAAGGAAAGTGACCCTGTGAGACCAGAGACCCCGAGCCTGCGCTATGGGCTTTAGCGCGTAAACATTGTAATCCCTTGAGTTTCGACTTCCAGTTGTCCCCATTAGTGGCCAAAATCTAAACACTCGCGAGTCGGACCGCTATTCAGTCGTCCAATCATCGCGTTTCTTGGAAAAGACCAAGGGCAAAGCTTCAATGATCGATGGAACTAGCTGTTTCTATTCCCTGTCATATTGCTGATAGAGTACGTAGTCCTCGTTAGATTTGGTATGATAAATTTTCAACCAGGCTATAGATACCTCTAGTGGAATATCTACTCCTATTCTCACCATATTCCATTTTTCAGAACCATACATGCCATAATGTTCAGACAAAATCTAGATGTCCCAGAGAATACCTTCTATCCTGACTGAGCCAAATAAGAAAAAGTAACTGCTCCTTAGCTAAGATACAAAGAGTGATTTCCATTCACCGAATCGAAAGAGTCTCCGGAGATACAGCAGGAAAAAATGGGTCATAAGTTGCGACTGGGGTTCTCGACATGGACCAAGTAGATACAAGCAATGATTTGAAAAGAAAAAGGTAAGAGTCAAACAAGAGGAATGGCTAAACTAAAAAATACAGTCACTTCCATATCGATAAAGAAACTTTCATGTTCTTCTCTATTCGTTCTTCTCCAATTGCTCTTATATATGGTACAATTAACTGCATTGTGTAGTCATTCGCATCCATTTTCATTTAACAATCATCTGATCGCACTCACTAACCACCATGTAAAGTTGAAATGAAAACTACCACATCCTTCTCTTCCAGTGTGGTATCCAGTTGGCCGCTGAGCTCCCAGTCACAATCGTTCACAAGGACTAGGACACCAGGTCTCCTGCACAAATACATAAATTACATCATGTAACACTATGAATAAATGTAACAGCAATGAATCGCAGGTGTCCTCTGCAACTGGAATTAGACATTTTGCGGTTTGTCTATCAATTTAATGGCTTGTTTTCCTCGAAATCCACAATCTTACTCTTTGATATAGTTAGTCCAGATTATTGTTTGCTGAAAACTGTTAAGTGAGCAAAATTTCTTAAAAGCTAAAGTTGATTAATTGGGAATGACTAAGGAATGTCCCTCCTCCAAGCCAAATTCAAGTGTGGCTCTCAGAAACTTACACTGTGTCTCCCTTGATGAACATTTCAGGCCTCTCCTTGATCAAGTTCTTCTGAACCCACACGAGCAGATCCCTCATAGCCAACTGAGGAAAAAGTACACAGATTTCAGTTTATGCTCAATTCTAACAATCATAAAACAATGCATAAAAATCAGAATAAAATCCTGCTTGCACAGTGAGCCAAATGAGAGTTATTCCATCACGAATTGACATCAGGTCACCTGTTGTGCTCCTTTTGGTGTTTCAACATTGACGTTGTGAATCTTCACAGAATTACACAGAAGCTCCAGTCCCCCTCTGTATTCAGGCATTACAAAACTTATTCAGAGTTATGACAAGGCTCTTTGCGGCAAAACCACCAAGCAAAAGCATTGCCGGGCAAAGGAAGATAACAGAACGAGACCAAACGCAACAAGGAACCATGTCAATCGAAACTTGGCCCAAGATTTTTAAAAATTCCAAAAGTTCATCAACAAAGGGTGACCCCCCCTCTAGCAAATTAAGGTTAGGAAGGCTTGCAAGATTTCAATGGTAATGACGGGCAGAAGCTGCATATTCCGCTCATGAAACCCAAGAGAGGAACTACAACAGAACTTGTTAAAAATTCAACCTTTTTCTCTTGACCAGTACACAGCATCTTCCTTAACGAATCATACATACTCCAGATGCATCACTAATTCCAACTTAACATAGCCGTAAGGGGGTCGGCACGATCTTTCGATAGGAACCCCCCTCGAAAAAAAGCTCGAAAATTCCCATTCCCACATCTCAAATTCAACTAAAAGAAGAAAAAACTGTTAATATAGCAAACGCAGATTCAATCTACTTCCCCAAAGCAAAAGACTTCTGTCACCACATCAAGATGCAAACTACACGAAACCGTGTGCCAAAAGTGCAAAAATCCCCACGACCCCATCAAACTTTCGCGAGGAAACAACCGGACAACTCCAACAAAGGGCATCGATTCTTGCAGCTCAAACTCACTCAAGAAAAACCCATCAGATATCTTGCAGATTCCGCTACGGAAAGAAACGGGCGCATAAAATTTCCGCGCCAGCTCGAAACAGAGCCGATGAAAGATCGCGTTCGCAAGAGGCATAAAAACGGGAGCAGCGCAGAAGAGGACAGACCCGAACTCCACGGTGAGCTGCATCTTCGATGGATCCCGACCGAGGGGCGCGAGGGACGAAGAGGGGATGCGCAAAAACCCTTCCTTTCTTCCCTTCTTTCTTCCTGAAAGATGCCCGAGTCAGAAGACAAACAGTACCAAAGAATGTCTCTGTCAACGAACAAGGCCGTCGAAAGACAACGTTCGTGGATTCATTATTGTAAATAAGTCCATTCGTTTTTTTCCGGCATCAGGAATCTAAGAAATAATTAACCAATAAAAAAGTATTTTCGTTATCGACGATGGTTTCTATAAATATTTTCATGGACGATAAAAATATTTATAGTTGATTTATTATTGTAAATAACGGAAATGATCATTTTTTCAAAAAAAATATCTTTCAAATTATTCGTTTTCTGCGAAATAAACTCACCCCTTGATTTGTTAGAATTTCAAAATTTCGAGTGTAAAAGGTATTGTACATTTGAGCTGAAAATGTGGAACGGCGATCCGAATGCAATCTCAATACACAAATTTTATGGAAAAAAATTGAACATGAGACGGACATACGGGGCACAATCCTACGTATCGACACGAATTATCATCCTTTGATCACAATTCAATTGTGTAGCACGTGTTAATCAAAGCATTGGGGTATATATATGCTAGGTTCGCTTGGAAACGATGATAGAAGTGCAGAATGTTCGTCTCATCAGAATGAGTACATGAGTTCCTTCCGTCCCACAAAATCACAATGGATCGATCTGCAATAGATCCATAGTAGGATTCGGCATCGAGTGTCGTGTTTTGTTACGGATGCGATACATGATCATGATTTCCCTTTTGGTGGCGACGCCAGTTCCGTCGCAAAGCTGCAAATGCAGAACGGATGTATAGCCGGGACTCGGGGAAACGCGGCCAGAACTGCATAATGTATCCTGGTGTGTGTGCATTCCTTCCTTTCATTATTACAACAAAGTATTTTGGTCAACAATCGGTATGTACTTTGTACAGCCCAAAATAGGACATCTCAGATTCTGTCAACTCCGTTACACAAGAAAGAAACCCACTACAAAAATAATTTCCCCATCCCGTGTGTGATAATAAAAAAGGAAGCAGAAGCTGTACATGAGAAATATACTCGACTGGGGAAAATGCAATCGGTGTTCTCGCGGCGATCTTCGTTTGGAAATCCGAGCGACTGGGATTAGTATGGCACATCAGATGGTTAGGTTTTCTTGGATGGCAAGAAATGAACCCACGATGTTTCCTCCAACGTCGGGGAAATTTTCGCATCCTGGAAGAGGCCTCACCTTGCCCTTCCGGTCGACTTTGACAGGATATTTTAGGAGATGCCCTCGCATCTCCGACACTTCCTCGGCTGCAAATTGTTGCCAGTACATCTCGCCGAGTGATCTGACCCTTTTAACACATTCTAGACTTTCTGGCTGTGTAAAGCAATCCTCGATCCCTCCGATGTGCTCAGCCCACAGTGACATCCTATATCCATGGATCTATAAAGCAAAGACAGGGACAAGTCAGAAATCTGTCCTGTAAATACTATCTATCTTCATTCGACTTCCGTTACTCATCCGTCCAATCTTTGCGTAAAAGTGAGCAAAGTGTAAGGCACATAGCAAGATAACTTCCACAACATTATTTTGCTCGAATCAATTTAACGCTATCCCTTAATTTACAACTTTGAGGGAAAACAGCTTCTACTTTATCACATTTTGGAGCAATCATTTTATTCATCACCAGTTCAACATGCAAAACTACGAATTTGAAATATCTTTGAAAAAAGAAATGCCCAAACGATATTAAAAGCCACCTGTCCACGTGGATTAGATGATTTTCTCGCCCATGTATGCTGAGGCTGGTAGGCCCCCATAGCAATCTCAGTGTCTCTTGTTCCCTCCATAGACCGCTGGTTGATATTAGCTGACCCCAATATCACATACTCGTCATCCACTATCATGCCTTTTGAGTGGACATAAATCATGAATCTCCGACTTTTCTGGCTGTGTGCCTGCAATTTCCCAAAAGTGTAGAGAGCTTTATAAATTCATTTGTAAAAGTAGACAATCCATAATTGATCAAGATTTCAGAAGCAAAACAGATTTGGATCATTGAGACAGCGAAAACACCAATTAATCAGTAAACAACTCATGACATCTGTAAAGAAAATATTCATTGATCACAGAGACAAGTGGCCACACAATGAAACGAAAAAGAAGTTTAGCTTCTTAGGGACAGGAAGTACTTGAGGGGTATTTGCGGCACTGGGACTTCCAGTCTGTGGAGTATCACTCAAATCTGGTGCCTCACGATTCCCAAGACAGAAGAAGTTCAAAAAATCTTCCGGAGCAAATGCATCTTCAAGCCCAACCTCCACCAAGGCCTTGTATATGGTCTCATACATCATTTGCATAGTTTTATTCTGCACAAGCAGGAATACATCATTTGCATAGTTGATCACAAGAGAACACAGCAAGCAAAGATGCTTTAGCTTTATGCTGTGACCTTGCATATGATCAGATATGATCGTAATACAATGCAACTTGATGGATTACAAAGATCAAAAGCAAAATAATGATGCCATAAAACCTGACGAATTTGATTGAATCAGCACATTAGGCAATGCACATTACAAACATATTTTTTGATGTTCCACTTCCAATCAATTATATTGGCTCTGCAATCCTTTACTTTTTTTTTTTTTTTTTTATAAACCAGAGAAATCTTTTTCTTTCTTTTTTGACTTATAGCCGAGTGGGGACAAAAGCTGTCGAGAACAAAAAAGTCTTGACTACTCATACAATATTGACATACCTGCCAATACAGAATCCTTTGTGTGGCAGCCCCTGTTGGAACGCCCTCTGGCCACATAGGGACTACTATATATGCAGCAAATCTCTCATGTGCTCTAATTTTATCGGCAATTTTGAGAGCAATTTCCATTGGAATGAGATTGTTAGCACCTACAGAATATGTATTAGAGTGACACCAAATTCATAATGGGTAGAAGAAAATCAGAGGTTTACTAAGAACCAAACAATCAAGTCTATCCTAGCAAAGAAAAATAACAATCAAGTTTAGGATAGAATCTTGATACCTATGTCCTTGTGCTGATTCCAGTTGTAGGAAGACCCGATGAAATATTGATTCTCGATATAGATGAAATGTTGGGCAGAACGTATGGCTTTTACATATGCCGTGTGTATGCTCATGTCAATCAGCACATTCTTTCCACAGACGAGATTCTGCTTCACCAAAGTAAATAATAAATTCTCAAGAAAGAGACTGATTTTAACAGCTGCGTGCAGATGAAACAGAGGATGGCTAAGTTATTTATTTCCCCTCACCATTTTGGTGGCCTCTTTTGGATCCTTTGGGAAGTCCCCCTTAACAGAGCTGGAATCAATCGAACGAAAGATCTGCATTAAGTCATATAACTCCAATCAATAAAATTTCCATCGATAGTTTCTCGGATATGTAAATATTTCAGTACCTGAACATGCCATGACTCAGGATCATCCTCCCTAACAAAAGAAACATCAGATATTCCAACAATATCTGGAATTCTGTCTATCCTGAGCAAAGCATCATCATATGACATCTTCAGCTTTTTAATCCCACGGGGTTTGGCAGCTCTAAACCAGCGTTCCTCAAAGTTGGTTAAGACATCATATGCAGCTGGACCATCAATTTTGCTATGCAAGTCATGCCACGGTTCTCTTGGGGCTCCAGCAGTATTACCCTACTCAGGTTTAAAACATCAAACAATAGCCAAAAAGTTGTTAAAGATCTGATTTTGACCCACGTAAACAGTATCAACAAGAATGCTTCATGAATCCTAAAGTTTTATACAGTTATATTTGTAATGCCATCACAATTTAATTGGCCTAAGTAGTTGTCTTGTCATGCATCTACCTTACAGCCAAACCCTTTGTAGTGGACTAATAGCTGTACACACAATGCTAATACAGACCATCATATGTGGCAGGAACACTACCACAATTTCTATTACAATATCTCTAACTAAAAGCTTTAATTTTTTTTTTTAAAATTGAAACAGGTGACCGGAGAGTATATGCATTGTGGATGGTGATGATATATTCCTTCAACCTCCATGAACATTAATAACTAGAGCTGTTTAGATAGCTGGGTAGATCAAATTGATCTTATTGAGATGATTGCTTCTAAAAGGAACTTTCAAGGACCTCTTAATAAGGAATCAGAAATTATCAACAGCTTAGTGGAGAATGAACAGAGGACCCGACACGCAAGATCTTAAGATGATCTAGTTAGCACAAACCACACCTGTTCACACATGAGATGGCATCACTTATCAAAGAAAACATATGGGCTAAGATTATACTTGAATATCATTGTCGTCGTAGAATAGACACAAAAAGTTCAAATGGTGAAGGAAACCAATAACTAACTCAATCTCTTCTTTCATGCGGTGTCCATGATTATTCTGTTTCGTGTTATATTTTCGCTATTTCCACTCTGAAGTTCACTGAAGATGAAAGAGTTAGGAAATTACAGAGAAAGTAGGGTTATGGTAGTCGTCTTTATGCACTGTTTGCAATGTTCTAAACACAGGATGTTGAGGAGTGTCATATCGCCCATCACATAGATCAAGCCCTCCCACAAAAGCTATAATTTTCCTTCTGTAGTTTCCGGCGTCTGCATCCACAATGACAGTTTTCTGATGGTGTGTATAGATTGTTCCCACTTCCTGATAAACACAGAACTTGATGTGAAGATGTGATTCAAATCTCATATACACATTTCAAGCACAAAAGAGATCACAAACATCCAAAAGTCCAATGTTCTCTTTATACAAATATCCAAAAGTCTTATACTGCCAAAGGAAAGGAAGGGAAAGGAAATCATTGACATCCAAAAGGGCAGAATTAAGCTTTTACTTTCTAAATTAAATCATCTGTTCAAAGCCAATCATGCTGCCTAGAACAAAATCATAAGGACTGGATAATGGACAGATCATATAGTTAAGATACCATGGGGGAAAGTAATAGAGAAAATTAATAATGGAACTATAATTGCAACTAACCCTCTGCTTGACCCAACTATTCCGTTTTCCAGCAACTCTTGGACAAAGCAGCACCTGCACAGACGAATGCTTGAAAAACCGGCGAGTCTCCTCATCATGGGTCGCCATAATCCCATCCTGCACCAATTGAAGGAAGACATTACTTTGAGAAAGCAAATGTCACAATTTACAAATAACAGATGAAATGGATAATGATCAGGAAGTATAACTATTTAGGAAATTGTGAGAAAAAATTCTAGGTTAAAGGTATCAATGTTGGATTCCAGTAAATAGAAACATGGAGCTGTCAATAAAGCTATTACTAATAAGAAAAACTACAAATATTCTACGGTCTTCCAAGTCAATGGAGTCATGTAGCCCTACCAGAAACTTGGAGACTATGAAGCCCTTCTATGTGCCTTCACTTAAATCTGTTCCTTCCCTAATAAAGAAAACTTTTGTACATGGGATTTTGGGAGGATCAGCTAAAATCATCTATTGTTTTAAAGTTTTGTCCTCATCTTTCGTAGGATTATAGGGGAAAAAAGTTTGAGAATGAACGCCAATTATTCACAATCTTCTCCTCCGTAACTAACAAATTACCATTCAACCAATCCTAGGTTAACTTAAGGTTTTTAAAGCTTCATAGACAGAGACAAAAAAACGGCATCTTTCTCTCAGGGGAAGCCAGGCATCTTTGCATGAACATTCCAACACTGGCAAATCAGAAACTCACAGTGATGTTAGCAAAAAAAGTTGCTTCCTCCCATATCTGGTGCTATAAAACAAACTTATTTTCAATCATTGCAGAGTTGGTAATCAAGAGTCAAATCACGCAATATAAAATTATTAGGTAATTGGTCAAAACTGCCCACTCCTAAATTGCAAAGCAGTCACAAATTTAGTAAATTCCCATTCAATTTTTAGGATTAGGACAAATAGCATACTAAAGACGTTCCTATAAACTTCCTACTGAGGAAACGTCATGAGTACTTGGCATTAAGAGGTAAGGTACTCACTGTTGTATAGCCCAAAATGTTCCTAGAAGTAGGGTCATCCCACACAAGAAGCAGCACTCTCACTCCTTCTTGAGACTTGGTCCTCAAAAGTTCCCCCAAGGTGCCACCTGAGTCAGAAGCAGCATCGCGCACCAATCTAACTTTGTGCCACACGGACCAGCCTGTGATATAAATCAATTTTCGGGCCTGGCGTATTGCTTCAAAAATGTCTTGCCAGCACTTTCCATGGGCATAACGCATCCCGCCATCAAGCTTCACGTCGGGAAGCGACCCATCTGGAACATGGGCATCCTGATAAAGAGTAACAGTTCCACCTTTTCTTAGGGGAAAATATGTGCCAGCAACCCCATGATAATGAGGACCGGCCCCCACACCATGATGATAAGTGCTGAGTCTTTCTATTGGAGTGTACTCAATTGATAAACTCAATACTGCTCCAGGCTTACAAGGCTTGCCGTTACTGTTCAAGATTGGATAAGTACCCTCAATCTTTGCTCCTGAATATATCTGTTCCACTGGAATGGCAACAACTCCCATAACTTGTGATCCTACCACATCGCTATCCTTAACAACAAAGTGGACTTCTGCAGCACAGTGAGCGACAGGCACATAAAAATGTTGCTGCCAAACAGGATTTTCGGAGTTGCTCAACACAAATGTCCTACCGATCACGGCATCGGACACGGATATCGTAACGTAGGGATCGCTGGTAACCTTGCTAGTCATATGCCCTTCAATCTTATTTTGCACAGTCCCTGGCAATTTACTATACAAGTCGCCCAAAGTCTTGTGGAACATGTCCATGTTTGGAAGATTTCTTGCTTCATGTACACAAATATCCAAATTACCATGTAACAGGAGAACCTTCAAAGATCCTTTGGGATGTTGCAGGGGCACGATTTGCAGACTCTGACTATGCTGCGATCCATTAAACGAGCTCGAGTGGACATAAGCAGGATGAGTGGGCGTATCATATAAGCCTGAACTTTCCTCCCAGCTACTCGAGAACGAGTCATTCGGGTAACCATAGAAATTCGTGTGGCTATTGAAACTCGAATTCGCAGAATGAGCCTCCAACTGTGGAACCGCAGGAGCTGGAGGAGATGCAGGGGTGGTCGAGTGACCTTCCGATATCCGCATAGAACTCAGGAGATCATCCAGCGGAGGATAAATGGAAGTGTAATTAGGGGACGCATCATGCGCAGCCTCGTGCCTCGGGTACGCATCGGTTCCGAAAGAGCCCGAACTCTCCAGCCGCTGGCCGCCGGAGAAACTGTGGGTGCGGGAAGGGGCGTGGGAGTGGACTTCCGGCGACGACTGCTGCTCGTACTGGTAGTGGGCCGAGCTGTAGTGGTGGAAGCTGCTGTGATGGTGAAGAGGCGGTTGGTGAGAAGGAGAAGGAGGGAGAGCCGGGTACTGGTAAGGAAACGAGCTGGCATGGCCCGGCGGCGGGTGGTGGTGGTGGTGGTAATCTAAGGGCCCGGAGTGGGAGGCCGCGGCCGGGGGCGGCGCCGCCGCCGACGGCTGGTGGTAGTCCAAGGGCCCGGAGTAAGAGGCGGGCGGCGGAGGGGCCGGGTAATGAGGAGGGTACCCATAGCTCGGAGCTTGATAAGGGTACGGCTGCGGCGGCGGGTAAGCGTGATTCGGAGGTGGTGGAGGATATCCATAGGGATTGGGGTACGGATAATGCGGCGGCGAGCCATAATTATCCATTTACGAACAACAACGGCAGCAGAAACAACAACAACAACAACAAACAGTAGCCCACAATCAGCAAGATGCTCGGCAATCAGAGCCGCTTCTCAACCAGATGAATAGGAACCGGAACAACGCGAAGATGAATCCCGAGATCGAGCTCCTCCCGATTCCGGAAAACCTCCGACGACGACGACGACGACCTCCGACGGAATCGAACGCGCTCCGCGTTTCTCGGTTCTCCTCCGGGAGATGACCGCACGCGAGAAACGAGAACGAACGAACGAACGGACGGACGGACGGACGGACGAGAGGTGTGCGAGGAGGAAGGTCGTCGCCTCTTTTTTTCTCCGCTAACCGCGATCGGAATCGCCCGGCGGAAGCAGCCTTTTCCGGTGAGGACCCGCGCGATCGGCGAGAGACGCGGCGGGAACGGGAAGAGAGAGAGAGGGAGAGAGATGGCGCCTGGCCGCCGGCGGCGGCGACTATCAAGGAACGGAGGAGGGGAGGGGAAGATCCGCCGTGGAAGCTCCGGAGGGAGGAAGGTTCTAGAGAGAGAGAGAGAGAAGTAGAGAGAGAAAGTTGCGGGCGTTTCAGATGGCGCCTGGCGAGCCGCTTGCCTCCTCCTGCTTCTTCTTCTTCGTTTTGCTTCGTCAAAGCATGGCGATTGGCGGTGGGGGGGGCTGTGAAATGACCGCCGGCTGCCCCTGGGGGGGCCCTGCCACGTGGGACGCCGAGCTCGGAAATGAAAAGAAAAAAAAAAAGAGGGAGGAGAAAAAGTAAGAGGTGATAGGGAAGGGAATATCGGGATGGATCCTTGGGTAGCTTTTTTCCTTTTTTGTTTTTTGTTTTGGGTTTTGGTCGGAGGATTCTCGTCCCAGTTGGTCCGAAACCGACCCGGTTGTTTGGGGGGCAAAAAGGGAAATGTCTCGTAGGATGATAATAATAAGCACCGATTAGGAATGCTTAGCGGAAATATTAGGCACCTAATTGAGATGCATATTATTAATTATCGTGCTTGAAATGATGGGATTTTTTTTTTCTATTATCGTACTAGTATAAGGCGGAAGGGATAAATTGTGGAATTTATGTATATTTCGATATACCGATAAGGTAATAAGATAAACATAATACCAATTACTAATTATAATTAATAAGGGGTTTGCACAATCCAGTGCGATATATGCACAATATTGAGAGATATAAATAATCAAGAGATATCCTGATATCACTAATAGTATATATGAATTTTTTTTTCGTTATATAACTGAATTTCGAAATAGCAGCTTTATGTCGGTCGTTGCAATGTTAATTAGCCTCCGCGGGATTGGAACATCCCATCAGTCACAAATCACTAACGAATTTTGCAATTCAAGTCACTCGCGAGAAAGAGAAAATTGCTAGAGACGTGGAACAATAAAATCACCGGATATTTACGTGATTCGGTTCAAGAGTTGGTGCCTACATCCGGGAAGGGTCAACATCAATTAAGAAATCCAATACAAACTGGGAGAATACGATGTTTACGGCCGCTCTTGAGTGAGAATATCTCACAATCTCTCGCAAAAAGAACTCACTCAAAAAATTCAAAGAGAGAAAATCCTAACACTTCTCTTATTTGCTCTTATGTCTCTATTCATCGAATAGAGACGCATCTCCTATATTGAAAGCACGATAAAAAACCCTTTTTAAGGAAAGACTTTTCAAATTTAGAAATTGCTTCAATTACGAAATTTACTCAAATTAGAAAAACTACTTAAATCGTGTATGCTCGAGAAAGCTTTTCCTAAGCAAAATATATGAAAAGGGAAAATACTTTTGACAAATTGTTGCGTATCAAAATAAAATATCGTCACGGATCCTTAAAATGTCGAGAAGGTTTTTCTTTTTCTTCTTTTTTTTAATAAGAAAATTGCCGCCAAATTTGGCTGCTTTCATAATTCACGCAATTAAATTTGGGGAAAATCACGAGGCGGCGCTCGGACGCCACGTGGCCATTTGGAATCGGACGGACAGGGCGACGAGAGGGGCAAAGAGGTAACTTCCCCAGATAACATCGGTCCCGGGTGATGCTGCCGACGGTTTCACTCGCGCGCGCACGCACGGGGATCTGCTCACGACTCGAGGGCCGTCCGACACGTGGACGACTCCTATTGGACACCGGGGGGGTGGTGGCCCCCAAGGGACCTCCCAGCCAGGAAGACGACGCAAAAGGTCAGGCGTATACGGGGAGGGGAGGGAAAGGGGAAAAGGTCAAAAGCCGTTCTAGAATACCACGAAATCCGAAGTACCTTGTCTCGAATTTTTATAAATAAGGATTCCTCAATTTTAAGTACATTATTGGCAATTTTGGTAGTTTGGTAGGCGTCTTGACGTGCAAATTTTTGTTCGATGCTCAGAGAAATAGTTTGAGAACGGGAAATCGTTTGGTAAGGCTTTGTTAGGAATTTTACAAAATTTGTCAGATGGGATCGAAGAACGCGCGACACGTTCTCGTGGTTTCCAACCAATTTGCTTAGCTAAAAAATTTATGTTCGGGTTAGTAAATCATGTTTAAGAGTTGGTGAAATTGGAACGTGTACCGTTTGATCATGTGGGATCAGGGGAGAACGTGCGACCCATGAGAGGCTTTTCCTGATATTTCGTGCTTATTTATTTCTTTTTTTGGGCACGTGTGTTATGTGCTTGATATTTCGCGGCGATACTGTAGCACGCGTGTTGTGTGGTGTGTGTATACCGTGAGATTGCGGTACCTTAGCTTAAAAGGGTCGTGTGGATGTTTGCAAGAGGCGGAAAAAGAGGTGACCGGCGTAGCTGTCTCTCCGAACATCGTCGTAAGGTGTGCCAAATTGGGCGAGAAATGTCACCGACTTGTGTTGGAAACAATTTCGAGTCGGGCGCTCGGCGCCACTCGCGACCTATAAGTTTGAGACTCTGAGATAGGCGAGGCCCGTCACCTTAACACCACCAGAGCGCCAGAGGTCCGGGAACCTATTCGCCGGCCTCGGAATCTCGCATCCCCGTCGTGAGGCGAGCCTAAACCTATTCACCGGCCTCAAGAATTTCGCATTCCGTTGCAAGCAATTCTGACCTCGTGAATCCCGGGGTTGCAAATAACGGTCCCGCGCCACTACGAGACCGCGAGCCGCATCCGGGGACCGGGCCAATGTCGTCGACCTTATCACTATCAAAACAAAAAATTACACCCAATGACCTCTTTTCTTTTTGCCAATTTTTTTTGGATGCAAGTATCGGTCTCGTGCCCCTACACGACCGCGACAAGTTGATCGATTTTATTACTAATTTCCGGGTTATGGTTCTCCACCCAAATCCCAAGTGGAAATACAACCTCTCATGTCGTAAGTTGGACTTTTCACCCTCTGCAATTCAGTTCCCACATCATTACGTTTACTTCTTCCTGGCCTTTTGCCAATTCAAACACGTTTCATCGTGGGTCAGGTCACGGCGTTGCCAATTAAATGAGCAAGTCTTGATTGACCGGACCAAGTTCCATCTTTTTCCTAGTTGCTTCAGATTCACATAGCCTGTGACGTTTCCGGAAAACAAACACCTAGTCCTTTTCATTTGCATCCACCTTTTCAACAGGGAAGTTGCGTAAATCGACGCGCGTTGACAAATAAAATACACTTCCCGGAAAATCGGGTCGTTGAGAACTTTCCTCGCCAATGGCTTTTCGGCTCGGAAATCTACCAGCACGGAAATGTTTACTTAGAATGGAATAGTAGAGACAAATTGGGATGTTTCTAAGCGAAACGAAGAAAGTGCGGCGCGAGTTCCTCGTCTGATTTTGAATTTTTCCCTTCCTTTGCAAATCTTTAAACCCAATCCGGGTCTCTGATCTACTAAATTCCCAGTTCTAGTTCCAGGTTACAGCAATGGGACTCCTGACGATGTACCTCCCAGAGATCCAAGCAATCGACCCGAAGGACGAGTTGGAGGGAACAGAACTTCCTCCTAGCGCCACGAAAGTCACCTTGTAACTCTGCTTCTCTCCTAGTTTCCCGAAAACCAAATTCCTCGGCTCGACGATCACTGACACTCCGTTGGGTTCATCCACCTGCACCCTGTACCTCCTCATCGGATTGCCGACATTCGTCGCTGTCCTCTTGTGCGCAACGATCGCGTTCCCAGCGCCGTACTTGAACAGCACAGCAAAGGATGGGTAGTTCAGGTCGCCAGGATGCGCGGCTGCGTTTCTAGGACAGGTATAGTTGGTCTTTGCAAAGAGAGCTATTTGCGAGGATTTGTACTTGAGACTGCAGAGATGATTCAGGTAGTCAACGGTCGTTATGTCGTAGATCAGTCCAGGATTTGAGGCCTGCTCCGGATCGACGTGGCCCGACCCGAATGCAAACGGTGTCGCCACCTCGAAGCCGTAGCCGATATCGGAAATGGGTTCCCTCCTGTTGTCTACAGTATAGGCTGTGGTCATGAGGGCTGATTTTATAGCAGCCGGTGACCAGTCCTTGTGCACCGATTTTAGGAGTGCGGCTAGGCCACTGACGTGAGGGCACGACATCGAAGTGCCCGAGATTATGTTGAATAGCACGCTACGGTTGTCGCTCCTCAGGAGTGAAGGGGCAGTAACCGGGGTCCATGCGGCCAGTATATTAACACCCGGGGCGGTGACATCGGGCTTGATGACTTCAGGACCCACCAGGCTGGGGCCCCTCGAAGAGAACGCGGCCATGACCGGTGCACGATACCCGTACACCGTGCCTCGGAAAGAGATTGATGCAGTCGGGTTGTCTGATAAGTTGAGGTACTGCTTGATGGCTTTGGCTGCTGAGGCTCCTACAGAGGTGGCCGGCAAAATGTGGGCGTCAGCCAGAGTCTCTTCGCCTTCGTTTTCGTCGTTGAGCATGATCATTGCGGCTCCACCCACTAGCTTCACTTGCTGTCCCTTGTCGGTCCGGCTGTTCAGCCCCCGGTCACAGATGACGATTTTGCCGTTGACGAGCTTCGGGTCCAACGTGCCTGCTGTGCAATACTCGGCTCTTTTGCCACCAGCAGTCTCTCGGTACACGAGTGGGAGCTGCTCAGTGGGCTTGCCTGAGTATAGGGATGATCCTTCGAAAGTCTGGCCGTCCCCGAGCTTGACTTTCGTCGGGAAGCTCCTGTCAAGGTAGCTGGCTGCAACCGTCATTATCCACGGGGCGGCATTGCTAACGGTCGAAGGGCTCGGCCCTGAATTTCCTGCTGAGCATGACACAAAAACGCCTCTTTGGACTGCACTGAACGAGGCTATCGCAATGGTATCTGTATAATAAGGCCTTGCAATGCCTCCTAAAGAAAGTGACAGCACGTCGACACCGTCCAATGTGGCACAGTCCATCGCGGCTAGTATGTCCGAGTTGGCGCAGCCCAGCCTCCAACAAACTTTGTAGACAGCAATCCTAGCCGTGTACTCCATGCCGGTGGCGGATCCCTTGGCCAAGCCGAACAAGCTTGCCTTTTTTACAAGATCACCAGAAGCCGTGGAGGCCGTGTGAGACCCGTGACCCTGCCTATCGCGTGGAGATCGGTAATCTGTCGCCTCATTGATTTTTCCAACAACGGATTCGTAGCCCTTGAAGAAGGCCCTCGCGCCAATGAGCTTTCTGTTGCAGTTCGAAGATGAAAAGTTTGTGCCGCTTTCACAAGCACCTTTCCACCGAGATGGCACTTCGGGCATGCCCGTGTCTCGGAAACTGACGTGCTCCGGCCAGATTCCTGTATCGATAAGACCGACTATCATGTCGGAGTTGAGCTTTGCCTCTTCCCATAATCCTCTTCCATTTTGCAGGCCGAGAAATTGGGGCGAATGCGTAGTGTGGAGAGTAAGCAATTCATCTTCTGTGGCAGAGAGGAACCCATCGACTCTGGTCAACGAGCGAAGCTGCTCGGATGAAAGCTTCGCGGCAAACCCAGAGATGGCAGTTTCATAGACATAAAGAAGCCGAGAGGTAGAAGAAGAAGATTCAGCGATGGACTCCAGGATCGATTCATACCATTGCTTTGAGTCCCCTTGATCCATGTTACTCGGTTGGGACATTCTCGTGTTATCCATGTGAACAATGTAAGTCTTTGTGTCCTCTGAAGCATTTGTGGTAGTGATCAAGAAGGCTAGGAATAGGAGGAATGTCCAAGAGTTCATTGTACCTCTGCACAGTGTGCAGATCAAAGCAAATCAATCAAAGCAGACATATCAATTGATCAAAGCTAATTTCTCTGAATGTGCAAAATGTGCAGAGGGAACAAAAGATCGGCTCATTATTCCGAATTCAGACATTAGAAGGATATATAAGGATGAGGATATCGGTAATTGATTGACTCGCTCGTTCATCGATGTCAATTGTGGCAACCTGCTTGCAAACTTAACTAGTAAAGATTTAGATCAGTGCATTGAGAGCATCAGTTTCTTGAGGTGCTATGCTGCTTTGCACTTTGAGCCATATTTGGAATTGCAGAGGGTTAGATTGGGTTCATCTACGACCTTAATCTCATAGCAGAAGCAGTTCATACAGTGGTGTTATGCAGGGAAGTGCATGATTTTTCTACAAAAAAGTGAGCCAAAACAGTCATGAAGTAATGGGGCAGTTGGTTTTTAAGTGTCTAAAACAAGTCAGAGACATGATGAAGCCACGAATAAAGCATATCACTAACCAATAATGCAGAAACACACTAATCCAAATCACATTCTAATCAAGACCTTACACACACACACAGGGCACAGAAAGTGAAGGATCCATGTCTACTTGCCTCAAAGCCTGATGGGTATTGAATGCATGTGGGAGTGAAGTGAGATAGCAATGCAAGCTTATAAAGGCCTAAAAAGGAAGGGGAGGTGGGTCGTGGAAGAGATTGCATGTGATGTTGTGAAAGAGGTGGTACATGCTCCTATTCCAATCAAAATTACAACATTATCAGAAGAATGGGATCTTGCCCACTTTTTACTTCATAGATCTGGGCATGCCCTTTTGTAGGATAAAAAGGAACTAGAAAAGGGAAGGGGCCACTAACATATGCGGTCATAAATTTATAATAGTGATACTTCACAAGCACTCATGAATGCCATGGATGGGAATGGGGGTTCTTTGGAGGGACCATAAGTAGAGGCGTGAGGCACTCATGAATCATGGCGAGAGCATTTGAAAGATGTCACTTTTCTATGGCTAACATGTCTTTCTTTCATCTTCTTTTTCCCAATTTTTATTAGGGGGCAATTTGCTTCAATTGATCAAAACTTTGGGAACACTTTGGAGTGGTTGATGTGTGAAGTGGGTTTGGTTGATCATAGAGTTTAATCATGTATATAAATTGCTTAATTTTGTCATTATGATGCGGGATTTAATGTGAGAGGATTTGTCAATTCAGAGCATAGTAGAGTAGATGTCAGTAGAGATTCACTAATTCACTTCGACATTACAATGCACTCTTCACTTCGAATTGCCTCAATTCACCAAGGGAGACTAATAGATTACACGTGAGTTTACCAAACGGGCGATCTTTGATTATTTTCTTGTTTTTCGGGATACTGACACTACTCATGCCTCTCTGAAATGTCTCGTCATTGTCGGTTTTAAGCTCATTATGTCCGACTAAAACTATGTCTGGAACAATTCTCATGTGGTCAAATGTGGCTGAGGACATGAAAACTACTTATCATAATGGAATTTCAATAATGCTATGGAAGGAGAATGAATTGTTCACATACCTTGGTAAATTCTAAATATTAGGGCTAACAAAAGGTAAAGATCACTTGAACTTGGGCGACCCTTGAATCACAACAATGATGGACAATGATTGCGCCAATGCGTGGGCGTGGGATGGACCGGGCGGACATCTTTGTAGCAGAGATTGCAAGCAAGGGCTGAGAAAAGGGGCCTCTTTAGCAATTGAGCACTTGTTCTAAACATGGAAATGTCTCTTTCTTGGCCATCTTTTCGAAAGGGCGTTATTTCGATATGTCGTGGCCGCGCACTGATGTGCTCTAGACCTACGCCGCGTCTGAAAACTGGGCGGAACAGCTTTTAAGAAGCTATCTTGAGGTGCTTTCGGACCGTGGGGGTGCGCTGACCTTCCGAATCTCGAGTTTTGAGGCATTTGCAAGAACTGTTGAGAGGAGTCGCGATATGTTTTCTTGAAAGGCGGTAGCTACTTGCTGGGCAACTACATCAAGTATGCACGGCGGACTTTGTGGGAGAATTTATTGCTATTGGTCTGGTTCATATGAACTCGGGCTGATCCAAGTTCTTTTCGAATTAGGCAGGTCCCAATGGGACTCCGTTCGATTTGGCTAACCGAATGCATTATATTCACATGATCCGGATACTCGGTTTGAGCCGCGCCCACGAAACAAAGAGAGCATATCTTTGTAGGGCCACGGATGAGAATATGTATGCACTGAATGACTTATGGTCCTGTAAACATGGGGCATGTGCATCTCTTGAGTCCATTCCAAGCAAATGAGTGTTCTCTGGACCAGCAGAAGACATTGTTCTGTAATTTTCATCATACCGAGTGAAGTGAAAGCCAAGGAATGGCACCACACACATTACAAAAAAAATAAAAATGCAAGTCTCCCTTCAAAAACAACACTATCTTCTCCTCTACTCAAACATGCACAGAACATAGTCACAACACAGGTGGATAGAAATATGTGGCACGTACTAGTAAAAAAAAAAAGTTAGTATGTATGGCTTGGAGGGAGATTTTGCTTTCGTATCTTTCGAGATTCACCCTACAATATGGTGTCAAAAGGCCAAAATAAATTATTTTAGTCCTTACGAAGAGAAAATTGATTTTTGAATCCCTTTCCCGCTCATGTCACGTCGAGGTGCTATAAAAGAAAAAACTGCAAAACCCGATCCAATTTATCGTAATCGATTAGTTACGTTATTAGAAAGAAATATGTGGCATGTCCTTGTAAAAAAAGGATACATGTTTCCAAATTGGTGGTTATGAGAAGGCGGAAGTAGGATTCCATCGGGCGTCAAATAGGCCTCCAAAACTCTCTTCCAAAAATTATACAGATAATGATATAAATAGTAACTTTAACTCAATGTTCAATGTGGTAATGTAATCTCTGGACTTTTGGTACATGTTCAACCTAGTCCCTAGACTATATGAAGATGTTTAAAGTTTTCGGAGGCAACATTGAACATTTTCATATACTTGAGAGATTAAATTGAACATGTACTAAAAGTAGGGGTGATCGATTTTAGGATGGGTCGGTTTTAGACACGTTTTATAATTAAAATTTTAATCTGAGTTGGATTTTTTAAAAAAAAATAAGTCTATGTGGCATTTCCATGTGTATATTTAAATTTTTTAAATTTTTTTGTATGATTTTTTGCCTGGATCTTGTTTTGGAACTTACCTTGTTTTTTCGGTCCGGTCCTAGGGTCTACCCGAGAACCTGTTTTTTTTTTTTTTTGTTTCATTTTTTTCAGGTAGCAAATAGGAAAACTTATAACTCAAATAAAATGTTATAAGTTTGATTGTGTAAATAATCTTAAGTATTCATACAAAAGCAGATTATCTTAGTCCCAATAATTTAATGGATGTGATAAAACAACATAGGTTCCAGTTGGATATATAGTTTCTTTGTTACAGAACAAAAATTTTAAGAAAAAAAAAGAAAGAAAAAATCCTTATAATGCTTACAAGCCCTTGAGTTAGACTATCATCGTTTGATAATAATGACCTCCCCCATCCTTCCCGATATAATGCTTTGAATTTATGGCCATATGAAATTGCAAGTGGATCTCCATATAAAATCGGTCAGGGTGGGTTTTCATTTGGAAACGAAAACTAGATGGGTTCTAACGAGTTCCCAAAAATGGAACCAGGTTCCTCGACTTATTTTTCGGGGGGCATTGAACATTTTCGTATAGTTCGGTCTAAATTAAATACCCTTAACTAAAAGTCAATGGACCACATTAAACATTTATCAAAAGTTCATGGATCACATTGCACATTAAACTACAATTCAGGGACCACATTGCACATTAAGCCAAAGTTCAAGGACCAATTGTGTCATTTTTTCAAAATGATATGAAAAGTTTATCTTTGCATTGATCAAGGTCATTATTCAAGAATCATGTCCTTTCACTTTTAATTAGCAAAAAACCCTTTGTGATGCGCGTAAAGACTTTTAATAAAGTTAGTTAGGTATCGCAAGTTTACCTAAAATGAAAAACACCCATTCGATTCATTTATCTATCTATTATATATATAGAACCAACTTTCAAATTTTGGTGTCCACCCTCTAAATTACTTTAATACCATTATATGCATACGGTCCATCAAACCATGTATGCACATAGCACGCATTCGAAATCTAGTCTATATCTATATTACTAAATCTCCCTTTTGGTTTACCTTAATTTAACACTACAATTACAAATAAACACGTCCCTAAATATTCCCGCTTTCTTCATTTTTAAAAGATAATTACCCGAATTACGTAATCATCCGACTTCCGTGCGCAATGCAGCGTGTCTTAACATTAGCGTAAATTTAATAAATAATTTGATGCAAATTTAATCATAACATCTTGTATAATCTATGGTCACTATAATTATAATCTTTGTCCCTATTCACATCGTGTCCCGCAAATATAATTTTTCTGCCACTTTCTACCTCCGTTCAATCTTTTTGCAAAGAAGGACTCGACTCTTCAGTTTTTTCCAAATTGGCCCAATTTCATTCTCAAATTCTCAATTGCCGACCGCAAAACTCAACCCTTCGCCTCCATCTCTTCTTCTGCTTCTTCTTCTTCTTCTTCTTCTTCAACCATTAAACCTCCTAAAACCCTAGCAATGATCCTCGCCAAGCTCTCCCGCCAAAAGCCTCCTCCCCTCTCTCTCTCCTCCACGCGCCACCTGCTCTCCACCTCCGCCGCTGCCGCCGCCTCCGCCGCCGCCTCGAGGCTCCGCTCTCTGTACGCCTTCGAACCCCCGCCCTCTCTCCGTCCCCAGAGCCCCGGCCCCGGCCCCAGACCTCCGGCGAAGAAGAAGACCAAACCGCCGTACCGGCCGCCCTCGTCGCTCGACCGGACCAAGATCAAAGCCGTGAGGTCGGACCTGCCGTTCGATTTCAGGTTCAGCTACACGGAGAGCAGCCCCAGCGTGAGGCCGATCGGGCTGAGGGAGCCC